ATCGCTCTGGTCAAGCTGGGAGTAGCTGATTTTGGCGCTGTTCGGACGGACCTAGAAAATTATCTAACGTACAGTACCAAGACATGTTGTTTTCAAAGAGTGCAAACCGAACACAAGACCATTGCAACTCAATCCATCAGGGCGGCTGCAGACTCCTTGTCAAGTCATCAAAGGTTTTTTCCAGCCGTGCATGTTGTCGTGCTCAGCACCAACAGTACAGTGATATCTCAAAAGGCACGCAGACTTCCAGGTCAAATATTTCGGCACACAACAGCATTGACAATTACATATTGGGTGTTCGGTACGGTATCTAGTCCGCGCTCAAACTACCTACAGTACATGACTACACCCCCCGATCGAAATACTTTGTCATCCACATTTTAGTCGCACACGACGCTAAGATCCGATGAAGTCCAGAAAGGAGGTCCAAGCGTCCGTGATAATCGCCGGATGCCGCTTCTCTCGTCCGGCATCTAGCCGACGAGCTCCCGTCATCATTGCAACGGTTTTACTCATCTCCATCAGCACCTACTTCCTGCACAGCCTCAATGATCGCGTATTACGTCGATTCTTTGTGGTCAGTCTTTTGCAGCAAATGCTTTATGGACCGTTGATCTTATGCGCCAACGAGCATCATTCATATTCTTGGTCTTTTTCACTGTCAGAGCACTCCATACCGCCCTATATCTGGTAGATCAGTTTACCGAAAGCCAACGGCATGAATGACTCCGTGAGATGGACGACGATGGAGCACATCAGCACGTGGCTGGCCCTCAACGGAGGACATACGTAGTAAGTCGGCTTTGTCTCCGTACAGCACGAGCTGAGACCCCACAGCGCTCTAGTCGACGGCAGAAGCAGCAACAGCTTTGTGAAGTCACACTACGGTAATACCTCCGACGTTTATCACACGTATGATCAACTGGGCAATGCTGGTATGGGATCTAGTCTGCTTCGATATCTCCTCCTGGAAGCTGGAGGCGGAATCTATGCCGATTTAGATACTATCGCCCTGAAGCCAATTGATACATGGGTTCCAGGCCACCTGCGGAGTCATGTCCGCTTAGTTGTCGGCATCATATACGATCAGCAAGACCATGCGCCACAAAAAGACAAAGCTTACCCGTTGCAGTTTGCCCATTCCACAATTGCTGCTGCACCTGGGCATCCGGTTATCCACAACATGATATCCCAGGTGGTCACGTCCATGAGGCGTCCTACGGCTCAAGACGGAGTCGACGAGGCAAAAGACAGGCATAGCAACCTCGATATCTCGTATATCACCGGTTCCGCAGTGTGGACCAAAGTCTTATTTGACTACTTGGAATCTAGCAACTCAGACTTGACGGACATTATGAGTTTCTCATATTTGGAAAGACCGACATTGTGTGTGGATGTGCTCATATTGCCCATCGACGGCTTTGGCATGGGTCAGAACCATTCGGGGAGCACCAATAATGGGCAGATTCCAGACAATGCACTTGCAAGCCGCTTGATACCCGGCTGACCGATCCTCGAGTCTTGAGGTGTGATCGATGGCTGTCATTAAAGGAGGAACTAAGAAGATGACGTGCGTAGTAGCAAACGGCTTAGACCAGCTTGAAAGAGCTCATACAGGGGGCCATATCTTTTTACATTCTGCAGCGACACAATATGACATTTCTGTCGTCGTCAGAGGCTTTGTGTGGCAATGCGCTCGCCTATACTAATGTGCCTCATCGTGACGATGGGCTTGAGGCCATTGGATAGCAGTGTGAACATGTGATATATGTCAGTGCTGAACTATCTTCCTGCTACTGCAAAGTCTCGACAAGCTTCAGAAGCGATTCTAGGCAATGACCCCACAGATCGGGACTGAGGAAACTAGAATGTGCTTTAAGCTGTCCGTTCCATCAAGAACAGTGTGTTTGATAGGTCACACTAAGTTATTACGTGCCTGGAGATGATTGATGTATTCTCGAAATCGATGTCGCTACCCCCATCAACTATGGAGGGACCAGAGGCAAGGGGTCACATGTTTCGACCTTCTTGGCACAAGATACGACACTCGTAACTCAAAGTGAAGTGAGATCTTTCTTCCTAGATGTTCATCGACAGTACTAGTAGCAGGCCTACTCCAGATAGAATGGCAGAACGACATATCCGACCCCGGGCTTGATGGCGATTAGCACTCAAGTCGACAGCTGACAACGTCTCGGGCCATTAGTACTCACACTACAGAGCCTATCACAGTGAAAGCTTGAGCAGTACATAGTATTCGCGCAACCGGGAGGCACAGATGACTGGATACTGATCCTTTCGCCCAAGGCTCCATCTGACAGTCCGCAGTGTGACGCGATGGAAACAGCCAGAGACATGCGGCGGAGGGTGCTTTCATGAGTGACATTTTCTTCTTAGCTACGATCTGTTTGGCAAGCCTTCTGGGAAAGAGAGAACGCTCAGGTATTATTCTTCTAGATCAAGTCACTTCGCACGTTTGCTTGTAATACCGCAGAAGATTTGGTATGTCGGCACGGAAACAGGCGATTGGGCTGTGTATTGCCGTATGCATCTAGGGCGTTGCTGGACTGGTCCTCACGATCGTGTAAAGGCTGCGATCTGCCCTAAGAGTGTTTATAACTTGTGCAGGCCATTCGATGTGCAAACGTCAGATTGGCAGCCTGGGTCCCGTCGACTCCAGCGATGCGGACTTAGACACAGAGACAACGGATGTAGCTGAGCAATCGCCACTACCAGCCTCATCCGTGGCTGTCAATGGAGCGCGACGGGATAGGCTCCTCATACTAGCACCACGCCGAGCAGTTTGCGCATTCAAAAGCAAGCGCCTCGTACGCTCGGACGGCCGTGGACTGCGGTTCGCGGCACGACGGCGTTGGCTGCGATGGCCACAGAGCCAACTTACGATCCGCCGGAGCATAACATGACCACTCGGCCGGCTGGGCCGCACCCACCTCGAGATCAACAAAGTAACCTATCCCCCGTCTCGAGAATTTCGCGCACCCTGGCTCGCTCCCTTCAGGGACCTCCACGACAGGGCTTGATGCGTACCCAAGCGCTCTGCCAGGAAGCGCGGTACGTGCGGGTCCGCATGGTCCAACCGTACAAATCGCCCTGCAAGGTGCACCCAACTGCAGATGACAGGGGAGGTGTGTGCTCCGTAATCTACTTCCTGCTGTTGGTGCTTCAGGCGACGTACTCCCCGTCGGGGCCTGAAAAGGCCTACCCAGTACTACGGTCTATGGGCATATTCGTTGCTGCGTAATGTACACCCCTGAAGCTCTGGCCAGTTCTTGATCGGTGACGAGGTCCCACTGGATTGAGATGAACTGCAGGACGGGCAGGGAACGCCCGCTGTGCTCTCGGTCTCTGCAAGATGTCCGTGCCACGCGGTGACTATCATTAATGGCTACTTCCTGGTGCAAGGGAAGTCACAAAACCCGGCCAACATGGCTCTCCACTGTGTGCGCGGGTCATCTAGCCAGACCAGGAGCCGTGGACGGAAGCCTCCGCTCCTGTCTGTGCCGTGGAGTTTCCACCCACGGCTGTCGCTGTACACTCTGCAAGACGTCCACAACCGGAGGCAGTAGATGGGCAATTATGTACGGTACTTTGTGTGGTCACATCGCGAGGCTGTGCGAAGCTGGCCAAGGAGACACCGGGGTGGTGTTCGTCTCCTGCTATTCGCCTCCTCCGTGACCGCCCGATATCGCGTCGTCTGTTCTTGAGTCAGCCCATGAGGCGTTTTCACCTCGCCTCGACAAGGCGAGAATTCGCGTCACCTCTACCTCAGTCAAGCCCGGTTATGGGATCAGGACTGCATAGCAGTTCCCGCATCGCACTCCAGCAACTACTATATAGAACACCAGACGTGCCCGTCCTCATCGTACAGGAACTTCTTCTTGCAATCGTCTTCATTCACTCTCTTTGTCCTGGTCTACAAATCACCTTACTAGCTCTCATCGCAATGGGCTCCTGTTTCTCGAAGTCAAAACCACGCCATGGTCATGAGCTGGACTTTGGCCATGGCCCAGTCGGGAATGCTTCGCACACCATACGGGATACGCATAGCGGCAGTCAAGCTCCTCTCTTTTTTCTACCAGACGAGGCTTTGCCCGCATATCCGAACGAAGAAAGATCGAAGGCTGATATCATCCGCCTCGTCCAAGAAGCCAACAAGGAGAACGCTTTCCGGCCGCTCCGGGAGAAAGGATACCAGGTGTACATGGACGAGAGCCCCAAACAGGACGCTGAAGCCCGGCGTTGCATAAAATTCGTTGGTGCATTTCTCAGGCTTCTGGCGGAAGCATACGGGTGCGAAATGAGCTTCTTCTTCACCAGCTATAGCAATAGCGACGGCGTCTACGTCTCCGAGGAGAGATCCAAGATGGCACACGCGCTAGATCAGCTTTTCAAGACTTCACGCTGGGACGAAGCTGAAGCAATCGTGAAAGACTCGCCAACTCTCCAAGATATGGGATTTCAGGCGTGGATGCGGAAACTCGTCATCGAGGAGGAGAAGAAGACGTCGGCTATGGAGCGTATGTCGGATGGCGAGATGCACTGCCAGCTACTAGACCATATTCGCGAGGAAAAGATTGGGTTTTGGGAAGGCTGGAGAGCCAAAGATCTGACAATGGAGCAGCTCCTCGCTGTCTACAACACAGCTATCAAGGAAGCGCAAGCTCAGCCAAAACTCCGGAATAGCATTCGCTTCACCATTGAGCGGTCCATCGCATTGCAGTCGCGGTTGTCTAACAACAAGACGTCGCATCCTACCAACGTCATCTTGCTCACGGCATCCCCCTTGGAATACAAGGAAGCAGAACTGATCAGGAAGCGTTTGAAAGACGTCAAAGGCGGTGGTTCCGAGTTTTCCATACAGGTAGTTCTTTTCGACGGCAATCTGTCGAAAGACGTGGCGAAATATCATCGCCAGCTAGACGAACAACAATCAGGCGACAGAGACATATACAGTACTATCGCCTTCAACGAGGCTAAGCTGCTTAGCGAAGGCTTGAGCTCACTTGCCCTGAAGACGATCTTGAACGGTCACTCCAGAGAGGTCGCTCGGACGAAGCTCAGGGCGGATGAAAAGTACGGCATCCGCGGGGGCGTCCCATTCAAACTCCTAGCAGTGGCCGAACTACAGAAAGCTCTTGGACTTGAGACAAGCTGTCGCGACGAACAGACTCTCGGATTGGGCGATGTACAGGCGCCCGTAGTCGACTTGAAAGAGGCTGGAGACGGAAAGGTCTAAGGTCAGCTCCTGTCTACCGCTGGTGGGGCCTTTGCGAGCACCAGACAGATTTTCGTACTGGCCGTGATCCTGAGCGTAGTTAGAAATTTAGTCAGTGAGAATGGATTGGTTTCTTCACTGGTTCGGTGCCTTTACGCAGGGCGGGAACCGCGTGAATAGTATTCAGCTTTGTGAGCAAACAGGTATCTTGCCAGCAGTTTTGAGAAAGACCTTCTTCCCATTAACATGAAGCTCATATTCGGAAGTACGTACGTCGTGGACGCTAATCGCCGTTGTGATAATATGGACCATCAAGCATTGCGCCACCATCTCAGAGACATTTGCCTTTAATTCAACATGCATGGGGCACGGGCGGATAATTGTGCCTGCGTGCACCCTCACCGCCAAGCTGGCATGTCTTACGCTTCGCCAGTGGCTCGCTTGCTTCCCTTCCCGATTCTGCTCTTTGAAAAGAGTACCGGAAGCCCCTAGTTGAGTACGGATAGTTACATGGGCTGGACACGAGAGGGGTACGATAGATAGCAGCCAGGGCTTTGTCTACATTGACTCGCTTCTCCCACAGACATTCAATGAGGTCAACCGGATCTACGTTACAAAATCGCTGACGGAATCATGAAGAGATCGAAACAGGTAGCTTCACAGCGCTAGTATTCGGATCGTCTGCAGTCGTACCACGCTAATTCAGGCGGGAATTACATGGAGTGAGAGCTTTTCGTCAAGGGAGTAAGTTCGTTAAACATCCCAGACGTAACGTAACTCTAGCGTCTATGGCTCATTGCTAACGCGTGCCGCGCGTACGTAACCGTTTGACACTTTTATTTTGTGCTTTAGTTAATCCGATCTAAAGGTGATTCCATATGATCCGAAGATTCTGATCATGGCTGATCGTTCTGATCCGCATTTGGCTGGCCGTGGACTAGATGTGTATGCCTTATATGACTCTAAATACGTGTTGAGATGCGCTCCAGGTTTGAAAAGCGATAACCTACTGTGTTACATAACAACTTCTTAAAATAAATTCTGAGCTTTGCCTGGACGAAAAGAAAATGGTCTTATGACGCATGAAGGATTCGGTCTGCCTGGAAATATTTCTGGAAACGAGAAAGGCCATTCCGACGATCAAGGTCAGGCATCCTTTTTAAAACGCCTGCGCGATCTACATGTCACTCCAGTCAGGGACCAGTTCTGGTGATCGTCTATGCTGCGTCCAACTGATACAAGTAGCTTATGCGCATTTCTTGGATATAGGATTAACGCGAAATTCGTTGACAGATGAGATCTTGGCCAAGGGCGAACCGCGTGATATTCTGCGTGACGCAGCATCGCTCACTATATGGTGGCGCTTTACTATGTCTATCACTATGCATTTCGTTTTGTGACATACGCTGGAACGGCCGAGCTGCACCTCCATCTCAACACGTGCCCAAGGATTCTTCATTCTCCGTCACCTTCGATGACAGTGTGAAAATTGCACCCAAAGTCACTCTTCAGCGGATCACCTAGATCGTCAGATAGTAAGGCCCACAAGGTTCGTTGTGCTTCTAAAGTCCTAAGTTTTCAGAAGAGAGCGATGATCTTTTCTGAGCTACCCCGCTCCTGGTCTCATCGAACCGAGGATGGCCAAAAGCGTTTTTCAAGACGTGTGCATAATTCTACTTTCTTTCCGGACCTTGAGCCCTGTGATGTTGCCACCACAACAATGTCCAGACCACACATACACCATCAAACTATCAAAGCGACAGATGCATCAGCATCTACAGCGAAAGAGCAAGCTCTGTCTTCAACGTCGGGATTCACCGGTGTCTTGCTGCTCCTCCGTGCTAACTCCTCCGCTCCCGCAAACAGTCGGTCGGATTTTCGTTTGAGCCCCGCCCGCTTGTCGTTGGCGGATGAATCAATCTCTTACCTTCTCAGATCATCTACGACCCACCAGCTTTGTACTTCACAATAATCTTGCCCGCCCCTTTGTGACCTGACGGTATTGGTACGAGCTTTGGCGACATAGAATCGGATGTACTACGGCTGATCTGGGCAGAATGAAGCCGTATATAGATTCCAAAAGATATCCTTTCTCTAAGAATACGGGAGTGTGTGATAGACTCCAACGTCGGTTCGAGATACTTCGATGGATCGCAGTACTATATTTTACGTTTCGATCGTGACTAGGCAAGACCTTTGTGATTGTGCTAGAAGCATACCTTATACGTTCAGATTCTGCCCGGATAGCAAAAGATTGGTAGCACTGTGTGTACTCTGAACGAGTTTAGAAGGAAGACATGAGCAGCATCATTGATATTTGACTTATGCCTCATTTAATGTTTATGTTTTCTTCTCTTATGGCGATCACGTAATCATCCCGAATGAAAGTCTTGCCACACTCGTCGCAAATCCCACCGATGGTAGGAAATCCCACCAACTGCGCCCATAATCTGTGCGTCTTCCAGACATGTCGTCGCTTCTCTTTCTCTCCCTTGAAGCATGACAGGCATTCAACCTTCGGACACTTCCGGTGCCGCGAGACGTGTTCGCTGAGAGGTGTGAGCGGGAGTTTTCTAGCGCAGTGAAAAGTCATCAGCAATTCACCATACTCACTCAAAGAAGCCTGGGTCTTTAGCAGTGAACGAACAGCCCTTCCAGTGACAACGAAAGATTTTCCTGGCATGTCTCGATGGGGCAGATGCTCTGCTGGTCGAAAACGGAGCGAGACTGGCTTCTGTCGAGTTCGGTACTGGATTTGACAACTGTGGCCCCCAGTCGAAAATCGCCCCCAAGCAAGCCACCTCTGCGCCTAATGAATTCCCCATCACCGTTTGCTCCGCGTACTCACTAAAGATATTCATCTGTTGGTGAAGCGGTGGCAACTCTCCAATGCCTCAAGACAGTTGAGAGGGTGAAAGGATCTCGGAAGGGTGCGGAGGGGCGGTAGACGGATGGAGAGGCAAATCGCACGTCAAGTCATTCGCCGCAGAGTCGTATGCGAAGAGACATGAGTGGTTCAAGACGTTCGAATCCGATCGATCAGTGTCACTGGTAGTGTCATTTTGCGGACCTTGCGAACAAATGGTCAATGGCATAGTGACATCGCCCTCAAGAAGCGTGGGATCTATCGCACCGATTCGAAACCCTGTAGCTGGTGCCCAGGCCATGTTTTATCGTGTCCAATGCATCCGTGGTTGCTGATGTTTTGCTTGCAAAAAATGATATGTGGAGGTGGGCTTCGATGGGTTTTCAAGGAAGCCTGGAGCGCAGCTAGCGACGTAACCCCGCTCTATGATCGAGCGTCGGCCCCGATCGTTGGATGCGACTCGAGCAGGTGGGGTCCACCGTTCTAGCCATCAAGTGGGAGAGTGGATCTGTGCTGCAGTTATTTAGGCTTTCGCGCTGTTGCTCAACAAATCCTTTTGCCATGTCCTGGTCCTTGCCACGTGACAGTTGACGGGAACCTATTACGATGTAGGTCGGAGCGTGGGCGTGTTATGCGAGAGTCTCTTTGCCCGGCCAATGGAAGACGCCCGGCCTCCAGCAGCAAGCCTAAGCCAAATGCGGATCCTCTCAAGTGCGTTGAAGGGGGAAGTGAGAAGGTATAAATGATCATTTCAAGTGAAACGATCCCCCGGCCTCAACGCAATCGACAGCCCGGCCAATTCTCAGGAGGATGCAATACAATCAAGGCCGGTAGAGTGAGTTGGCAGAGGCTCGTTACATGGCGGAGACAACCCCGACAAGCCTCACTGGCAAGGCTCACGAGCGATTCGTGATTGTTACGGCACTACTACATCTGATTGATCCAGTACGTGGTGAGCCTACAACTCATAGCCTCGATAGGCATCCTCACGATAATTACTGGAAACATGAGCAGTACCAAAAGAAATTCCTCGACTCGTTTGCTTTAATATCTTCGACTTCAAGGATAGGGGGTGAAACTGCCTCTGCAGTAGGTCTGGAGCAGGATCATCCAGGTGGGACAGTCCTGCGACTTGCCAGGAATCTGGGCGTTCCCAAGGAATTGCTCAATCAACTGCAGGATGTTCTCGTCGATCTCACAGCAGTTTCTCTGAGGGGTAATTCACGGCGAAAATAGAGCAATCCGAATGAGACGCTGATCAACACGAACCCTAGATAAGAGACCGGACGACGTGAAACTTGAGGTGTTGCGTAAGGTCGTCGTTCTTACTCAAGACAGGATTCGCGCACTCGTGGAGAAGATAAGTCTTCCGGAGATCAGAACTACCATCGAACGTGCTATCCAAGAAATGGATCAGTTATCCTCAGACAACGCCGAAGAGCTGGGTTTTAGGACATGGGTCCGTAACCTGCCATCACTTGCGTCTCTCGATGCCGGAAGCCATATTACCCAGTTCATACCGCATGTCCAGTGGGCATCACGCGGTAGATGGATGTATTCTGAACACCTCGAAAGGCTCTTCGGGCTCGAAGACGGGACGTTACCCTCGTGGTTGAAATACGTTTACAAGCTAGGGCGATACTTTGCTGCAACCAAGGCGATGCTCAAATTGGCCGTGAAGCAACCAAGCATCTTCACAGGGATACACATCGAAGCCATCGAAGCTCCGAAGCCGGAGGGTTTCTCGCTAGGCACACAGAGGGAACCTCTCTTGACAATGCTCAAGAAAATTGCCCAAAGCGACCCAGAAGCGTTAAGGGAGAAACTCGGTCAAACCTGGTTAACGAACGACCCCGAGACAAAATTACGACGAGCTTGCAAGCTGACACTCGTTGTGCACGCTGAAATGCAGCTGCTCAGCTTTTACGACCACCATCCCCACCTTACACCTAGGATTTTGTTCATGGGTACTAGCAAAAAGGCTTGCTACCTCTGCAACGAGTTCATGTCCCGCCATCCCCTCAATATTGGAGTATCGGCAAGCCACCAGAAAATCTACCCAGCCTGGATGTCCCCCCCATGCCATGCTTCCATCAGGAAGCAGCAGAAAGCCCGGCTCTGGGAGCTCAGCCGACATCTGGAACAAGCGGCTGTGCGTGACCTCGAGACGAGACTTGGAACCCGGCGACCAATGACAATGGACTCAACAGCGGGGCCGTCACTTACGACGACGGGAACGATCTCGTCGGGATTCTGGTCCCGCGGTTCGAATTTGGGCGAGCTCGAGACAGATGAGGAGTCCGCATCCTTCATCACACAAAGTATGAAGTCTACGTCAGTCCAAGAAGACGGGGTTGAGATGTAAGGTTATGGCATCCAAAATAGCTAGTCGCTGATCTTGCCTAAGTGTCCTCGACAGCCGTATTGTGGGCCAAGATTAAAATTAGCTCTTCAATAGTCCTTCTCCTGGTTTCGAGCATTCAATCCATTCCATCGGCGCCGAATTCTTCTCGCCCCGAACGCGCATGCCAAATGAACCCAGGCCGGTATCCTGACGACACGCACGAATGACGGCCGAATTGCATGTTGTCCAGCTACTGCCAATCTCGGGATAGGCTGAGTGTGGTTCAAAGGGACTTGCCGGAACTGTCAACCGCAATCGGTTAGACATCAGGCTAAACACAATCGACCTCACACTCTAGCATCAGCTCATCCTTATGGAACGGTGCAGCTGCCTTACCACGGCATGTGACAACTTCTGGACGGGACAATCGTAGACGGAGCCATATTCCCGCCGTGTTGGAAACGTTGAGCCATAGCTACAAGAGGTGGAGGGGAATATTAGCGTAGCGCTTAGGGGCTTGGGCCAAAGGTAGAGAAATCTGGACACGAACGGGGTATCCTTACGTTCGGTACGGACCATCAATCATCGATCTTGCTACTGCCGCAGAGACGCCGTTGGTCTCCTCTAAATCAGCGCATGAACACCTCATATTTCGCTCACGGTTCGGCCGTATGCGACGCTGCTTGAAGGATTGTGAATTCGAAGTAGACTGTGGTACCTACAATGGCAGCTAGTCACATTTGAAGGATCTCGGACTTGAATACGGGCCAGTATGTGTTTTCAGCCCAGTGGGCGAGGTGCTGCATGGCAAGAAGCACAGTGATGATCCCGAACTCGGTCGACGTCTTGCCGAGCTCGACGTCGCTGTAAAGAATGGACTTGCCATCTTGAATCGCGCTAGCAACGAAAGACCAGCTGTGGCCGCTGATAATGACGCCCGGCAAAAAGTGAACTGCCCGCGGGTCGGTAGGGCCTTGCAGAAAACTCCTCCATTGTGACGAGTGCCATGATCCCATCTGCACCATCGCCTTCTCGAGGTCAGCGCCGGGACGCTTGGTCTCGAACGATACGACGATGGGGCTCTTGCACAAAATTCCGTGGTCTGTATGATTGATGGTCACATCTGGTCGATTTTCCCGAACCTCATCAATCCGGCTGGCCTCAGCACTTCCTCCGGGAGGGCGGATGACCATGCAAAAGTCAACCATGTTCGACGCTGATTGCTTCGCCCTGTATGTTTTAACAACCTGGGCGCCAGTGCAGTATGTGTAGTCAACAAGGCCGCGCTGGCGGTTCGGTCGAAGTGCCCATTCCATCATTGGCAGATGGAGCTCCGTGTTCCAGCTAGGTTCGCCGTGAAGGTTGATTTCGCAGTCTTCGGCCTGGTCTAGTAACCATGCAACGAGATCCCGGGGTGGGCACCGGAAGCCGGGTGGTGCAGGAATGCCCTCGGGGAGATAAGCGTGATCTGGTATATCGAAGTCGGCAAACTGGCGTTTGAGCAGCGAATTGTCAGTCTGTGGTTTAATCGGCAGAAGACAAGCGTCCATAGCAGAAGGGAATGGAGCAGGCGATGACTATCTCGTCATGGATTTTAAAGTATGTACCTCGGTGCGCATGTCATGCGGCAGTAGTTGAAACCCCCATCTGATTCCCTGCAGCTCGTTGACGAGTGTGGCGAGCGAGGAGGGCAATTCAGCGCGGCTCTTCGCAAACTTGCGATGGACAAAGCCGTCGGCCTGAAGAGCCAGTCTTCTCAACTGTTTCGTAGGTGAGGACGACCGTGATGAAACACTAGACGCCGATGAGAGGCTAGGCGTGGATGTGCGAGCAATGCGTTGGTCGTTGAGCTGGGACGCTCGCGGTGTGGAATGGATGTCGTGTATATTAGGAAGAAGGCTTGCGCTTGGCTCTTCGTCGCCGTCATTGTCCTGCTGACTGTTGTCATGCTTTCGTTTGACTCCTGTAAGGGGCCTGGATTCCATCAGAGAAGAAACGAAACAGGGAGAGTGCGACGATGGCGGTGACAATGGAACCCTCAACTTAGTGTTGGGATGGATGCGGCGTCGTTTTCGCGGACGGCTGGGCTGCGCCTGTTCGCCGTGTTTGCCGTGCTCGTCGGGCGTTTGGACAGTGGCCCGCCAGGCATCAATTGCAGCGCAAAGGCTCGCTGATCTCGTCATTGAAGCCTCGCTTCAACGTAGACAGTGACGATAAGGGCGAATGGTGAAGGTTATGATGGACAACTGATAACCATCGGCGGATGTTCTCGGGGCGATGGGTATCATGTCGTTGGCTGGGAGACAACCAGTAAGATGCGCCTTAGAAATCCGACTTGTGGACCCTGCGCAAGCGCCTTGTCGATCCTTTTCCCGGCTGCCAATAGGCTCACGAGTATTTGTGTATGGGAGAGTTTCACGGATGGGTTTAAACAGCGAATGCTTCTGTGGAAGGACCAAGAAAAGAAGCTCAACCGAAACAAAAGTAACAATTGCGTCAGTCTATGGAGTTAGAAGGCGCAGTGAAGGCGGCAGCGAATTGCTGGGGCGCTTGGTGGACACGCTCACCATACGCAGGGGATAGCAAGTTTCCTGCCTTCTCGGCTGTGCGCTTGTAGCGTCCTATCAGTGGCCGTAGGTAGTTCCCGACGCTCAATCGGGCGGCTATGGAGGGACTTCGCCAGGGAGAAACCGATGTACCTAGTGGATAGGTTGAGCGAATGAACTTTGGCGTAGGTAATCACTTCCGCTCGTCCGCCCTTGTTAGGCCCTGCCTATCTGTCTGGACGGGGAGAGGTTGGAGGCCTTGCTTCGTTGCAGCCAAGGCTATGCTAGCGCTGTGAGTAACATACCGATCTAACAGACGTAGTCATCCTGCAAAGTGCTTGCCAGGCTTACCCTCCTTGGTCCATGGGCTTTTCAACCCGGAGTATGGCCGCAACTCCGGACGATAACGCCGATCTGGTTAACGGTGTGAGCACGAAACGGCCACGTGCTGCCTCGATACCAGCGACGCAAAGACATTGGTCAGCCCGCGGCCCTCCGCACGTGCTTCGGAGACCACGCCTGCCACAGCATACCGCCTATCCCCTTGTAGCAGTCGAGATCTCGAGAGGAAATGAGAGTCGAAGTCTCGGATCCATTTGCCTCCATAATAGGGTCTATAGGGCAGCAAAGTTGTGTGACACATGGCCGAGGTTGGCGATATTGAGCCTGCTACATGTGGTGTTGGGGACAGCGTGAATACACTCGCCTGATTGGCGGCTGGCCGAAGGGGCTTTTACGGTGTACGGGCCCATATGTCGATGCTGTACAGCGCCGATGGCGGACACTGACAAGAAGATCCTTAGAATATGCTGCTATCCGCACTATCCTATTTCAAATGTTGTTTGCAAGCAGGCCGCCGCAGCCATTACCAGATGCTTGAAGAAGCTTATCACGGCAGCAGTACGTGCAAAAAAGAAAGTGACATGTTTTGCGACGCGCGTACGCTTATCCGAGGGAATGTTTGTTGGAACAATCACCACGGATGGCGCGAGCGGTTGTGATGTTACCGCATTTTGACCTCGCCGATAGTGGACAAGCAGAGCCGCGGACCCGAAAACCACGATGTTCGGTCAGAAAACTGATCGCAAATTACTCCCTTACCGGCCCGAAAAACGACATACGCATTGCGTTGGTGCAGCAAACCGAAGCGAACCACGCAGCGCGATGGGCACACGAGCTCGATGTTTGTCCCTGCAACACCAATCCAAAAAGCTCTCTACAGTGCATTCAGCATGTCAGAGGGGAAACGGCAACGAACAGTTGGGCTTCGTGTCTCGAATCGTGACTGCATATGGAGCGTGCCTGCCGCCTCGAACGGAAAATTGCATCTGCACCATCGTGATCACGGACACAAACCTTAGCGCGTCGTATACAGTAGTCAGACAAGCAAGCACAGCGGCGCAGATGAGTGTGCTCGACTTACTAATCAGTTGGAGTACTCTCGGAAAAACCTTACCATCACTATGATCAGTAAAAACCAACATAGGGTGACATGATGCGTCTCGCAGGTTTACTAGCTTGCTTGGCTGGGGAGACCATGACTGAAGGGACGTGGATGGACGTCAAGCCTCAAGATCTGACCGAGGGAGTACGGCTGCAGCTCGTAGGCCTTGGTGGGTCCAACATCAAGCTCGGTATTGGCAGGAAGATCGAGGCACAGTCGCAAGGTGGAGTGGCGCGTTCTCCCTTGTCCCCCATCTTGTTGCGACCGTTAATTAGCCTCGGGGGTCGACTTGGCAATAGGTTGGGTGTTGGGGTAGCAATCGTGTTGGTTAAATAACCGGCCAATGTCGAATTGACAGAATATAACAGATTGACCATGTAGCTTCCCGATTGCTTGCAATGACAATGGATAGCAGGCGGCCAGGCCGAAAGAGAAATAAAGAAGGGGAAAAAAGCATAAAAGCCCGTAGTTGCGCGCCACGGAAGCAATATGGAACTCATCAGAAGACATTCAGACAAAACCATTTCTCTGTGTCCTGTCTGATGTCGACACCGATCCACTCATTCCACGGCGGGAACCCACCACCGTTCCGCCCGCGAGTCTTTCTTAGACCCGGAGTAACGTCCCTTCCATCGATCAACCCCACATACCCGGGGCCGCAGGTGGGCCAATCTCTTCATCAACCCCATAGGTACTGTCATTAACTAGCCTGATGGTCGCGAATAGCGATGCACCATGTGTCTTGACCCCAATTGCGAGGCTCGAACTGCGCTGCATTACATGTGGAACGTGCAGCGGTACCTGTCGGGCGCGCAAAAAGAGCTGGTTTTCATACATAATGAGCGTTTCCGTATAGACGAAGAAATCGGGACATTTTCCGTCTGCCCATTGTGCCTCCGGCTCACGATGTCAGCGGAGAGTGGCGAAGCAGGTATTATCGTGCTCTGGGTCTGGTGACTCGAATGCACCATCTGGATCAGCGCGAGCGTGTGTTGCGAGAGGGCTGCCAGAAGGCCCATCAAGCTTTGCTGATTCAGTTGGCCAGGTTCGGAGGGATCAAAGAAATCTCAGCCATCGCAACCGAATCGCACATGGGACCACAAGGGCAGCCACGAAAGCGCCGCAGAACAAGCGATGCGTAAACTTTCTAGCCTTTGTTCGCACCTGCTGGTCGCGTAGGTGAAGGGCAGTCACATGGGTGCCGAGACGTGCTTTGTACGGATTCGACGCGCGGAAGCTGAGGAAGGAACTTGCGCAAGAAACACATGGGGGGAGGCGAGTGTTGAAAGTTCTTAGATACTGTGTACTGCGTACCCAGGATGTTTTGCCTGGGTGTAAAATTGAACAGAAAAGTTGTGTCATGTACGGAGTACTGTGCCCAAGGCTAGATGCCCTCTCCTACATTCTTTTGCTCCTTTCATGCCATTCCTTGCTCTCAACGTCAGATTTGTTAGACACTGGTATCGGTCGCTTCCCCACCTAATATGATGTTTGTATCTGGCGAGTTACATACAGTTTTTATCATTAGTCACTTCCTCTCTCGCAAACATCCTCAATGTTTGAGAAGTCGAAAGTTGCTGTGATGGGCTTCTGCAAACCTCTGGTAATGGCTGTGGCGATTGGTTTGCAAACCAAAATGTGGGGTCGGGATGGTGTACGACAGTGCGAGGGGCAGCGTGTAATCAAGAGCTACTCCAAAGCATCCATAACCGGCTTTCACAGCAGTCACTCTCGCACTTCTGATCGTGGTCGCATGTACACAGTAAGAAAGACTTTGGGCCCAACCTATGTGGGTCAAGTCCAAAAAGATGAAGCAGCATGTAATGCATGCAAAGGTACTGCTGGTTGCGGGTTACAGCAGATACGTCAAGGCACATGGATACTCCGTCATGGCCGTGGTATCCATAAATGACTGCACTGGAACCTAAAGGCTGAGCCCCCCACACCTCCATTTTGGCTTCTGGCGCAAACCCTTGTCTAGCCCCTGCGTAAAAACGGGGATTGAGAGGCTGGGCATAACAGATCATGCCCCAATAACGACAATTATGCTCATAGCCAAGTCGCTTCCTCTTTAGGGGAGCGTACCGGATGTTTCCGGTGCTCCATATAGTGTCATCTCTTAGAAAGCGATGTGCACCCATCTCCACCTCAATACCTCCCCGCCAATTCGCACCGTAACTCACCGTGATAGCTCCTCAATTGGTCTAGATCAGGCAGCAACCGCCATGTTTGGAGTTTTGGAGCACATTGCATTTCTTGACCTCAGAAACGCTGATCATAAGCGCAGAAAAGGAAGCAACACATGGTCATGATTGTACACTAGTGGGGTAAGGCCCGGCCACGCTGGATTCGATGCCTTCACGGCCGTTCTGGATGTCTTCGAGAACCGAAGGTAGGCTTTTCTCTTGAGGAGAACGTGCTCCGGCTTGGTCCGAATAGTGACTGTTCCACGGCCGGTGATGACAGATGAAGGCCAGGCTCTTGACGCGGAAGATTCACCCTCCACTGAATCCCGCGCGGCCCGAGATCATCCTCGAAATCTGCGCGGTTGCAGAGGATTTGCCCGCCAAGAGCCCGCTTGTGAGCAGTCTCTCGTCGTTGGATAAGGTTCAGACAATCCACCTCGCTGTCGAGGAACATATCTGGCTTGATATCACACCAAGCGTTCGGACCTTCGTCGGGCCGTGCTCCTTTGCCTTCGTCATATCAAATTGATTAGCGAGCAGATTGTTGGTAGCGATGACAGCCAGAAAAATGCTGTTCGACTTTCGCATGGAGCTTTCCACGAGCTCCATGACGGTCAATTTGCCTTTGCTTGCTTGCATCGCGGAAGCCGAGTGGGAAATGCCAGGCAGGTCAACCAAAGAGGACAAATGTCTGATCTTGTACTGTATTTTGATGCGCAGAAGGCCCTTTGCATCCGAGAGTCCCATCTGCTTTCTTGATTCGCTGATGATCTGTTTGTCTTCGCATCCATGTCCAACACTTGCAGCGAGTGGGGTGGTCTGCTGCAATCCGCGAATCGAATTGTCGCTTGGATGGATGGATAGTCGCTGGAACGAACGCCCTCATGAGCCGGGAAATGAACATGAGAGATGGCTTCAGGCACAGATGGCTTCCAGAATGACTGTGCTCCGACAACAATGCTCCGACAACAATGCTTCGCAGAAAGTCATCGGTTTTGCCGACGCCCAGAGAAGAGTGTGTCGAAAGAAACCTCATCTCGGCGCGGTTCGAATCTTTAAGAGCTGAGCGATTGATGACAGAGCCTAGTATGTTGAGTGTGTGGTTATGATTGAAGGCTTCCAGGATGTTTGGTTGAAATGAACGCCGTTACAGTTGGGGTGCTTTCCGCGATGTGCGCCATACCCAATGAGCGGCTACAGTACCATGGCAGCGTCACACAGCGACCACAGCAACAGCCCGGGGTATAGCTTGTTCCCCAAATCACCTAGACTCGGTCCGACGCTTGCAGGCGGCAGCGAGTGCGCTCTCAGCGTCTTCTTCCAGTCGCCTTTTGGCGAAAGTCTAAGGGCCTTGCGGATCTGCAACTTCCCACCAGGTTCAAAAGCATTATCTACTCCTCCTGAACAGATGCTCCTACGGCTTATGATCAGCCTCGAGCTTTGCGGCTTGTAAATAGACCTTCCGTGATTCTCGCATCCACTTGGCAGCCCGCATCCAACTCTCGTTCTCCTGCACATACCTTGGCAGCTCATGTACTGGTACGTCGCCAAAGTCCATCGGTCTGTGGTGCGACCATGGTTCTGGCGGCTTGCTGCGCACCAGCGGGATCCGGTCCTGGCCTTCTGCAGGCGCTCTCGTCAGCGCGTCCTCCGCCTCACGCCGCTCAGTGGCAATTCTCTGCACTCTCATTCGATGGGCTGCCTTGCCGAAGTTCGTTTTCCGTCCGCCGCGAGCTTTGATTTCTTCCATTTTCTGTTCGAACCACTTGTCGGAGCGATTGTGGGACCAATGGATACGCGGGTCGATTCTCATGTAAGAAGGTCTTCTCTCTGCGGCTCCAGCGGCGCCAACAGAGGCTGGACCGGTGTCAAGCAAGATACCGTGGGGTGGTGGGAGGGCATCAGGTTGGCCGTAGATAATAGCATCGAAGCTGCGCTCGTCAAATGTACGACAAAGCTCAATCCGGCGATCTTCGCAGATCAGCTTCTCGAAGGTAGCGAGTCTCTTCGGACATGCGCATTTGGAAGTGGCGGTAACAGCTTGGCTGTGAGGAGGACTGTGGCATCGGGGCGCCTCTGAGCCCGTGCGACAACTGTATCCGATGCATGGGGGAATGTTAGCCGCGTCGGCAGGACTAGGCTTATCAGGTGAAGACCCCTTTCCCATCTTGCTCACGGATAATTGTTGGATCATCCGTCGGCCTAACCAGCAAGATCAAATATTGAGGCGTAGCACAACTTTGACCTGGTGGGCTCCCTTTAGGCCTGTCATTTGCAACGGGAGTTCGCGACGTGGCGGGCGCGGATTTGACAATCGTCGAGGGCAGCAACTCCGATGGTCCGTGCAACGTGAGGCTGTAATCGCGCTTACCCAGTGCTGCTCTGGACGGCGGAAAGTGACGCGTCGGTTGTTCGCTTTTGTTTTGCCAAAGACTCCACTCGGGACTTGGTAATCCGATCGGATGACAAGCTTCTATTCGTGAGGCCTTTCGCGAGCTTTGGCCTGGAATATCATCGAACGGTAAACCCTCGTAAACCCTCGATGGGGGTTCTGTCGTCTGATGAAGATAGCGTATAGCCCTGCGTGACAGACGGTCGCGTGAGTACGGTCTTCACGCATAAGGACACAGCTTGGTTGAAGATGGCGATGATTGCCAGGAGTCAACACTTTGGCTTCGCGCCCGGCTGGGAATCTGCAGAAAAGTCTATGAAGTGAGCACAAGAAACGGAGGACCATGTACCAAAAAGTCAGCCGGATGGATCGCTTTACATTTTTCTCCAAGGAGCTGTGTGTGCATGCACGCTGTCTTTCGCCGACGTATACTTACGTAATCAAACAGACACAAGTGGGACAGCCGGATGGCAAACCCCGCCATGCCCCGCCAAATTCGCTAGAGCCAGTCCCGGTTTTCCTGCCTAAAACGGACGATCGAAAAAGATTCATGAGTCTGACGATATGGGCCATCTAAGTCCCTTCTATACCTCAATACTCTTTTTGAGAATTTGCGACCCTCACTACGATAAAAGGATGACGCCTGGGCTTACCCTCATTGATTCAGCAGACCAAAATTGGTATAGTCGGTTGGAGGACCATGCTTCAAGCGAGTGCATAATTGACTCGTGACATCCGGGTCAACCACGAGGTGTAGACTCGGAAGACTTGGTGCTGATCCCGGTTGAGGTCGTTGTATGGCCGCGATGGATCCGAATCAATGGAATTCTCACGAAGAGTGGTAATATGTGAACGTCGAGGAAGAAATAAGATGTTTGCACTATCTCTAATCCAGGCATGACGTGGGTTCCCCCTCAAACAAGCCTTATTCGCCAAATAGTACTGTCGATTGCAACCAAAATTGCCCACGCACTTCACTGTATTCTCGTCAGATTCCATCGCAAGTTGGTGTTCACAGCTTAGCTGCTGGGTGTGGCAATGCCACTCATCCGGCCCGTTCAGTGTGCGTTCGCTTTGGCCACCGACTGCGTACCAATCAACTCCTGAAAAATTCGGCGGCCCTCTTCCAGCTTCTGCACACGATTCGACAAAAAACTCGCTGACGCCTACTTTCCGGCCGCTCCGAAGCAATGGCTTCAAGCTTGTCGTCTGCCATGCTGATAATGACCAGCGGTGAGAATATCCTGTCGAGCCCCCGAATCATGTGCCGCTCGATCACTTGCGTCGTCACATTGGCGACAAAGGTCTTGTACTGCACCTTGTAGATTGCCCGCAAACAGTCTAGGGCCTCGTCACTGCTGAACTTATTCATGTCGATGGAAGTTACATTGCTTCTCAAACAGGCCGATATAACGTTGTTCATCTCCATTCCCGGATCGAACTTGTCGTAATGGTGTCCACGATTGCAGTTCACGGGCGGCGCTTGTGCGAAGGTGCCTGGGAGTAAAGATTCCAATCGTATCTTCAGCCTCTCTTGGCTCCGCTGCTCGATGGTGTCTGTGTAGTAGTGGTTGTAGTTGATGGGAAATTCTTTGATGTCCCTCATGAGCTTGCCTAATTCGTCATACGCTGCCTGCTTCCGCTCGGCCAGCGTGTCCTGGACCATGAATGTCCTGAATCGTTCACATCAGCGCTATGTTAGGCTGTGCTGGCTGTTTCAGCGTGGCATGCAAAGTAACTCACCAAATGCGACCCTTCATCTCCTTAAGAACTTTCTGTTCTAGCAAATTGGCGAGGAAATCCCTACACAGCTGACCTACTTGCTCGATATGATTTCTAGCCAGATTTTCCCACGGCTGACACTGTTCCCAGAACAGCTCACCGATGAGACGCGGGTTGAAGTTCCCAATCAGCTCGGTACCCCTCGAACGGAGAAGCATCTTTTGAACCCATGCGCCGGATTTTTTTCTGGAGAGCGGCTTCGGCGACGGCGTCATAGACGTTTTGTTCTGGTCGAGGTCCTCCGCTACAACCAGCCCTTTCTCTGTTGTGGACACGAAATGGTACCTGTGGCCCTTTTGCCGTAGGGTTTCGGCAAACACCTCATTCCTGTACTGCACAGCAGCTCTGAGCCGAGCGATAGTGCTCTTGCTCTGCAGTAAGAACGACTCCTCAGCGCCCTTCTTGAAATAACTATGCTCGTAATTACCATTGAGACTCGCTCTGCAAATTTCCTGACAATCCATAGTGAGTTGGGCCAGATATACACGGCAATCTCGGGATCCCACCGGACATCGCCCAACAAATTCAACTCGTGCCTGTCTACCTGGAGAACCCGCTCGAGATCCCCGCTGGGCTGCGGAGACGTGCTCGAACAAAAGATGGCTCAATCTCGCCCGCAGAGTCTCGATGCCGACGATATCCCGTGGCAGATTGCGAAAATTTAACGTGCGGAAGAACTGCATCTCAGCTGCGTTGCGTTCCCAAAATGAAAATTCGTTCTCGGAGAAACGGCGGTTCCTAACGACATGCCACCCAAGCTTGAAAAACACATCCTCATTGCGAGCGAGCTCGAGTAACTTGGATTCGGAGCCAGATCCCTCCGGCAATTGGTCGGGCTTTGTGATGATACCGAGCGTACGGTCGCCTCGCGGGTCGAATCTGCGAACTCGTTGAAGGATCGGCTGGTTGGCCGCGTCGTTGGTTGCCGACACGACGGCCAGGCAGATGGTACGAGGCCGCCTGATGTAGCGGTCGGTGATGTCTGCGACCAAAGCCACGTCATTCTCGGAGACGCCTCTCGTAGCGGACTGAATCAAGCCCGGTATATCGATCAGGGTAAGCCGCGGGCGGTCAGGTCCGTTGATCTCGATGCTGAGCGTGTCTTTGGAGAAAGCGCTATCAGGTGCCTGGCCCAGCTGTGAGCTATTACCGCCCCCATTACTGATGCCCATGACTTTCTTCGCAGCGCCTATGATGAGGGGCAAGTCCTTGAAATCGGTGATGGATTCCGAGAACTCTTTGATTCGTTTTTGATTTTCTTGGCCCCGTTCATTGCCCGGGATTATCCTGACGGTGAGACTCTCGGTAAGCTCTCGTCGGAGGCTGATTCCCGTGGCAAATCGCGTGCAGAGATTTTCGTTCCTCGGGAAAGGTATATCGGTCAGTGCTTCCAACACGGAGCTTTTGCCGGCCGACTGATCCCCGCAGACGACAATATCGGGCAGAGAGAGAATTCCGTCGAGACCACACTTTCGTAGCTGCGTGATGGTGTCAAGTACTCTTCGCTGATCTTCGGTTTGTAATCCCTCGAGGGTTGTGCCGAGTGTTCAAAAAGTTCTTCCATTGTCGCAAAAAGGAGGGTCGAGCGATGGCCTCTCTTCGCCCACCTCCTCCATAATGTTTGAGCGATATGTTGTATGTTGCAATGCGCAGGTGACGGAGGCGTGGCCGATGGTACAATGCCTCAAGGGTACGACGGAAGAGTCCTGTCAGTGAGGAACACCCTCGCGGTTGAATGATAGAAAACTGCAGAATGCCTCCTGTCTTCCTTCAGACCAAGACGACCACTCAATATGTACTCCTTCGTTTGCCCGTGCACCATCACCTAAACTGCCTGAGCCGAGGAATGGTCGGGATGGCGCGACGTCTGACGCTCTAGGCCTCAACCTACTTCCGCAGCCCACGCGCAGTTGTCTCGAACCCCCACGCCACTTCAATTTGATGTTTGACGTCGGAAATCTTGCTTCGTACGGGGATTCGTCGTCCAGCAGCACGCGCCGTTGGCACAACAAGCTTCTTGCTATCTGATCAGCAGCGCTCTTGGCCCGTGAATAATGGAAGGCACGAACGAAACTGAAACGAGGCTTTGATGTCCCCCTCCACTTGGTTGTTGAGTAAGACCGGGTCTGATGTGAGGATTCAGTTTCGTACAATGTTTACCCTGCCCTTGACATGGCATCCACCACAGCATCGCGAGGTACACCCGGGCGTGGTACACTGCAATTCTGCTGCCCCTTTGAGTTTCTATGGGCCCTGGCAGCAAGCCCTGGCCTGCGTATCGGTACGAGGGGTTCGGAGTCGCGGTATGCACCGAGCCGGGCTACCTGCTGCGCTTGTGCCGGAGGCCGTTCAACCCACTCATGCTGGCGAACAAGAGATGAGCTCAAGCAGTGCCGCATTATGTTTGTACTAATAACATACGCTTACTTGGCTAATCCACGGCCCAATGGTACCAAATTTCGTGTGAGCGAGTGCCGTAGAAAGGCCAAGCGCTAGTGCCTTGGCCTCGGCGATGACCACTTGCCCGTCTTTTCACACGCAAAGGCGACATGCTAACCGCGAATGTCCCACGGCAGCTGCTCAGCACGTACCAAGCTCCATCAAGGGACGGAGTCCAGGTCGGCGAATCTCCGCACGAACAAGGAGGAGGTAATCACCCACCACGCGGGCCGTTGCGAGACAGCCACATACAACCCGCCGCTAGTCAATCGGGTAGTTCCCGAGACCGCCGATACGACTCCACACTTCCTAGCGGATCTGGAAGGCGCTACACAATGAACGGTGGTGACCTAGCGGAGGTGCGAAGCGATCAGTCAACGTACCCGATGCTCGCAGAAACAGCCCGAGGCCTTGGCTCGGCTCGAGTATCACAGCCACAATTCACTTACTACATGCGGGGACGCAGGTAAACGCCATCGCCCTCTCTTTTCCAAAGCCTTGTAACGCGGTTCTCTAAGCAATCGTGTCTACTGGACGAAACCTTGCACTCCTTCTACCGGCAGCGTGCACACATTGGCGTTCCATCATCCGCCTCAATTTGCTTGTGACTAAATGTATAAACCAAATTCACAATTGGGTATAGCGAAAGACCCATTCCGGATTCTCGCGCATGAGGGATGTCAATTGGGCGTGACTAGCAAAGATGCTGTTGGCTCCGAATCGGCTTCTTAGGTATGTTGACGCTCCTCATGCATGCCCCCGTAGTCAGAACATCTGGAAACGGCCGTCATGAGCGCTTCGAAGGACTGATGATGCAAGAGTATGTTTGTACGTGGTAGGTTCTGGCCTCAGGAGTATGCTCTGCCAGGGTCTGGGCGCCTTCAAGAGGCATCTGAAGTTTCGGGGAATGGGATCGAAGTGGCCAGGACTGCGAAAGCACCTGCTGTACCTCAACAACTAGCTTCCACCGAGCAAGTCAGCGAGACCAGAGCCGTTCTCGACTAACTGTTTCGTCGGGCTTGTCAACCCTCAACAGCCGGTATTGCCGCAAAACTCGCATTCGTTGTGTTACGAGAAAACACCTGTCACCGTGCATTGTCATCCGTTGGGCTCGGTGGTGCGTCACTGCCATTGACAGTATGTATTGTGAGAGGCACGCCGCGTGTTCTCTTGTACTTTCTCTTAGACCCACTTGCCTCTGTTAGACCAGGAACCCAGCCATTATTGTATGTAGTGTACGACCAGGCGACCAGCTGTGCCCCGCCAGACCACGTGGCAGTGGTCAGATGGGGCGCTGTTTCCGCCGGCCTTCCTGGAGAATTGACGTCTGCTGCGTTTGGCGTACTGGCTCCGGATGGCAGCCTTTTTGGTGCCTCGTTGCACAGGGAGAAGTCTAGTCGTGCTATGGTTTGTGAAGCCAGGGTTAGTGGGGCGGAGTCTACCTGTCACAAGAGTGGCAGGTCTGCGCTGCTGCTTTCTATGCGCTCCGTTGACTCATCTGCGGCATCTGATGTCTGGAAGATGTCGGTCAGGTAGTACTGGCCTGTGAACCAGTCGGTCAGCTTGTCGGCCGTGAAGGAGAAGACCGGTGTTGTGTTCGACCACAACTCTGTTTTGTTCGTGGGCGTGCGCCTGAATACGGAGAATAGCCTTCCTGGTGTGAAGGGCGAGGGCGGTGGCAACACTGGAGTGTTTAGACACCTGAAAAGTTTCCGTGTTGCTTTATACTTGCGACGGAGGATGATTTGAAGCGTCAGATTAGTTGGCACGTAGTTTAGAAACGGAGTGATTTGGCTTTGCAAATGAGTTATTCGTCTGGAGTGGGAACGTGCTTGACTGTGATCTTGATATGCTACGGGGTGCCGCCCTCATTTCATCAGCGGCGTGGGCTTTCTGTAGTCACATGTGTTGGCAGGGGTAACGCTGCATCGCCTGCTTAACACCCTCGAACGAAGGGAGCAATGCTCAAGTTCCACGCTACCGCAGCCGGCGCTACAGGGATTCGATGAAAGACTGCCTCGGCATCAGCAGTATAGTCGTCAACCAAGGGAAAAGGAGGCCATAGACGACATATGAAGACGCTCGAAAGTCGCTCAAGCCGTCCTTCGAGGGTTGAGCGCAGCTGCCACTCTTCATCGCAATGTCTGCTGGCGATATACATTACAGCCTAGTTGACTCGGCAGAATCGATGTCCAATCTACTCACGTCAATACAGAATCTTCCGATCGGTCTGCCGTCGCTTTTTGTAGACCTGGAAGGCGTGAGTCTCTCTCGCAATGGTTCCATTTCACTTATTACCATCTTTGTTTTGCCCCGAAGTCACGTTTACCTCGTCGACATACACACCATGCAGTCTACAGCATTCTCAACCGCGGTCGGAGGAACAACCTTCAAACAGATTCTTGAGTCTCCGGACATCACCAAAGTCTTTTTTGATATCCGCAACGATTCTGACGCCCTGTTTCATCACTTCCAAGTGAATCTCAGCGGCATCGAAGACATGCAGCTGATGGAGAACGCAGCTCGCCCGCGCGGGCAACGGCGATATCTGAATGGATTAGATAAGTGTATCGGACTGTACGCACCTCTGTCGCCGGAGGAGAAGGCTCACTGGAAAGCCGCCAAGGAAGCCGGGCTCAATTTGTTCCATCCTAGCAGAAGTAGATCCTACGAAGTTTTCAACTCGCGACCGATGTCTGCACCCATCAAATTGTACTGCATCAACGACGTGCGATATTTGCCCCACTTGAGGGAGACATTGTGGCGGCGGCTTGACGGAGTATGGCGGCAGAAAGTGGTGGAGGAGACAAAGACACGTATCTTGGAATCGCAGAGTCCATCTTACGAGCCGCAGTCGGAGACTAAGAAGTTTGGACCATGGGGTAAATCTTGGATCTATCAGGAACTAATATACTTCTTTCGACGATTGCTGTCGGATTTGCAGCCACGTCGTCGTTCCCGAACGAGCTATGGGACGGGCCGCGGCCGCTACTTGTCGTTAGCTCCCGTAACCCCTGTTGTGTGGGACGGGACCTCTCTTTCTAACGGGACTGCGCACAAGGAGCTGCGCTCTGCGCCCCGCCGCCGCGTGGTGGGCGTGATGGCAACGTGCTCCGCCCTTCAGTCCTATCTCTGCCCGAGGAGAATTCGCCTTAGAAACCACCTCGATCGGCGGCTCTTATGAAGCGCTCGAAGCAGGAAACCTCAGCAGACGTTGGCCACGCAATTGAGCAAAGAGGATTGGTTTCCCAGAGAAAACGCGCGTAGGATATGAATCTTGACTACAACCGTCGGGCTCGTGGTGGAATGCACAAGCAGCGCATTGAGAAGATAGACACCTACTTGCTCGATGCCCATCGCGTCTGCTCCGCCGGTTACGGATGAATGTGCTAGACATAACCGACTTGTTATGCCTCTGCCAGAAACGAATGGGGATGGAAGGCTCAGCACTTGGCCCTGGGCAGGATGCCTCCGGCAATGTTCTGCGCCACTGAAAGCAAGCAGACAGAGCGAGAGGCTTCGTCAGCAATGGTTGTGAGTTCAGACAGGGCCAGTCTCCCGGCAGCGTGCACACGCAGCGCGTGCCGCACTGATGCTCCAACACCCACCTCGATTTGCTTATGACCGAACCACAAGTTAAAGTAATGATTAGGTTTGGCTGGCTATTTTGCGATGCAGGACCTGGGCGCTGTTCGAAGACTCAGTCCTAGTTCTCGCACACATGAGATGCCAATTGGGCACGTGATCGGCGAAGATGTTTTTGGCTCTGAACCGGCTTCTGGAATATGTTGACGGCCCTAATGCATGTTCTTGCACTGAGAATCCCTAGAATCAGCCATCATGAGCCCTTCGAGAAATCGATGGTGCAAGAACATGTGTGTATGTATGTATGAAGGTAGCAGGTTCGGGCTTCAAGAGTATGTCCTGCAGGGCATTCAGACGCCCCCAATAGGAGATTTGAAGAGGGGTGGCGACATCCTCACCAAATGAAGCTGAATTGGTGGGGAGGTTTGAGGAAATTGATTATGATGCGGTAGCTGGGATGATTATGTAAGTGGCTCCGTCGAGATGTGCAATGCTACAGCGAATATGGAAACGGTAGACGGGAATGCGTAAGCAACGGTCTCTCACGGATGATGTGCGGCGCCAATTCTGGCCGAAAGAAAGGGATTCATTTGAGGAGTCTGGTCCGATTGGTATTTTATGGACATATCAGTTGATTTGCTCTTTCCCATGTTGTTTTCTGCGGACGGCCAACCGCCGCCGCCCTCCTCGAAAATAGTGGGTGTTTTAGATCGACCAGTCCGATGAAACAGTTGTTCGACAACGGCCCCGGTCTCCGTCGGAATGGTCCGAATGACCTACACGGCTGACTTGCTTAGTGAACGCTAGTTCTTTAGATATAGCAAGTTCACAGTCTTGGACACTGCGGGGTGGTCAGCAGAGTGTCACACCTTCACCTCGCCGCTGTCCTCCATGCCAGTGCAGTCTTGTTGGTTGGCCTGCATATATACGCCAGTAAAACAAGTCCACCGCCAGACTATTGCATTCTGTACACTGTATCCTCGCGGCCTATCATATTCATTCTGAGTTGATTACCCCGCGCTGCCCTTGCAATGCTTTAAATAAGCCGTCCCCTGACTGTAGACGAAAGCTTTCAGTGAGACGCCCAGCTTCAGGCATCATCATTTGCGCAATCGCTCGAAAGACGAAAACGGACTCTTGTCCCAAAAAGTACATCTTCTTCCTACCTCAAGATGGCGAAGAAAAAGTCTTACAATCGCAGTACCGGAAAGAAGACTTCTTTTACGTTCCCGCTGCTTCACCCAAAAGTCGCTAATGCCGTCATCGGCCATATCACCGTCGTCTGGGTCAGCAAAAAGACCACACGAGAGCCAAACAACACTCACTCCACCTCGGTAAAGGGAAAGTTCACTTGCGACAACGGCGCTTGTTCCAACAAAACTTGGATAAGCGGAAAAGTGACTCTGGCGATCCAGGGATACCCAGGCGGCGGCTATAATGCAGTCGTATACAATCAGCGATGCAGAGTGTGCAAGGAACTGGGGATTTTCTCGCTGGATGAGGACACATACGTCGATCGAATTGCATATCGGTTGAAGAAGTGGGCGGGCGTGGCAATGGAGCGGCGTGTGTACGAAAAAAGGGGTACCCCTCCCCACAAGAAAGAGCTTTGTGAGGGCTGCAAGAAAGGCTGTTGTAGAGAAGGCTTTGCTGATTTTAATTTGTACTGAGTTGAGACATTCCAAAGGTGATTTCGGACTGGGGAGGTCTCCAAGTAGAGAGCGTTGCAGCTGCCTTGTAATACTGACAGCGTATCCAACTTCAGCTTTGCGATGCAGTCAACTACAATATAGGGGCGTGTCTATCTTTCAACTCCTCTCATCTACAGATACATCCAAGCTTGCGTTTGAGCTTGACGGATCGCGATGGAAGTTTATCGGGACTCTGGGAGGTGTGATACGTTTGCAGCAGGTGAACGATGGGTCCAACCCCAGCGTCAACAGCGGATGAACGACGTCGAGTGCAGACAACGGCAGCACGACGTCTTCGTACGCAATGACTAGCGATACGTTATTCTGAAAAGAGGCACCACTGGGGGCCCTTCACTGTGTGCTCTAGCGACACGATCGGCCCCGGTCGTCTTGTGGCGTGTCTCTTCCCCCGAATGATGAGGGGACGCGTCGCGACCGCGTGTTATGCCGCCACCTCGACTGCACGAGGCCGGGATGGCGACACGAATCGTTTACCATGAGCCTTCGCAACGGTGCTCCAACGCAGGTTTAGGGGCTGGCACACTTGGACGCACCGTCAGGATGGCGTTGGAGCACCTGATCAATGCAGCCGGAGCATACTCTGAACGACGCCCGTCTGATGGTACCTCTGGCGCAGGGCGGCCGAAGTAGCATGCTCTTCGGACGAAGTGACGGCAAACACTTGCTAGCTTGCGCACCTTGCGCCATCAAGCCCCCTTGTTGTCAAACAACGGAGACAGGCGAGCAGTGGCACGCGCTTGCGGCACGCCTGGCGGCACGCCTGGTGGCAACCCCGTATCGTGGTCTAGTTGTAGTGCTGTGGCCGCTCGCTTCACTCTCCGCTGCAGCGTGTCAGTCTAGACTAGCGCCCGTTATGGGGGCTCTTTATGTTGCATGCATGCGGTTAGCCCCACAACACATGAGGGTCCCTGTCGGGAGCGCAGGCTTGGCTTCCGGTTGGTTTGGCCATCGGCGCGATCACAACCCACGAAAGACCCTGGATGTTGTTGACACGGACGGTGAAGTGCACGCCCTTCCTTAATATATGCGAAAAGGCTACACACGGTGGCATTTGTTTGTTGCATGTGGCGTGGGGGACGTTCCGTCTGAGGAAGCGCCAGGCAGTTTACGCCGTGCATGCTGCGGTGCTTAGGCTTATGGGGCTGCGGTGATGCTGGCCCCGACAAATGAGGTGTCACCAGGCGGATGAGAAGAGCCTCCAACACGTTCCGGCGTACATGTGTCAGGGTGGCGCGGGGAGCCGTTCGATTCGTTAGCTGCGGGCTACCCTGGACGTCACGTCAAGATAGCGTATGGCCCCTGAGCGCCCACGCAGTAGGTCTGTGCCCGTACTTCAGTCCCCGCAGAGTCGAGCACTTGGTTCGCCTGACTAGTAAGTTCCTTGTTCATACAAGCGCGTACAAGGGCAGGGAACGCGCCAACAGCTTCAGCAGATTCCCGAGGTTGCGTCGATCGATTGGAGCCACAGGAGACTATTCCAGCCCACCAGAGTGGCAGTCCATGACCAGGCTGCGAATGAGGTCTGCATCTGCCCGCTTGGAGACCAGTCTCGGCGACGCACAAGAGCAGTAAAGACGACACAGCGAACCGCGGATGACGGGGGTTTTGCCGCCACTGTTGACCGAGGGCGGGGGCTGTTGAGTGCAGTTGGCAGACTAGCGCACTCGTAGCCGGTCAACCCCTCATTGACGCGGCGGTGGGATGCTTGCCCCCGGAAGCCCATAAGAGTGGTTTTCGATTCAACATGTGCTCTCTTGGCCGATATTTGTCACTGTTGCGGTTGCTCGTGGGGTTGATAGCATTATACAGAATCGCGGCTGGCGGAGACGGATCATGGCTGCCGGCTTCAGGATCGAAAGGTGAATGCTTAGGCAGTATTCACTGAGCTTTCTCTAGGTTCCATAGTGATTGATGGGGGTTTACGCGAGCTTGATCTTCCCTACCAGTGTATGGCTGAGTAGATGAATACGATTGTCCGCGATGAAGACACAGGGGTCGGGAATCGCGCTGGTCACGACCCAAATGCAAAGTCACTGAACATGCCACTGATGTGGTAGTAACTGAGAGTTAAGCTTGCTTCATTTGTTGCTAATACGCGGAGGGATAGCCCTAGTCTGGTCTCCATCTCGAGCAAAAGCAGCCAACCGTGATTGGCGATCGCGGGTTGAAAGCGCCAGGGTCCTATGTCTCTACAGACTTATTGCAAATAATACATGTGTACGTATGCAGCCGGGGTATGCACTTCGTTGCAGTAGACTAACTTCTGCGCTGACACGGCGCCACGTCGTTGTGCATGACCCGGGGCCAGCTCGTACCCAGAACTTGCTCATCTGCGAGGCTTGTGTGATACAGACGGCCTCCTGCATAGCTCCGCAGCGGCCGGCAGAAAAGTCCTCTCGGAAACACCAAGTGGAAGAATGAGACCATACGGTACTATGTTGCATGGCGTATCGTCCTGTCGTGTCCTTCCGCTTCGCCACGACCCGAATCGCCATCGATCTGAGAGGCCGGTCCAGGGAAGATGCGACACAAAGCAATAGGTCGTCAATGCAGCGTCTCCCAAACACATCTTGGTCATCGAGGCGCGGGGTGCGGCAGGACACATGCGATGGGCGCTTTTAAGCTGCTAGTGGTAAACCATACCGACTTGGTCACTCTATCACTTGGTGCGGCTGCACTCACAGGTAGTAGTCTACCATCGTGGAACTGTTGCAGGAAGCCATACTGCGGGAGCACTCTTTTTAAAGCACAGGCCCCCCTTTCAACAACATGAAATGAGCGTCACCTTCGACTTATCCTTTCCTGACTCGGGCTTCGTCCATTCCAAATCCTCCTTTCCGCATGATTCACTCCATCGCAATGTCTCCCGAGCCTGCTGACCAACATCCCCCCTTGACGAGCCCGGACCGGCTTCAGAAGATCGATCGACTTCGCGAAAGGAATATCGGAACTTACCTACCCCTGCCGCAACTTGTCGCCGTGGGTGATCAGAGCTCGGGGAAGTCGTCCTTGCTGGAGAGCCTGACGGGAATCCCATTCCCTCGCGGCCAGGAACTTTGTACCCGCTATGCCACCCAGATCACCCATCGACGGGAGGCACAACAACGAATTGATATCACGATCATTCCTGGACCACATGCGTCGCAGGATCACAAGAGAAGACTTGAGTCGTATCACAGACAGGTGCAGACAACTGCACAGCTTCGGGCAGATTTCCCCGAAATCTTGACACAGGTAGAGGAGGCCGACCCGGCTGGTGACCGAACCCTCGGGATCTTGACCAAGGTCGATCTGCTGAAAGAACAGAGCGCCAGACTTGCCGTTGTGAGCCTGGTAGAAGGCAAACGAAAACCCCTCAAGCTTGGATACCATATAGTCACGAATCGCGGGGGCGATGACCACGGTGAAGAGAACGATGCGTTAGCTGCGCTGCGCGAGCGCGAGGCCATCTTCCTAGAACATCCTTGGGACAGTCTTCCGGAGGATCGTTACGGCATATCACCCTTACGCGAGCGCTTGGAGGACCTCCTTGGCGAGATTACCGATCGTGCATTTCCTGAGCTACGTAGTGAGACACGCCAGAAACTGGCACATGCCGAGGAGAAACTCAAGGGTCTCGGCGCGCCTCGCCAGACACAGCGAGAGCAACAGCAATACCTCGTCGGCATTGCAGGCAACTTTCAGTCCCTGGTTCGTGCCGCGCTAGAGGCTAACTACTCGGCACATCCAGTGTTTGAAAACAACACGTTCCGTCTTATCACAGCCATCATCAACACGACGGACCAATTCAACACTGATTTTGACAAGTACGCCCGCACGTATCTTTTCGAAATAGAGCCACAGGTCGAGATTCCGGTTCCAAGTAGACCGAGGACTCCCGTAAGCCCTGTGTTTTCGGCGCAAGAGGAGGAGAAGCAAGATGATGCTAACCTGCGGCTTGCTCTGTTTGATATACCTCATCCCGAGGCCTTCCCTGACTTGGGCAGAATCATTGTGACGGATTGGACCACTGAATATCCGAAAAAAGGTATCATGAAGTGGATCGAGACTATTCATCAACGCTCCCGTAGCCTTGACCTTGGCTCACTCGGTCATGGTGTTCTTTCAAGTGTTTTTCTTGATCAATCGACAAAATGGGAGCTAATGGCGAAGCAGTATCTTAGCAAGGTCATTATCCTCATCCATCGGTTCATCCTTATGGCACTAGAGGCCGTCTGTATAGACACTCAAGTGCTCCAAAGCGTTACATCGGCCATACTAAGCGACCTCTGCCTCAAGTATAAGGACGGAATGAGCGAGGCGATCTTGCTGGTCAACGTCGAACGGCAAATTAGCCCGTATACGCTGAACCATTATTTTAACCATAATAATCAACGCAGCCATGGCGTGCGGATCCAGGAAACGCTACGTTCCATAGCCCGACACGAGCAGTATTATGAGGGTACTCCTCTGCTCATGGTTCCTCTGGACGATATTGCAGACGCAGTAACGAACAAGAGTAACGCGGCATACGCTATAGAGACCATCCACGATACCCTCGAGGCCTACTACGAGGTGGCTTACAAGCGGGTCGTCGACAACGTCTTCAGGCAAGCGGTCGCCTTTAAGCTGCTCTTTGGCCCTAAAAGCCCACTCTGGCTGTTCTCAGAGCAATGGGTCCTTAATCTGGACCTGGAAACGCTTCCTCTTGTGGCAGGGGAATATCGCCGGACGAGGGACTATAGGGAGAGATTGAAGAAGGAGATTCGGGACTTGGAGATTGCGATGGAGATCCTGCGTTGACCGGGGTTTCCTTTGTGCCAGGCTCCTGTAACCGACTTTTACTACTGATGGTACGCGACGTGTCAGAGGTTTCGTTTGCGGTTACTGTTCGTAGTTGGGAATGTCAAGGATAGCAAGTAGGCACACGCAGCCATCGTGGTGACGACAGAGCTATCAACACCAGGAGATAGCAACATAGAATAGGCAGTGTTCTGTTGGAGTAGTCTGCTGACCTACAGAACTAGAGGCCTGTAGAAGTGAACCAATCGTCCTCCCGCTATGGCTCCGCTCATCAGTCCAAGAACCTTGTCGAGGGACCAAATCATCACTACCATCAACAAGCTGAACCGCGATTATGATCTTGCTATCCAGATCCCCGACGTCAGCCAGGATTCTGCCTCTGCCTCTAGGCGCGCGAAACGCGATGCAGCATTCGCCCGCGACAAGATCGTGCGTCTACTGACGTGTATCTCCTCTTAGCAATCGTTTCTACTAGACAAAGTCTTGCATGCCTTCGACTGGAAAGCCCTCGCAGCCAGCGAGAAATGGCTTCGCCCCTATGATTGCCGCGACCCGAGCCGCGCAACGGCAAGACAGCCCAAGGCCGGCTTTCCAGGCGAGGTATTGGAACTCCAGATGGTACTACTTGGTGTTCTAGACAGGGCAGAACACACCATCAGGGTCCGAGAAACGCTCGCAGAGGTAGACAGTCCGAATGAAGGCAGACTCTGCCGCAAAGGCATTTCCCTCTGGAACGCATGGGACGATCCCGGAGCGAGTGAATTCGCAGGAATCAACAACTTCTAAGAACATTCCCAATGTTACCTTCTTAGGATCTGTTGCCAATGTATCGACGTGGCTAGACGCCCATCCGACCCCTTGCGAAAACTCTCCTGTTCTCTTGACTGCCTACACGGAAATTTCAGGCATTGATGACCCAAGTCTGTATAAGCCGGTTTCCGGTGCCTCGGTGTCTGCAGAGCCAGCCAATCTTCAGGGCCGGCTCAAGGCAATCTGGCGTGAGTCCCCTAGCCCCTGGTCCACGACGTGACGTGAACTCGGCAGCCAGGCATGGTCTTCTCAGCTTTTGCGCTGACCACAACGCAGCAATTGCCAACATTGGCTTAAACGAGCTCCTTTCGCTGTTGCATGGGAGATCACCTGTATTGCGCTTCATTGTGATGTTCATCTCGGCCAAATAGTCTTGTCTTACGATGAAATCTGGAGAGACTACGATACTATCGACCACGTCCTTCGAGAGCATCGTTCATTTAATGGGAAGGGTTTCCCAGAAAGACCAACACCCGACGCTTGGACAGCAATTCTAAGTGGCTTTGAGTCGTCCCATAAGCAGCGTGTCTCTTTCACGGCTTTCTTGTTCAACCAAAGAACGCTAGATCTGGCCCAATCTTCTCCATGAAAATGAATCCGGGCGTCTTGGATCAGGGATGCCGTTTGCATGGCAAATTCGGGTCTGATCAATTCCTTGAACTAGTGATTCCGTCAACGAGCTCATGGCCGACTCCGCTCAGAGACTCCGATGCATCTCAAGAGGTGATCCGCTGGCTTTCTTCTAAGGTGCATCACCTGGCCGGCAGGCAGTGGCGAGCTTCCTTCGCAAGGGACGCAGAGCCCAAGGTTCTTCAGACGAACGTGTTCTTTGGTCCAAGTCCGAAAAGCATTTTGCAAAAACGATTTTGCTATTTTGCTGAAGATGGAACCAACTTTGACGTCGCTCCTTCTACCGACCATCGGCCTGTGCACGCCCTTAGAGAGCCGCGACCCAAGCTGGAGGTTGGGAAGATGCTCGACTGGCTCTTGCAGTTGGATCGTAACAGTGACCAACCTTACCTTAAGCTCTTCACCCGCATCCAACTTGGTCTCAGCAAAACGACAGTAGTAGCTTCTCTGAATCAGAGCCAGATACGACACCGACGAGAAGATATCGTATCGCCAATCGGTGAAGTGATGAATGATGGCGTTGGTCGCATGTCACTGCTTCTTGCCCGCCAAATCAGGGAGGTCCTTGGTTTGAGCGACGTCCCGTCTGCGATTCAGGGTCGTCTGGGCTCTGCCAAAGGCGTGTGGATTATCGACGTCGAAGACAGCGTAAGCGATATCTGGATAGAGACCTGGCCCTCGCAAAGAAAGTGGGACTGCGACTTCCTTCAACAAGAACATCGGACACTGGAGATCAAGCCCGTTGCTGCACCGCCTCGATCCGCCAGCCTCAACATTTAGTTCCTTCCCATTCTAGAAGACCGTGTCAAAGACAAGCAGGCCATGAGGAAGTCTGTGGGAGACAGGCTCCTAGACCAGCTCAGCGACGAAATTGAAGCTCAGAAAGATGTAATCAAGTATCCGCTGCGATTTCGGCAATGGGTAAACGAAAACCTCGCCGCCAGGACGCAGCATTTGGCCCACGACAGCGTGCCGTTCCTGGCTGAGCTTCCCAAGTCCAAAGAGGATCAGCTCAACTATTTGATCGATGGCGGCTTCAAACCAACCGAACAGAAATTTATGCAAGATATGATATGGGAGCTCCGGCGCGCAAAATGTGAAAATCTGCTGAAGAAGATGAGCATCAAGATTCCAGGCTCGGCGTACCTGTACATGGTAGTCGACTTCTGGGACATTCTGGAAGAGAACGAGGTGCAAATATGCTTTTCATCTCCGTTCCGAACCGAACGTTTCTCAGACTTCATGCTGCACGGATGCGAGGTTCTTGTCGCACGATCTCCGGCGCACCTTGTCAGCGATATACAGAAGGTCAAGGCCGTCTTCAAGCCGGAATTGCGCGCACTAAAAGACGTCGTCGTGTTTTCAGCAAAGGGAGACGTTGCGCTTGCCGACAGGCTTTCGGGCGGCGATTACGATGGAGACAGGGCCTGGGTGTGTTGGGAACCAGCTATTGTGTCTCATTTTGAGAACGCCACTATGCCGACAAAACCAGACATTTCGAAGCATCTCAGGAAGGATACAACGTCGTACGGAGACCTCAATCATGGAGTAATCAAGTCTGTGGCAGTTTCGGCAATGATCAGTCGTGGCATTACCTTTGACATGCAACCCAGCTTCTTGGGAATCGCAACCAAGTTCAAGGAACAACTCTGCTACAACATGAACGACCTGAACAATGAGCAGGCTCTCTTGTTGAGCGCACTTCTTGGTAGCCTGGTCGACCAGTCGAAGCAAGGAATTGAGTTTACAGAGAGGGATTGGCATTCATTTCAAGGACAGATCTTAAACGGTTGTGCAATCCAAAACATGGACAAACCAGCCTACGAACAAGAGACTTGGACGGGCAGATTTGGCCCTGTCCATATCATCGATTACCTGAAGTTTTCGATCGCCAAACCCACTATCGAACAAGAACTGCGCAAGCTCGGCCGAGACATGAACCCAAGTCCTAGTCCTAGCCGCGGATTGTCAACTCTCCCGTCAAATGCCGAGGCGATCCAAACAGCTGAGTATTGGGACGCTGATCTGGCAGAACCAAACAATGAATTTGAAAGGCTAGCATTAACAACTCCGGTGCTCAAGAACGTCTTGAGGAATTTGGATGAGGACTTGGACGCCATCAAAATGAATTGGACTACTGAGATGGCTGCGGTCAAAGATGAAGACGAGCGTCCAAGTCTCATGTTGGACGTCTTCAAATATTGGTGCGCTATTAAGCCTCGGGCAGATAAGGAGCTCGATCCTTGGTTTGTGGCAAACCTGAAGCCATAATACACGCCCGCGGAGTTCTCCACATGGGCTTTGATCCGAGCCAGTGCCTCATTCAAGTGCTGGTATCGGCACAAGCCGAAGCTGCTGTGGCGTATGGCTGGCATACAGTTACAGTTCATCAAGTCAATGGCTTCGCGTAGTGAAATCCCTGTCGCCATGGTACCGAGTATGTGTGCGGCTCTAAAGCCTGACAGCAAATTCATCAGTCGGGCCGTTGCCCGAATGAAGGAGGAATTGGAGTATCCCGGGGTTGAAATTGATAATGATACCGCAGAGGACGAGTAAAGATTGTGATGCAGTGGTCTTCCATCAAAAGTCATGTACCAGAACTCGTTGCTGTCGGCATGGTCGTCGTGCTGATAGTTGTCAGCAATTCGAGGCAAATGACAGTGCACTACCTACGAAGTGGCTTGGATGCAGTGCTTGAACGATCATGTAACTGTCATGACGTGAAAGCTGGACTCTGAACAATGACAATTCGCTTTTTCAAAAGTAACAATTTGGGTCCTTCAATCCTTGGAGTACACCTGCTGTCAAATGTAGACCGAGACGCTGCCAACAAAGCCTTGCCAAGGTTCCTCCCCGCCAAGCTTCATTCGCCACATGCCCATCAAATATAATACATCGTGTCTTGCAGGTTCGGATGCACCTGCACGTTGTTTGAGGGTGCAACGGGCTGAGATGCACTTGTGGTCGTCGATGCCGCGTCCGAGATGTCGAAAAGAGCCGGACGGTGAACGCGAGCCCGTTCACACACAATATCCGCGTAGTCGGCCGACGGGCAAATACTGACCGTTTTGGTGGCACGGCCGAAGAGGTAGCAGAGGTTATGCGTGAGCTTCTCTAACTGGTCCGCAGCCAAGTCACCCACGCCGTACTTCTCCCTAAAGATCTCACCCAAAAGCACAGCATAGTGAGCAGGGCGGGCTGTCCCCTTGAGAGCTGTGTGGGCGGTCAAGAAGAAATCCCAGCAACGGGCCTGAGTGACACCGCGGTCGACGACGGTGCCGTTCTTGATGTTGCGCGATTTCTGATCCATATTCACTTCAAACGTAGGGTAGAAGCGCGTCTGATGACGTTTGACGGATACGATGATGGAGAGCCTTGGGTGCTGCTTGGGCAGATAGAGCTGGTCACACGCCTTGCGGATCATAGGCAGCTCAGTTGTGAGAACCTGGGTAAATGGGCCTTCCGAGACGCCGTCTCGATAGATGATGATGAACTCAGGGAGTCTGTTTTGGTTACGCTGACGCCATAACAAGAGGCGAGGCCTGAACTTCTCTGTGAACTCATCTCCAAGCATCTCCTGACGGGAAGGCTGTTCCCACGCAATAGCCGGCCATTGTCCGAGGTCTTTGTCAACACTGGCAACCATTCCAACCAGGCTGGGCGCTGCGCTTTTGTCGTTGGACATGTTCGTAGGATGAGTGACATCGTAGCCAACAACCATGGCTTTACCTGAGGTGATAATATCGATCGTATCCTTGACCACGTGATTGGTGCCTCCATTCTTCAGGTTCCATTTGAGACCAATGTTGGCGCATGTCTGGAGGTTATGGAGACATTCACAGATCTGTGGCAAGTGGCTATTAACGTGTGTCCGTACGATTGACGAATGTAGCTAAATAAGAGGATGAAGGAACGTGTTTCCGACGCCATTATCTGCAAACGTCTAACAACGCTTTCTTTTATTTCTTTCACTTAGACCTCTCGTCGCATCCTTTCCCACTCTGCATACCAGCGTGGAAGCTGGTCATCCGCGTAGTCCCAAGAGAGGGGCTGTGTGAAAGTTTGCAAGTCGTTTTCGTCAAATACAATTGAAGAAGCCGCGGGATCAAAGGCAGCTGGCCGAGCTCCAGGCTCCATCTTGAAAAGCTCTGCGCGGGTCCATCTGCTAAGGCGTTCTCTGACAAAGTCCTCCCAACCACTGAATTGTCCATCCGTAAGTGGACGGCGCAGAGAATAGGAAGAAATCTTCTTCGCCGTCAGGGTCAGCACGTGGTAACTGGCATTAAGGTTTCTTCGTCTGCGCGTGTTGTTCCCGAAATGAGCGGATAGAGACACATGCGTGATCTCGCAACGGGAGTGCTCGATAAAGTGGGAAAGTGTGGAAGAGGGTGTACCGACGCCGTCTTGAAGATGCACAACTAGGGATAACTTATTGCCTATGCGCCGATAGCCCAGACCTTTCAAACCTTCAGATGACCAGTCCGCCCAATTGAAATCACGATTTGTCCATCCTTGGTGCGCATACTCGACCAGCCTGCGACCACCTTCATTGTCCAAGTCTCTTAAAGGATAAAACACATGCTTTTGTATGGTTAGGGCTGGAAAGAGCGAGTATGCCTTGTCGCAGAGTATGAAATTAAGGTCTGCAGTTGTGTAGGAGGTTTGCAAGATGGTTAACAGGGGAAATGATGCAGTCTGAACGATGCGGATTGTCGTTTTGCGCTCAAGATTTTGAAGCAGGAGGATGCCGTGTATCTGTGCCAATAATAAGCTTCGACTCTGTCCGTGAAGGGGAGATTGCTATAATACGTCTCTATCTCGCTCGTCAGTTGCGTCCTGCATTGAACTGGTGACATAGCTCTCCTCCTCTGTGATGTATTGTGTGAAGCTTTCCGCCTTCTATCCGTTCTGGACAAACACATCCAAATACAGAGTCTGCGAACATCCACGGACAAAGAAGTTGAGCGCGAACCCGCGCGAGATTATGGCGTCGCAATCCTGCATACGTTGGCGGAACTTATCAGGTTCAAGAACGAACCCTCGCAGGTGTGCATTCAGATTGAAGAGCGCTCCCCGCAAACGCGCAGGAAGCCAGCGGAATGCTTTACAGACCATCTGAAGCATGAGGATATCTGAAATATTCAGATACAAAATAGATTTCACAATCGGATAACAACGGCTAGGATCGAGTAGACTTTCCAGGTTCGCTGCGTGGCGATCGGGCTCAGAGGTCATGGCTGAGATAGGACGAGGTTTATGAAGCTGGAATGAATAGTTTGATGGACTTTCCTCAGAAAATCAGTGGCTTCACCTGCAGGGAGCCGTCGCAATTACCACTAGCAGGCCGTACGAGTGTTTGTCTCGTTTCGCTTGAGGTACTATGAAATGGATGTTGGAGGTGGGGATCTAGGTGTTTCATCACCGAATATGTTCATCCAAGCGGAAGTGCCGTTTATCAATTTTCGCGGAGCTGTTGCGGGGAAAAGGCGGTGAAGCTGTCACGTAACAGGGATGAGAACCGCAATCCACAAAATGCCCGTCACGTGCTATATCACGTGTATATCACCTACATCCTGTATATAGACCTTTTTTCTTTTGTCTATTTCTACTTTGAGAGGTTAAGCCACTTACCACACTCCGTATGCCCATTGCTGTGTGCCATAACTCGTGACAGAAGCCGTCATCGCCGAGCCTATCACAACAGCCTATCCACTCATCATAGCAGTGCCTATCGTGGCTCTGGTTACTCCACGGCATACTGCACCTGATTTTAACATCAGAGCGAGCGATGAATAATTTCGAGAAAAGGACAAGACACTCTCAGGCCCTTCGAATGCTGCAAATCACTCTCGTGGCCGGACTGACCGGTTACGTGATCGGAAACTGTCAATTGATAGACCCTCTGAGAATCCTTCGACATCCCCAGCATTGGCCCAAGAACGCCGACAAAAACCCCAAGCGCTTTGGCACCATCTTGAACCTATCAGCCATTCACCACCTTCTGTGTGAGTGACGTCAGGGGGCCAAATCAAGAGGGAAGGTGCCTAACAAGTTCCGTGAGCCAAGTGACAGACGCTAGTTGCGGTCCAGCGAATCGACGCAATTTGATGCCGTCGAGGGTGTTTGACGGCTATCTGCTCTCGTGGGTATACGAAATGTCGGCCTCATACAAGCGTCTGCTGGCTGCCCCCTGCCCCGGGTGTAGGCCACCTAACTCTGCTGTAAAGGCCCACATTGGTACGGGACACCATCTGTCAAGCGTGCCGTGGGCATTGACAAGATCATCTCCTGCAACTGCCTGGTATGGCTTTTCACGCCTTCCTCCGTATGCATCAAGGCGCAAGTGTTGTAGAGGTCTTGATGGGTGCGACCGGTCTAATTTACACACTGGTGATACAATAGGTACTCTCTGCCGACCATCGGTCTGGCATAGAAAGAAGACCTAACTGCTGTCTTGAATACCGTCCATGTTGGTCGCCGAGCCATGCCACTAAGAGATGCTTTCTCCGCTGAAGTCACAAGACTAACGTACGTCCAGACTAAAGCATGGTCGGCCTCCTGCAGCAGTAATAAACTCTACGCATCCTCCTCAACAATTAACGAACAATACCAATGCCGAGGCGTACGAGACTTTCCATACGTAGCCCGACGTTTCGCTCCTTCTCCAATCTATCGGGATCCGGAGCTCACAGAAGTTCAACAGTCGATCAGCCACAATTCGATCGGCCGCGTGCGATGCTTAGCTTGCCCATAGTACGGCGATGTGATAGCGAACACAGAAAATCGAAGACAGGTCATTTTTTAGATACCCTCCCGCTCTTGCATCGGGCATCAGTCCGTGGTACGTTTTTAGGCCGACGGCAACACCGTTGCTTCATAACAACGTACAAGGGGGAGAACGCTGCATCACGATTGCTGTCGGAGTTTCAACCACGTTGTTGTTCTCGAACGAGCTATGGAACGGGCCGCGGTGGCTACCTGTCATTAGCGCCTGTAACCCCTGTTGTGTGGGACGGGACTACTCTTTTCTAACAGGGCTGCGCTCTGCGCCCCGCTGCCGCGCGATGGGCGTGATGGCAACGTACTCCGCACTTCGGTCCTACCTATGCCCGAGGAGGGATTCGCCTTAGAAACCACCTCGATCTGCTTGTGAGAAAAAAACACCAACACCAGCGAGAACGAATTTTTGAAATCCGAGCAAGAACAGCGCCACAACACACTCTGAAGGGTCAATTGGATAGCCGTGTGCTCGTCTTGAAGCCCATAGCGACGCAGGCACCATGGCAACCCCATGGCCCCAGGAGCAATTATGGCCAACGCATCATCGAGAGCATGCCACTCAGCTTAACAGACACCTTCAGACAGCAGTCAAATCAATCGATACCGCAAACGAACACCCCCTCAACCCGCAAGCCGTGAGGGCCACACTCATCGCAACCCTCTCTCTGCTTGTCAAAATGCAGAACCTATCCGAACTCGGACACCTCCACCAAGCCATCGAAAGCCTACGTGCAGAAACCAAAACAGCCAACGAAAACACCACCCGCGACACGCGAAGCATCAGAATTGCCATGCAGCAGAACACGGTCGAACTCAAAGAAAATACCAACACAACGCGCGCGGCCAACGCGGCCGCTAAGGAGGCTTGGAAAGCTAGCGAGCTGGCGGTCAAGGTCGTAAAGGATATCAAAGCACTGGAGCCGATGAATCAGGGGAACACCGTGCAGTCATATGCTAGCGTAGCCGCCCGAGGAGGACTTGCGGGGAGCATGCATAATCCCTATAACCAGAGAGCGTCCCAGACCCAGACTCTGCGTGAGATCATTGTGAACATTCGAGACCCCATCACCATTGCCAGCATAAGAGCCATGAACCCCCGTAGCCTCAAGGCGCACGTAGACCGCGCCATCGAACAAAGCAGCAACGAGCATATCCGCAAGCTCAAGACCGTGTCTGCCAATCAACTCAAGAGCGGCGACCTGAGCGTCAAGACAGCCACGACGAAAGACATGGAGGCCCTCCGCCAGTTTGCCGAGGACTGGGAAAACCACATCGGCAACGGCGCCGCAGTGAGGATCCCAACCTACGGGGTGCTGGCGCACGGCATCAGAACCAGCTCCATGAACATGGACCGCTTCACAGAAATTAGAGACGACCTGCTGCAGGACAATAAAGCATTCATCCCCAGAGCAGACATTAAGTACGTAGGCTGGCTGACCCAGTCAGCCAGTAAAAAGACGGCATCATCAGTGGTTGTGGAGCTCTCAAGGGCAGAAGACGCCAATAAACTCATTGACGAGGGACTCATCTGGCAAGGCCAGGTGTTCCAATGCGAACGATAGGATAGACAGTGCCGTCTGAGGCAGTGTTTTAAGTGCTGCGCATACGGCCACATAGGAACCCAGTGCAAGGCAACAACAACATGCGGCCACTGTGCGCAAGAACACGCGACCCGAGATTGCCCCACGAAAAGCGACACGACGACCCCAAGGAAATGCGCCGCATGCTACGGCGGACACGAGGCATGGCACGGCGGATGCCCTACCAGGATCCGCGAGAAGGCCAAGATCAAGGCCGCCTACGGCCAACGGTCGAGGTACCACCCGGAACAGACGGCCCCACACTCGGCCCTAGGACCGGAACCCCGGATCAGGCCGAGCCCGAGGACTACACGGCCGACGCTGGAACCAGGCCAATCCCAGGAGAATCGTCCGAGCCGGAGCAGGTCCCCGACGAAGAAGATCCAAAAGAGGCCTAACCTGACAGCAACCCAGGAAACGGAAGAGACGATTACTGTAGCTGCAGAGAATACGCGCCCGAGACGCACAATCATCCGATCGCGAAGAGCGCTCGAGGCGCTCGACCCCAATACGCAGATGACAGACACGCAGACGATAAGCAACAGCACAGCGATGGAGATCGTTGTTGACGATAGCGAATGAACGCACAACAGACACTCACAATACTACAGTACAACATAAGAAAATCGAAGGACACCGTCATGGCGACACTTCTCCGTGACCCGAACATCGATAATTACGACATCATTGCTATTCAGGAACCATGGAGGAACCCCTACAGTGCAACGACGCACCATCCGGCCAAGGACCGGTTCCACCTGTGCCACCCTTCCAGCGAGGAAAATGGCCCAGCCAGGGTCTGCTTCTTCATCAACAAGAAGCTTGAACACTCTCGTTGGCAGTTTAGGGAGGTCAGCAGAGACCTCTGCACTCTGGTAATCGCAACAGATGACGATGCCGAAACAAGCCTAGTGCTACACAATGTGTACAACCCGTCACCGCGGGAGGAAGATCGACAACCGGTCCTACAACAGCTACGAACAACACTGGAAACACATCGGCACGTCGAGCAAATCGTCGTCGATGACTTCAACCTACATCATGAGCTAGGAAGACCAAGAACGAAGGCAGCGCTCGACGGATACGTAGAGAAAACCATAGACGCCCTGTCGACCGCTATCAAAGTCGCGGTCCCGACCAGCACCCTTTCTCCAAAATCCAGGAGAGGCTGGGACGAGCAGTGCGCAGCCATCTTGGCCGAGACGAAACGACTTCGCCGCGACTATAGCGAGCGGCAGACAGAGGAGAGCTGGGAGGCGTACAGAGAGGCACGCAACAGAAAAGGCCGCATCGTCAAGAAAGCTCTCCAACAAGCACATCGCGAAGCAGTCGAAACAGCGGCCGAGTCACCTAGATCGCTGTGGAAGATCGCCAAATGGGCCCGGAACAGACAGAGCCAGCCGCCAACCGTTACGCCGGAAATTAAGAAACCCAACACGTCTCAGGTCGCCACAACGCCTGAAGAGAAAGCAGCAATCTTCAAACAGACCTTCTTCCCCCCGCCGCCAGAGGCAAATCTCGAAGACATCAACAACGCATCGTACAGCAACCAGATTGGCCTGCCGCCAGTATCGGAAAGCGAAGTAGAAGACGCCATCCAGGAAGCAGCACCGCTGAAGGCCCCGGGCCCCGACGGCATCACTAACCTGGCACTCCAAGTGGCGAGACCATGGATCACGTCACATCTCGCCCGCATATTCAACCAGAGTCTCCGGTTAGGATATTGTCCCCAACACTTCAGAAAGTCCACCACGGTGGTACTCAGGAAGCCAGGCAAAGACAACTACACAGTGCCCAAAGCATACAGGCCGATAGCCCTCCTCAACACGGTAGGCAAGATCATGGATGCCATCATAGCGAGGAGACTGAGCTACCTTGCCGAAACACATGGATTGCTGCCAGACAGCCACATGGGCGGGAGAAGATGTCGGTCGACGGAACACGCGCTGCATCAAATCGTAGATAAGATATACGAAGCCTGGGGTTCAGGGACGGGGATGGTAGCAAGCCTACTTCTCCTGGACGTGTCAGGCGCCTTCGATAACGTTTCGCACCGCCGACTCCTGCACAATTTGCGGAAAAGGCGGATCGACGAAGCGGCGGTGCGGTGGATTGCCAGTTTCCTAGGATGCCGAGAGACGGAGATTCACGTGGACGGGTTCCGATCCGAAACCTACAGACTCGACACCGGCATCCCCCAAGGATCGCCCCTTTCGCCGATACTCTACCTCTTCTACAACGCGGATCTCCTGGACAGCTGCAATGAGACCGGGGATACGACAGCCACCGGTTTCATCGACGACGTAGCAATCCTAGCCGTAGGACACAGCACTGAGGAAACCTGCCAGAAGCTCCAAGAAGCGCTCCGGAAAGCCGAGACATGGGCCTCCACTCACGCCTCCGTCTTCGCGCCCGAAAAGTTCCAGCTTACCCACTTCACACGAGCAAAAACCAGAATCGACACAGACAAAACACTCCACAGCCCGTGGGGAGAAATCGAGCCAAAGACAACCTGTAAATACCTCGGCCTCATCATGGACTCGGCCCTCAAGTGGAAACAACACATCGACGAGACAGAACGTAAGGTCACGAACACCATCACAGCACTCAGCAGTCTAGGTAGCTCCACGTGGGGCGTGATGACGAGAGAGATGAGGACGATTTATAGGGGAGTCGCAATACCACAGATGATGTACGCATGCTCGCTGTGGTCCAACAGCGGTTGGGGAGAGATGGGCTACACGAAAAGGACATTGAACAGACTGCAGAGGCTCCAAGCCAGAGCAGCCAGGGCAATGTGCGGAGCATACAGAGCAACCTCGTTCCCAACACTAGATGTGGAAATGCACCTCCTGCCAGTCGAACAACAGATATGGAAACACAACATCGACACCATCAGCAGAGTAGGCATGGCCGAAGTCACCGCATGCAGAGGAAAGAAAACGAGCCCAAGACAGACGATAACAAACCGAATACACGATGGACAACATGTAACCAGCGAACAACACGAACACGAGCACATACCGCCTTTCATCACTCCTCCGTGGTGGCAGGGACCGCGTATCCACATCGCCGGAGGCACGGAGCAGGCCGAAAAGAACACGAACGTTGTCTGGAAAAGAACACCGACGCAGCCCACATCTATACAGACGGCAGCGGCATCGACGGTCAGATCGGAGCGGCAGCAGTCTGCACAACCACACAGCAAACTAGGAAATCTCACATGGGGGACGACACGACATCGACGGTCTACGCGGGAGAGCCGCAGGGCATCGTTCTGGCCCTCGAGATGGCGCAGGCAGACAAGGAAAGCGGAAACTACCGAAGCAAAATCTTCATACACACCGACAATCAGGCCGCCATCAGATCGTCAGCCAAGCCAAAGGGGAAGTCCGGCGCGTACCTTCTCAAGACCATCGCAGAAAAGACACAAGCCCTCCGAGAACAGGGACTCGAAGTCGAGCTCCGATGGGTACCTGCCCACATCGGCATCCAGGGCAACGAAGCAGCAGACATCGCAGCCAAGGAGGCGACGGGATGGAGGCGAGACGGACAGACAGGTTCCAGGGCAGACAAGCCGAGAGCCCTGTTCAAACTCAGGTCGACAGTCAAGACATGGTCGCATAAACAGTCCCACCACGCGTGGCGAACCAATTGGGAAACCGAGACGCGAGGGAGAACATCGTTCCGTCTCACGCCGAAGCCGACGAAGAAAGTCCTCAAACTCCACGAAGGCCTCAGTAAACGCCACAGCGCACTCCTAGTCCAGATGCGCACAGAAAAGATCGGGCTCCAGGATTTCCTCTTCAAACGAAGAGTACCGGGCATCACCAACGCCAACTGCCCATGCCGGGAAGGACGACAAACGGTATCGCACATCCTGCTGCGATGCCGCAGGTTTCGACAACTCCGGCGCCAGGAATTTGGAACCCTCCCAGGACGACACAATCTCCGGGTCACACTGAACAAGCGCAAAGCAGCCGCCAAGGCAATCCGATTCATAGAACAGACCGAGATCCTTGGGCAACACGGGATCGAGTCACACACCAGACTAAGCTGAACATTGGGGGGAGACTGTAGGTACGCTGAACCGTTGCACGAGGAGAAAGACCTCAATAGAGCCTAGACATGCATGTACATTAGTAGAGAACCGCGAACTACACGAGTTGGCAGCCAAGGGTAGTTGAGGTTGGAGAGCAAAGTGGGAGATTTGGAGACAGCTGGTCAGTGTTTTGCACTGGCGAAGTGGGGCGTCGCGGATTAACACCCGGAGCGCTTCGGCTGTTGGCCAAACCCCGCTATCCGGGCATAGCTGCTGACTAAAGCGGCCATAACCGAGTAGGAATTAATCAATCATTGTCACTGATCAACCTCGGGTCGCGCTATATTGGTCTGAGACTTAGGGACATGATCCATCCTTATCGTGAGTGCGCGGATTTGTGACCAAATACAAGGCTCAATACTAACTGCTCGCGCAGTGAGTATCTTTGACCATTCGGAAGCTGCAAAGTCATTTTATTCAGTCCCTGGTAGCCCAATCGTGAAAGGGACAGTTCGTTCTCAATATGGACGGCAACAACAACCCTCATGCAGCCGTCTTCGCGTCTGCGTCCGCATCACCGGGAGTCGAAGAAACTCAAACCTCCAATCTAACGTCCATGCCTCCGGCGATCCGTGCGATATACGAAGACTTCAGGGATAAAATAGAGTCTCTACGGACTGTCATTTCCAAGAAGGGCGACGAAGATGACCTGGATGACGCTTTGAAGCTTGCAGAAGCTCTTAGACAACTGACAGCATCCCTGATGTCCACCATCAAGCAAGAAGGATCTGCTGTATTTAGGGAAGAGACCAGCGACACTGCTGCCGGCCCTGACTGGCTGTAAGGTCAACGAAGTTAACCTGCGGCCATTGCCTCGGAAGGATGATTGGGCTCTTACCAATGCCCAGGGGAGGGTAGGTCTTAGTAAGGAATCTAGTAGTGGTAAATAGGCACAGCTGATTGTGGGAATGGGATTTGACGAGGCTGCCTTCTGGACGGAGGGCACAGTCTTGGGAGGTGGCGAAAGGAGCCGCTTTCCCTCGAATAAGGCCTATCAGTATCATGAGTAGGTTCTCATGGAACTTTTTGCATGCACGGATCTCCGCTTGTAGGGATTCAGCACCATTTCAGATGTCATTGCCGAACTCGGCGACCGTACTCATCCTGCTTGCTGGACTGTCGACTCAAGCCTGACTCAAGAGCACTTCTCCCTGTGCTCGCCTGTGAGACCAACGGTCGACTAATAGAAGGCAACGGAGCTGAACCATTCTCTGCCCCTCCCCATGGGACATGACGCGGACGGGAATAGTGCGATCTCTCGTTCGTAACGTCATCACTAGAATTCCGGACTGCTGTAGTGCCGGTATGCATTCTTCTTTGTAGCAGAGTCGCCGGCCCAAACTCCCTTCTAGCTCGAGCATTGCTAGATACTGAGTCACTTTCACGGATGGCGAAGGTTGCGAGCACACAGGGTTTGCTTTCAAAGGCGCATAACTAGAGCCATTTGAAGTAGGTTTGGCCGATGGGCCGGTCAACTCACTGACTCTGGGCATTAGTTTTTGAGCAGTGACTACTAACATGAAAGAGGAACCAGATATGGTTTCGGAGGTGGTGACATCTCAAGGACGGAAAAGACCAACTTCGCTGAGCGTGAACCCTTTCTTGACTTCGTCCAGCCCTTCCCCAAGCAATTTGGTACATATGTCAACCAGCTGGCAAGGTCGCGAGCTCGATGCATGATAGACAGAGTGACCCCATCGAGGAGTTTGGAAATCCTTGATCGCTTTCTCAAGCGCGGTGATGCCATAGCCTAAGAATGGCGCACAGGGTTCAGGATCCATTAGGTTGTGTTTAGCCATTTCCTTTGCCAGTGCACCAAAGAGGGCAGAAGAACAGCCAAAGTCGCAGCCGGAGAGACCGCGAAGTAGAGATGTGCCCAGTGTGTCCAGCGTTCTCAGAATACCTGCTATGGCATCCTGCCTTCGAAAGTCGATTTGATCTGCCACAATCAGAAGGGGTATGTACACAGGGTGGCAGGAACACAAACCGATCAAGTCTCCTCGGAAAGGTAGTCCAAGAGTCGGGAGAGGCCCTTTGCTCTCTGTGACGGCTGTCTTGGTGATGGTCTGGAAGATGTCATCTCGACGAAAGACCACAGCCACGAACAACCATAGGACCAGCTCGCGGTTGCACTGCGACGGCAGTTGTTCTTTGAGGGCGTCGATCCACAGAGTCGAGAAGAATCTAACAGTATTGTAACAGCTGAAGTAGTCAACTAGGACTGCGATCTTGGCAAGCTGTTCCAGATCAATAAGACGGGGAGTGTTTCCCGTTTTAGCATGGAAAATCTGCATCAAAATGAGAGCGTCAGCGTCCCAGTCCCGTATTCGGGTATGACGACGGCCATCCTGGGAGTGCACAGAGGCCTCCGCCCATGGACCGCAGAGTTGGGCCTTGAAGTAGTGTGATGAGAACGTGAGATGTCGGGACGATACGATGAATTCAACACATGGGATCGTAGAAGCTGGGCTCTGAACCCGGGTCTCATCGTAGGATGACATCGGAGGGTGAGTCTCGGCTTCTGGTGTTTGCGGGTGCACCGAGCCGTTATCTGCAACGGGCGAGTCGGCCGCACTCAAGCTCCGGCTAATTCCATCTTCCGCAAGCGGCAATTCGTCTACTCCGAGGCCGCTGATGGTCGCGACTGTTCGAGACTCAGACTCTTTCTGCTTCTTCTTCTTTTTCTTGTCCTTCTTGCTCAATTTCCTCGAGCTGTCTTCTTCTTTCGGTTTTGCATGTCATGCCGAAATCGAATTCCACGAGACTGGTGTGAGTATTGCGTGCTCGCCTCTAAAGCGTGTTTCGGGATGTGTTGGGCTGTCAGGCTGGCTGTACAAAATGATGAGCTACGCCGTTCGACCTTATCTCCGAGCACGAGTAGTGCGATTCGTACCACAGGTTAACTTCCTGAAGCCCGGCAGTGGTGCATTGTTCCCACAGGGCAAAAGCTGGATTCGCATTTTCTAGGACAAGCACCACATCCCCATCAGGATCGAGCGTGTGCGAGCGCTCCACAGGGTCGCGTTGCTCAAAGATACTGTCGGTAGGCGCGGCGCGCAGAGGCGCAGTCATGGCAGATACTGGTTCCCAGTTCGACGATGCCATCAAGCGTGGATTAGATAGCAAGAAAGGTGTTGTTCTTATCTTTCGTTGATGGCGCTGGACTGCCATATAACTCATCACGGCAAACGCGACGGGCAGGCCAGGCGTTGTGTCACTATGCGTATTTTCTCACGCATGCTTCCCTTTCGCAATATTGTGCCGTACGCGCGCGCTTAGATGCAGGTTCCTCTAGCCAAGTTGCGCTGAAGTCTGTGCCGGCATTCGTATGCTTCCCGGCCAATCGTGCACTCTTGCTATGCACTGTATGACATTCCGCTCGATGAGCTGGCAGTGCCGGGGGCATCGGCCAAACAGTAGTTCTCCAGCTTGCCATGTCTTGAGACCCCCGTACTCCAGTGACGCTAACCAACCTGGCAAATCAAGACATGCATGTGGGCCGAAGCTATTTCGCCTGGGTGCCTTGAGGGGCGAATGATCGATGCTATCCTAAAGTCAATGATCACTGACTCATTGGACGGTCCTTGGCTCCACGTCCAATGGGTACACTGATCGTTCCTGACTGTTTATTTCGCTATGGTCCGGGCTCTCCAATAAACTCAAATCAGATTAGCGTGAAGAGGGGCTCGTCCTTGAACCAATGATTGGGCAGTGTTTTTGCTGGCTTCGGAATATCAAGTTCCCGACAGCCGCGTCGCCGACCGAAGATGCAGAAGCCCGCAAATCCCCATCCACTGCCTAACCGACCACCTACCATCCGTTATGACTGATCTATCAGAACAGATCAATCGCAATTCCATTGGAAATGGGCTTGATGGTGTTCGCAGTACCTTCAACTCCGTATGTATCAGGGAAAAGACGCCATATTCTGCAGATTTAGTAAATCAACTCGGTCAGGAAGGTACGAGCCCTGGCTCTCGCTGCTTAACCTCTCTAACTTAGTCACAGATCTTCGGAACCTGACCCTCCCTCTCCTTTTTGCCTTGCAAAGCCACGTCCTTTCAAGATCTCTACCATCAAAATCGGGCTGCGATAATTTACAAAGTGATCTCCTCAGACTGATCTCCGCCGTAGTCTCCGACAATTTCGACTTCAATCGCGTTAAACGACTTCTGAAAGCGGCTTTCTCTAATAAACTCGATGATGCCACCATCTGGGACCAAGCATATAGTGCCGTCACAGAAACTACGCCACCCCCCCGAAGATTCGCTTCCTCGGTTCAACAAACACCATGGCTGCGGAGCACGAGCAGTTTTACCAACTCATCCGAACACCGCCGATATGTTGACGATATACTGAAGGAGGAGCTCGGCACTATGTACGTGGGACTTCCCGGTTTCCGAGATGCATACTTTGGAAGATTGGACGGACTAGAAGCTGCATCCAAGGAGGTTTTCGATCAGTGCCTTGATGGCCACGAGCCTGTATTTCGAAATGGCTGGAGGGGATGGCCCCGGGATCCGAACGAAAAAAGCGTATTGGAGTGGCTTGCCGACATCGTAAAGACACTAGCGCTACTTGCAAAAGCCCAGAAGTCCAACGCGACACATCAGCGGAGCCTCTTAATACAGCCCAACACGCCAATGCATGGTTCGACGGCAGACCGCAAACTGGATGTTGGGTTTGTCGATGATTTGAGAGGGCCTCCATACCACTGGAAGCAAATACTAGTACCTGGAGAACTAAAGAGTAATCCGTCTGCCGACACCGCCTCCAAAGCCTGGATCGACCTTGGGAGATATGCGAGAGAAGTACTCGCCGCACAGGACACCCGACGCTTTGTGATGGGCTTCACGCTCTGTGGATCTCTCATGAGGGTGTGGGCCTTTGACCGGCTTGGAGCCCTCGCATCAGAGCAGTTTGACATCAACAAAGACGGCCTGCAGTTTGTGTCGGTGATCCTTGGATTTCTTTGGATTGATGAAGAAGGCCTAGGGTTTGATCCAACGGTCATGGTGTCGGACAACGACCGATTAATCAAGATTCAGCGGAACGGTTCTACCGAGCAGATTGTTATTGATGGGGTCATCCTTCGGGCGCGTTGTGTGGCTGGCCGCGCTGTGACTTGTTGGAAAGCCCACCCCAAAGGACATCCAGAGACGCCGCTTGTCATCAAGGATTCATGGCAATATCCCGAGCGCGATGAGGAAGGCGATCTTCTGCGTGAAGTGACGGACAAAGGTATTGTAAATGTGGCTCGGTATTATCACCACGAAACGGTCCGGGTTCGCGAGACAGATGATGACATCTGGAACAACGTTCGACATGGTCTAGATATCACGGCAGCGACGAATTACCGGCCGGGACGTCAGATACCACCAAGCAAGATGGTAAAAGATGACTCGCGGAAGGGCCGTCCCGGCAGCAGCAAGAAGCGGCCCTCCAGCCAAATCGACTCCGCTTTGCCCCCAAGCAAGCGGTCCTGCTCCATGTCTCCAACAAAGGTCGCCAGTACCTCACCCAATCGGGTTCATCGGCGCATTATTCTCCGGGATTATGGCAAGCCTATCTACGAGGCAAGCTCTCGATCAGCATTACTTGCTGCCCTGGTATGCTGCATTGATGCCCACGAGTCTTTATACAAGGCAGGCATTCTCCACAGAGACGTATCCATCAACAATCTCATGATCAATGAGGACAGTCGCAACCCATCCTGGCCTGCTTTTTTAATCGATCTTGACCTGGCAATTCGAGAGCCAAGAGAAGGGTCCTCTGGTGCCAAGGGAAAGACTGGTACGCGGGCGTTTATGGCAATCGGGGCGCTGCTCGGCGAGCAGCATTCGTTCATGCACGACCTAGAGTCGTTTTTCTGGGTGCTTTTCTGGATATGCATTCATTACGATGCAAATGGTAAGGACGTCGGCCCGACCGGGTTTGACAGGTGGAACTACGAGAGCGATAACACGTTAGCTGAGCTCAAGATGGGTGTGGTTGCTGACGAGCAATACTTTCTGCAAAAGCTGACGGAGAGTTTTACTTCGCAATATCAGCCGCTAGTACCCTGGGTCAACAAACTACGAAGGGAAGTCTTCCCTAGTGGGCCTAAATGGAACAGATCAGAGCCTGGGCTTTATTCCTCCATGAGGCAGGTTCTTGACGATGCACAGAAGGATCCAGAAGTGCTAGCAAACACGTAATGTCATATGAGACCCTACACTGTAGTCAAAAAAGTATGGCACGTTCAGCTGAGCTACGAAAGATCGTTCTTGTTGCCTTTTCAACAACTGCCGTCCGCATCGCCAGAATCGACGAGACGCAGATCGCCGATCAAAAGCTGATGCCCTCAGTGGCCTGTTCACCCTTTGAAAAGTCGGTGGATGGTTTGCGGTCACTACAGACGATCATTTCGGATATGGGGGAGGACGACGATCCAGAGGACGCATCGAAGCAAGCGAAAGCCCTTCTGCAATCAATCGTACCTCTCATGTCCATCGTCAGGCGAAGGCTTAGCGGTATCAGCATGGAGGGCAGTGAGGGTGCACGTAACCCTCACCGACGCTGAGGCCAACGATATCATCTCATGGTACCCATGACTGAGCTTGTGTTTGTACCTAGAGGAGGGCAGATCTGGGCAGGTAATTATCTACAGGAATGAATCGGCACAGATGGGCTTAGAAGAGGTATTCGACAGGGCTGCAATTTGGACGGAGAGCACGGTCATGGGAGATTGCAAAGCGAGGCATTCTCACCTCAGGTAAACCGACGAGTTTCAAAGAAGAAGTTCGTTTGTAACGGGTCTCGAGTCATGCTGACCGAGTGGATGATACAGAAGCCGGGCGTTTGTGCTTTTTAACCATATTTTGTTTCGATCTTCCAGCGTGTTGTGTACGCTTTTCGCCGGCATCATCACCTTGCGCGGCTACGATGTAATTACGACAGCTATAATCTAGAAACTATCGGCGTCTTTATGCATCATACCATGTGCCTTTGGGTTAACACTCCGCCGTACTACGAGGCTATCCACCGTCTTCATCCTCTTATCCTAACCAAGCAGCAGCAAGGCGGGTGGGATTCCGGGTTCAGGGTGGACTCGCGTCAATGCTTGCTGATCCGATGTCCCGGTCGACCGTTCCTTCGCCAACACCTTTTTGCCCGTCGTTTAGATCTGTTGCCTTGTAGCAGGGGACGGACCTGGTTAAACGGTGTGTGAGCTCTTGCCACCAGGAGCGGATACAATCTCTAGGTATTAAGAGCCACGTTCTCGCACAACTGAGTCGTCGACTGACTCCTACTTCACCTCACTTTTTTCCTTCTTATCGCCTACATATCCGCCATTCTGAATCGTTCCTATGCATCGCAGGCTCTCAAATGTCTTACGTCAGATGGTCCAGCATCCCGAATTACAAAATCCTATTCAAAGACCTCGGCTACACTACCCATAGCGAACAGAAGAAGATCAGAGCCGAGTGCAAGGAATTCAGAGACAAGTATCCAGCCGCCAGAAGTTTTAAATGCGAAGGCCTCACCAATTCGCACCTAGCCGAACATCAGAAGGAGATTGGTGGCATTGTCGAGGCTTTTCTGAATAAACACGCAGAACAGCTGTGGCCGTCCGACGAACATGCATCCCAGCATCACAGACTACAGTACCCTAAAGACGAGGCTGAGTCCGTATCATAGGAATCTAGTCGGACAGGAATTGACATCGATGTGTTTAGGATTAGAAAAGCGATCTTCAGTGTATTTTGTCGCCAGACTTACTGGGCGGGGAAATACTCAAGCAAGCGAGAAAAGCAGATAACGAAGGCGATAGACAACCAAGACTTCGGAGACGAAGAAGACGACGATCCAAGTCCGAAAGACACAGACCGTACGGTGAAGGACGTCTCCAGCCACGTTGTGGGCAGGCACCTTGAGACCATACATGTTGCGCCTGTAACCACCGCGGCAATCCTGCATACACCATGCATGGAAGCATCGATACACGAGTCTTCGAAGCGACGTGCATCCTCTGTCCGCGATGCTCCCCCTGCAAAACGAAATCGACGCCGTCTTACAGTGTACGTGAGCCGTAGGTCATTCCAGGACAACAATACCAACACCTTCCACGAGCAGGAGAATACTGTGGTAGCCAAGTGCTCAGCTCGAAGCTTATTTGATCAGTCGTACGATAACGATGACTCGGCAGACGGCCCCTCGGTGTCAGCGAGCGAAGCTCGTTCCAGAACCAATTCCACTCGCTCAGCCGAATCTAGTATTGCCGACGAAGCCGAGCCCGTCCCAGGTCTTCGAGCCTCGAAGTCAACCGCTGGAGAGCAGCCGCCAGTCGGAGAAGACAGTACCCGCGCCGTGTCTACGGACGAAGTTCTCGCAGATACGGGCCCAACCGAGGGGACTGCTGTGACAACTCAACGAGAGTCGATTGCAGAGGCAGCGAGAAGCTATGATCCGGTCTTAGCTGTCGCACATGGGTTAATCCTCGGCGGCGAGGGATCGCCAATCTGGTCTGGTATGAACAACACAGTTCAGTCTGCACCAGAGGTTGAGTTTACCTACGGCATTACCATACGATACCCAGTGCACCTCAGGATACCGTGGATCCCCCGGGGTCACCTTGCTTTCAAAACCCTTTCCGACGTGGAGAATGAACTCAAGACAGTGCTGGAGGAAGGCTTGACTCGAACGATAGGCAAACAGGACTTCGCTGACCTGAAGGACTTCCGGATTGAGTCGTGGCGTTTCGATATACGTGGTCATGGCGCAATTTTCGAGTTCGAAGTCAAGGGTGGGATAGAAAAACATTTCGACCACATGAAGAGAAAGACAAAGCAGGAGATGCAACTAGCGATACAGATGTCACCGGAGTCGAGACCGGCGTTCAATATCGAGATTCAGATAGTCACCAGCCGAGATTCGGGGATCAGGCAGACGGGCGGCCGCAGCTTTAATGGGGTGCTCTTCAAGTGTTTATGGGAGATGTGCTTCCCTAGATAGAGAATCTTATCTTTCGTAACTTCCTTTCAACCCTCAGACGAAAGTGGCCCGCTGCACTAGAGCCAACCTACTTTGGTGCACAAGATGCAAGGCGCAACAATCGGATAATAGAAGAAATACAGGTTCTGAAGAACCTCTCTAATATCGACGTTGAAGATTTGGTCCGGACTTCTATAAGCCAAAGCGTGGTCAGTCCACAAGAAAACGCTCAGGTAAGGTCAGCAAGGTGCTCTGGAGGCTTTATCCTTGTTCCATCATGGTACGCAGCCCTGACTGCCCCCGTAGTTTCCTACATGTTTGGGTTCCATGTCGACTTGTTCGAGTTTCCACTTCCGTAGGGTAAGGCACATGGCCTGGAAGAAGTCGGAGGAATCATGGTATCTATCGGTAGAGTTAGATGTCCTGCGTTGAGTTAATGAATGTCGAGGAGCTTTGGGGGTCCTAAGAGAGGTGTAGTCATGATTCCGAAGCTCTCCGATGCCTCAGCTTATTTGTTGAACAATTATACCGGGTTGGAGCTCTGCAGCTGAGAATGTCGTCTTGAAGGCTTTCGGCTTTTTGATTGAGTGTCTCTGCTTCAGTATGCCTGGTTCCTTGGCGACAGGCAGTTCAGTGGGGAAATTAAAGGTGCCGCGCTTACCAAGTTCCGTCCTAGACCGAGAGAAGACAGGAGATGCGGTGTGGCCGGGCAAAGGAAGCAGGCCTCGGCGACCCGGTTGTAGCTTGGGCCATGACTGATTCATTTTGGCAGCCCCTGACAAGGGCGAGGGTTTGGGATTTCTTGATGGTGCTACCTCATTGTTTGACAGCAGCGAAATCAAGGTATGAGATGACATGGTACCTTGTGCGCGCAAAAGAAAGCTGAACGCTCCTATCTCCAATACAGGGGGCAATTGGAGAAGTACAACCGGTGCAGGGGCTGGACGAAAAGGTCGGTGCCTTCAATTGGTAGCGGTGCCAGCCTCCGGATAGCAAGCTTTCCAATCTCGGAATAACCCAGCTGAGCACAATGTGCCATAATTTCGGTGCTCAGGAAGTGTGTTGGGAAGTTACGGACAACTCTGACTTTGCGGTCTCCTCCATATTCAAATTTCCCTCATAAGCATCAACGGATTCCGTTTCCGTCACTTCATACGCCTCAAGAGTCTTCCCGAAAAGCTACCTTACCTTACCTGAGCCCGAAGAACCCATCGAAAGAAGCGCCCGGACCAGTATTGTCACACTCGAACGCAGGAATTCCCATCTTCAGCCGTCCGCCATTGTTCTGCCCGTTAAGAAAAGTATTTGCATCCATCAATCCATTCGTCAGTATTACGATCTCATCGCTCGTCTCAGCAACAGATCTTCTGCGAGTCAAATTTGTCGCCTTCTAAACCCTCTTTTATCTTCAATCAGCGCCGAGTGTGTCGAAGATTTAACGAAGAAGCCAGGTCAGAGAAGAATCTCTCGAGTACGATATCCATGCCTAATCTCACCACTCATAAGCGGCGGTTAGAATGCGAAGATTGTGGCAAACGCTTCAAGCAACGACAAAAACTCACGAGGCATTTCGAGACACACAATGTAGTAATTCCGTTCGGATGCAAATTGTGTCCGAAACGCTTTCAGATACAAGGGCGCCTCATCCGCCATATCCGCACGCATGATATAGAGTATTCCTTGACAGACAAGACGTGTTTCGAACGCTACGCGCGAAAAGATGTCCTCGCTTCTTCCAAAACGATCCATACTGCGGACAAACCCTACAACTGCAGACACTGTGATTTCGGCTCCCGTTACCGATGCAGTCGCAATAACCATGAAGAAACTCAGCATTTCACTCTTCAGTTAGCTGCTGATCAAGACTCTGAGGTACTCGACTCCATTAATGTCCACACTCGGCGACTGGCATACGCTAATTCAAATAGTCCTCGAAAAAAGGTCCAGCTCAACCTCGAATGATGTCGCCTTACGGAAAACTTTCAACAACTCCAGTTCCATAGACGCCCCTGCGTGCAGCTCTGGAAATGCGATCGCACAATACGACCTGTCAATATACCAGAGGAAGTATCGGAGCAGTGATCAAAGAACGACCTCCAGTAACACCCGTGAGATTCGCGAGCAGCCAGGACCCGCCTGTACACGCTTTCCTGCACAGCAAAAGGATGATCTCCCGAGGATTCATGAGTTGGGCTCCTGGAGTGCAGAATGGGGACTTCTCCAACTGGGCTACTAAGAGCCGGCGCGTCATGAGAAAGAGTTACCAGCGGTCTAGACGAGTGGCTCGAGGGATTTGTTTTGGTACTGTTTGATCCCAACAGTCGTGGAGTTTGGGTGTTCTGATCGGTCTGCGGACGGTTCAAGCCAGAAACCCGGGACAATCTTCCAAGGAGAGTATACGTTTGTTAGATTATTATCTTGCCAAAAATCTTGTTTCTCAAACTCTTCCGCCATCTTTCGTGGCATGAAATGTAACAACTAAGATGCTGAGCTGAATTGGCTCATGCGAATCGACGTTGTCGGCCACGGTTGGAAGAAACATCGCTCATTCCTAGATCGGACCAGGGTTACTCCAGAAGAACGCAATCGCCGAGCCACGTGAAAAAGAATGTAGGCTGATGCAAGTGTGTGAAGACCGGTGGGGTTGGGTGGAACTGAAGGCAGGAAAGCAATCGGATTACCTAGACAACTTAAAGAGCAGTATAAACCTTGGACAGTCTCATTTCACAGATGTGCTATCTCGACCTGGCTTCGACCTTGCGCTCATGATTCTTTGAGTGCAATGCTTCGAGTGCAGTGTCCTCCGAGTTTGGGTCACGGCGACTGAATCTTGGCCGACTAGCCAGGATTGGAACTTGTGAGGTAGTTCAGAGCCATTTCTGCGGCGTCCTCCTTCGCATTGTTCAAGTTCTTTCCGTCATACCAGAACCGAGCCGAGAGCGTGCGACCGTGGACGGTCACCCGGCTAGACCAAGCCGTGCGCCCCCCTGCGAAAGAGTCAGGACCGCTCAAATAGCCAGCAGCGTATGCTTACCTCGCCGATCGGAGACGATTTGGAACACAGGTGGCATGATGTTGGCTCTTTGGCAGGCATCTATTCACCGTTCAGACCCGGCGGCGCGGGATAGAGAAATCTCTCGTACCTTCAAGGCGCTCTTGCCAGGTTCTCGCCTGGCTGCTGTAGGAGGAGGCAGACATGGCATCAAAGGAAGGAGCGTATGCTATTCCATATACTGCACACTACATCGTGAAGGCCGTACGCTCGAATACTAATACCAGAGGCGGGCTCGTAGAAAAGAAAACGCCAGGAGATACGTCGGGAACCAACGGAGTGATGGCCTGGACTCTCGGCGCGCGACCCACACTCCGGTGAGCATGACGTCCCAGGACTTTCCTGGCGCGGCGGGGTTAGACGGCCCCACGCCGGTGGTGCGGAAGCCGGGCCAGCGCCGCGGCCGGAGCCTGGTCCCTGCGTCTGAGTGAAGGGGGGCGTGTGCTTCTTGCCCCCATTCTCCGTTGTTCGCAGACAGCATCAGGGTGGGGTGTGCGCTGGTCAGCCCGCAGGAGTGGCGGCCGCTGACGTCCCCTGCATCACTGAGCAAGGTGCATGTACACTACGCAGACACCTTCTCCCTCTGCGGCGGAACGCCACCCACGGGATGAACGGATCTGAATCCGTGTGCAGCACCCCAGTGGGAGAGCTGCAGCAAGCGGACGCCCTGGCCTGTCTGCCACGTTCGATAAGGTTAGCGTGTACTCCGTAGTTGCATGGCTACCAGTCGTCTGATGATTGGGCCCACCAACAACGGCTACGCCTGTTTTGACTACAGCGGAGGCGAGTCAACGACGGCACCGACGATGGGTTATTGCGATGCGCAGCGACGACCTCGATGTGCTGTCGTCTTGGCCGTTGGAAGAGGATGCCAGCTTCTACCAGAGGTGGCGCTTCCGTCACACAATCTTGCAGACACAACCGTGACTCTGCTCGAAGGAGGCGATCAAGACACCTACAGCTGAAGTGGGTTAAGGACTGTGACCAAACGCGCAGCGAGACCGTTCAATGTAGCCAAGCCATTGCGCTACAGGGTGTATCTTTGCGAACCGCAGGTACCCGGACGAAGGGACAACTTCTCAAGTGCAGCTGCCCTGTAGCGACGAGGCTGCGTCAGTCGACGTGGACATGGTAAACATGCATTCCATTGACCGCTCTGCTTGAGTGCCCACACCGGTCAAAACGGGAAGCAAGTGGCAGATCGTTTTGTTGTTTGCGCCTGGTATCTGAACATGAGTTCGTATTGGCGCATCCACCGACGGGCTGTGGCCGTTCGCAGGGCCCATTGTGATTGGTCGCTATAATACCCACATTTATGGAGGCTGAAGATCTAGTAGGGCGTAGGAACAAAGCCATTATTTGCTCAGGAAGAAAGCCAGACACGCCCCTCCCGCTGGGTGAGGTACCCATGTTCGTGGTTGGCAGGCATTGGGACCGGGAGGGCGTGCCTGCACCCCTGCTCTTCGATTGTGAGAGATCCTGTGGGTGCTCTCCCCCCATCCTTGTCGACGCATGGTGCAGGGGGATGGGCCACACCCAACGCCGTCTCGCCAACAGAGTCTCGTCTGCGTACCTCTTCGAGTCGTGTGAAAGCCATCCCTCGGCCGTGTACCAGCGCGCTGGGGTTCCCATGCGTAGACATGGGCAGCGTGGCTGGGCGTGCCTCGTCTGCATTGGGCAGTCAGGTCCGTGAGGGTGGGTATCTGGAGGTGTTCGAAGAACCATCCCTAGCCATCAAGGGCGAGCATGCCTTGACCGTCGGAAGGTCGACGCTCTCCGGCGTCTGCAGGCGCCCACCCTGCGTGAGGGTATAAGGTTGGATTCAGGCAGCCAATTACACCACCACACACGCGCGAACGATGTCCCCGGAAGGCGACGAATAGCAGAGTTGCATTTTGTGAAGGCCTCCTAGTTCTCGAGCGATGGGCACAGCGCAGGAGAGACGCTGTGCACGCACCGGCCACGCTGCTCTCTCTGCTGACTGTTTGATCGTTCGTTGCCCCCCGGCTTGTACTCATGCCCCAGGCAGCCTCAAAGGTAGTTGATGTGGAATGGCTGGTGACTACTAGGTTTTTGTCACCACATCCAATTCACATTGACCTGGTATACGCGGTAGTTCTTGATCATCGCATCGTTGGCGGCACACCGCTTTCTTCAGCTTTGGTATCTATCTTGGGACTTTACATAAAGAGAATCGTCGTGCCAAAAGGCCTCCCTTGGGACCGTCCTATGAGGAATCCACCATGCCATCAGGCTGAACGGCAGGCTCTCGAAAACGCTTCAGCATCACCCATCGGTCGCATAGGTGTCTGAACGGGGCACCCGATTCTCCCAACAGGAAGGCCTCGACGCTCGGAAAGCGGAAGCGCGCTTTAACGTCATGGCATCCACCAAGGTCCCGTTCATGTCTGGTCTCAATCAACGAGGTTCGTGAGCATGACGTTACAGCCACCTCGCACAAAGCTTACATCTCTAGCTTCGTACGAACGCTGTGGTGGTGAGGTGGCAGAAGACGCACAGGACCACGTGAATGTGGAGGACAAGCCCAAAAGCTTGATGAAGCTACAGAGCGCCTTTCACGATGGACACAACTGCATCAGTCCTGCTGATCGCAGCGCAGTAGAGGTATTGATGCAAATGACGACCGGTTGCGTCAGGTCACCGACGGTGTTCGGCGTTGACTCTGGTACTCTGAGCTCGCGACCTGCCGGCGAAACAGTGAATCCCTCAAACCATGCGCCACCACCAAGCTACGACTGCAAGCTTCAGCAGCAGTCGCAAAATCAACTGCCAGAGTTGCCGAGTTCAAACGTTGAGACAAAGAGTCTGGGTGTGAACCGAGTGATGGAGCCGGCAGACGATTCGGAAGTCCCACACCAGACGCCGTCGCCCAGTCTTGGGCGCGTTATTTACGAAGGAGCTGAGAAGTCAGAAATAGTACCGGTCATCTCGGATCCAATCGCCACCGATGACACTGACAGAATCCGGGAAAAGGCTCATATGCGGGACGGACTAATTGGGCCATTCCAAAGGCTACACAGCCAAGTGGCGTGGATTCAACATGAATTCACAGAGCTTGAGCAGGAAAATACTCGCTTGGAAAAGGAAAATGCTGACTTACACGAACGTAACGCTCGTTTAAAAAGGAATGCGGATCGTTTAGAAAGGCGGGTGAAATACTTGAAACGCCGCAAAGCTTCACTTAAAAGTGCACTCACGGTGTTACAAGCAGAGAAGGAGGGGCCGTGCTTCGTTGAACGGGAGAGGTCTTTTGATATCTGCAGTGAATGATAACAGAGAATGGTCTTTGCGGGGCTATGTTGAGGGAGCAATGGTTCCGAGTCTAGGTAGCGAACAAGATCGAGTTTCACGCCAGCCGCAGTATTCCAGGATGGAAGTCGACTCCCAGAGCGGGGACTAGCTTGGGGCTACGGCTGATGACCACAGACTCATTAGCGGCTAGCTTGCAAGTTCGATGGTGGGCGAACGGTCCCAAAGGCTTGCATTCTGAATTGGACGATCTACTCACATTCATCCGGTCCCACTGTCCAGGCGTATCCACGAAACTTGCCTTTTCTTAAGGGGAGGCTCAGTGACCAGGATGATAGAAGACACCAGGGTGTAGAGAGAACAGTCAACTTTGACGGCATGGTGGGGTGGCCCTGACCTATTCGTCGGTCGGGCGAGCACTCCACGAAGCACGCCCCTCATATGTCATGTCCTTTGGCTCTGGGAACCCCACACCTTGTCGATGGCCTGCATCAAATACGACGACGAAACACCTAAAAGAGCCCTACTCGGCCCAACACAGAAACAGACCGCTGGAGTTTGGTCTGGCAAGAGGTCCATTTGAGTGGCCCGGGAAGGGGCAGAGCACCGAAGTCGGCTGGTGCTGAACCCGAACATAGCAGTCTCGCCACGTCACTCAGAGTAGCCAAAGACCTGAATCGGTGCCACGAAAGAACTTGGAACCCAGTGGCGAGCGTGACTTGGGATGGCCAGACGTTATACAATTGATAGCCTCGATGGAGGTCGGTAGTATTGGCCTCGCTGTTCACTGACTGAGGGTAAGGTTTGTTTCGTCTGCGCGTGAATGCATGCATGATTTTTGCCCCTCTGAATTGTCGTAACATGCATCTCACCATGTCTTGCTGGCGAAAATAGATCGGGACCACGGCAGACCTTTGGCATTGAGGGACATAAACCCAAGGCGTGAAGCGAATAATGTAAGTCCTCGAAACGCAGCTAACACTTGTCAGATTCTGCCCATGAGCGCGTGACCCAATAATCTCCCTAATACAGGGGAGTGCTGCCCTACACAGCGGGACATCTGAACCGACCCATTATGACTCTGAATGGATGAGGCTCCGCGGGCCATGGTCTTGCATAGCTACAAGATCGCCAGAGCGCGAAGTATTCGACTCGGTCCATGATTTTTCACAGAACTCACCCTCTGTCCGGCAATCACAATGCAGAGACTCTCGCACGAGCTCCTTCTCCTTGTTGCCAAGCTCCTCAGTCCTAAGGATCTATGGAATTTCTGTCTTTTTTGTAAGAAATTCGTTTTTCTCATGCACGATGAGTCCTGTGCAAAAACCCTACTCGAGGTTTGAAGATGTCCCTCCCAAGTATCTCCAGCTGACAGAATCTAACCTGAATCAAGAATCACGCCCCGTATTCCACCGAGATGAGAGATGCGCGTCCATATGGAAATTACGCTCGTGCATTGCGCCGACGAGAGAAGACCCTCAATGCCGTCATCATGGCCGAGCCATACGTAACAGCCGTCGTTGCGCACGCGAATGAATACATCTACTGCAAGGGCATGCTTTGCTACACGCAGAGAGAAGCCCAAAAACTTTACCTCCTTAATATTCATCACTCGGCGCGGAAGAAGGTCGAAATCAGCGTGGACAAGCTACTTGCTTCCATACTCCACACTACTCCGGCAGAGAAGTATAAGCTCCGACCTATCTACTTCTCCAACGACATTCTGTCCTGCCTATATATCCCGCGTAAGAAGACAGGAATCGAACAACTTCTCGTCATCGATATTGAGAAGCGGAAAAGGTTCCCCCGTAAAGACTCTACTTCCTGCAAGAAGGCGTTTGTCAGAAACAATCAGGAGTATTTGTACTGCGGAACTTATGACAACAACGACGATGTGTGGATGCTTGAAGTTTTGAGTCTGAGCGAGGGAGCCTGGCTACCTGGATTTCTTATCCTGGATGACATCGCCGGCTTCGACGTTGGGATCTCTCTGGCCTTCGAAATCGTGGACGATCACTTCTATGCTGTATCAACCACACCGAAAGATGAACCTGACGAGACGGGTCACTTGTCTCGTTACCACGGCGTGCGCTATCCCCTTGGTATATGCGGTCCCGAGGACAAGCAGCTGATGTCCATGTTTCGTCGTAACCACCGAGACGGCCCGATGGATGACAGATGGACGACCCTAAGCCTCGAGAAAGACTCCAAAACAGGAGTTCTCGAGGTCGTGGAGTGTCGAAGAGAACATTCTTACAACAGCAACGGGGAATCGAGGACTGCCTCGAGCTCGAGAACTGTCTATCGAACGGCAGTCAAGTTCTCTAGTGACGAGCCTGCTGATGATTCGGTGTCTACAAGAGAAGGCAGTGAGCAAGATTCCATCCACGTATCTGGCTTTCAAGATCAGACACCGCGCTCTCACGGAAGTCCATCGACCTTTCACCGAGGAGACGATAGCTTCACAGAACCACTCATCACCTTTAACAACTGCTTTGTAAGGTCCTACAGCAGCCCCTGCGGAGCTTTCTTGGACTTAATCAACCCTGCGGCCGTAGATGAGAAACCTGCGAACCTTCAGCTGCGGACCATGACTCGTCTGCAGGTGGCAACGCACAAGCAACCAGATTCTCGAGAAACAAACCACATCGAGAACGTGATATCTTACTGGACACTTCGGACTAAAGCACACGGAGAATCAGGAAAACTGGCCGACACTCTCACGCCACGTGGTCAAGACTCTCAGTGGGAAGTTTCCGGAATAGCTGATGACCGATCTCTTATTTACATCTCGGGAAACACTAAAACTGAAAACTTACGCCCTCTGGTGCTCGTCTCTTTTGACCCTTCCATCAGACTGCCTGGGGTTTTCAACTTGCTGGAGACTCCATCGTAGAGCACCAAGAGAGATGAGGTGAAATATCATCCTGATACGCCAGCAACTCAGGGAGGCTTAGCCAATCCTGCCGGGGTCTCCGGCGATTGTGTCGATCAACGACCTTCGCAAGCCTTCGCACCGGAGCTCACTTTGGCTGGTCCGGAAGCACCTATTTGGCTTCGATCCGTCGAAGCCATGTGTCCGAGCGGGCTATGTGTACCCTTAGGTACGATGTAGCGTACGAGACACGAGGTGCTGTAGAGCGTTCCCGCTGGGGCAGTCTAACATGTGGAGAGCTAGAACCGGATAGTGATACAGGACATCTTGAGGAACGACGAGTTGTTGAAAGTTACAGGATTATCAATGGACCTTCTCGAAACTAGTTCAGATGTTCTTTACGCAGTGTTGCATTGAATAACTGAACCAGACATTGGCCAGCTGCGTCAAGATGCTACTGCTTCGTCTTTATGATGAGGCCTCAGCCTGCTGGAAGTCTATAAAAGGTGTACACAATAAGATGAGGATATTCTTGCATCAAATCATGTACCATGATCTTGAGAAGTTGAGATCAGGATTCCTCAGGCTGCACTTGTCTTCTTGCCAGGAATCTTGAAGCAGAACGGTGGTCTGGTTGTCAGAAGTCGCAAGCAGCCTGGCACCACGCAACTGGTCTAAACTGTTGGACGTTCACCGCACCAACACCTACAATCCTACAATATTGATAAGCAGTTGGAAAAGAGTGACCATGGCCATGCAGAAAGACGTCTTCCAGACACTGGGGCTCGTGGAAAAGATACCCGTGACAATACGGGATACCTCGCCTGGGATAATATGTAGACTTAGACGGCTCTATGCAGCTTTTGAAGTTGCTTACTCTAGTCAATTCGTGCTTTTCATTCATAGAAATGTTAGAGATCTCGCACGGCTGTGATTTGATCGACTCTCACTTGGGTTCTTGATCGCCTGAAGCTCGAAATTTCGCCACGTTGCCAGGTTTTTGTTCGAAGTGGGCTGCTTTGATTGACTTGAAAAGTTCGTCAATGGCCGTCCAATCTCGACTCGAACTTTCGATCGGAGTCGACCGTCTTCGCACTCCCGGTAGTGCTCGCAGCAGTTGGCGATTTATCCAGCATATCTTGCCCCGAAATGGCTTCCACCGAGACTTTGAGGGAATAGCGGTGGCTTATTGAAAGAACCCTCGGTATGAATGTGCGGACTTATCCTTGGGCGCTATGATGAATGTGTTAAGTTGTTTCACGTCATCACGGGAAATGAGTATGAGGGGAGAAGTGTGGAATTTCCCAAGTGGTTTGCCATTGCACGAGTTCCCACGCATGTCCGAAAACAAGAACTGGCATTGCCTCAGCCCACAATAACGGTCTTACGGCCTGATACTTAGCCACTTTGCGTTTGCCGCGTCGGAACTCAGGATCGGCATGCCTGAGCCAGCCCGAGATTCTGCTGCCGAGGGACTTTTCTCAGACTTCCGTGGCCTGCGGGTGGATCATCCGAGGTAGTAATGCGAGGCAACATCCATAACCCCATGTGAATGCCTGTCGTGTCCTTGCCTCATGGCCAGCATATTCTTGTTGAGCCTTTATTCGGTCCCTTGACGTCTCCAACCTCTCGGATAGCGATCCTAGAATACCCGCCTAGCGCCCTCGGCTGCCTCATTGTGCAGGTAGGCACCAGTGCGAACCACAGCTCATCCCCTTCCGCCTTCCGGAACAATTCAAGGCGACTCAGAGCCTCTTTTTGGTTGTGTCAAGACAGGGGTTTCCATTGCGCAGCATGCCAGGTTTCAACCTGCATTGTTGCGCCTCTTCACGGCGATCAGCGCAATAGGGTAATTTCGAAAACAAAACAGTCTGCATGATTCACAGATTCGGATGGGGACACGTCACGCAATCATCTGATGGCGGCGCTGCTTACCATCTCGGCGCGCCTTTCCAGTGGATAGTGTAGCCGGCAGCCCGTCGCTTGAACAAGACATAGGCGAACCACCCGAACAGGTTTTGCCCTGCGTGGTGGATCCATGGGACACCACACCAGGGGGTGCACATGCTCCGTTAGGTATTTATGTACTGCATATACTTGGGAGGCTGCCAAAAGCTTCTCGCCCTACGCCCCCCTCCCCCACCCTCGTAGCTCACAAGACGACAGATTAAGGGGGGTCTCAAAGCCGTAATTGGGCTGCCAAGATAGAAGACGCGTCTGGCTTGCTGGCTGAGCACCCAAGCTGGCCTGTCGACCACCTCTACTCCACGATCGCACACTATCGTGGTGACGGTCAAGCATGCGCCCTGCGAGAAATCAAAGTTGGATTGCCCACTATACAGTGCAAGTAGCGAATATCAATGGGAGCCTCCTTGGCTTGGCTCGGTCAGATTTGCGGCCCATCCATTTTGAAGACGATGCGTCCAATTCGAAAGCAGTCTCTGAGAGAGGTTTGCGAGTGACACAGGGAATCTGACGGTGCACACGCGGCGCGTGCAAATTTATGCTGCTTCAAAGTCGGGTCGAGTGTAGGGCGAATACAGCGTTTACGCTCAGCAAAAAACATGCATATGCACATCAACACATGACTTCATCTTTACCGTGTGATTCGGGCGCAGCCACTGACTTCCAATAAACCCTGAATATCATCTTACAAGCACAGGTGCCTACATGGGCGCTCCTATAGGCCAACAACAGACTGGGGTGTCGAGCCCATGTTCACAAGCTCCAGAAGTAAGCCTGGTCATCGTTCAAGTCAGAGTCACAATGATGACGCTGAATCATACACCAAGGGAACCCACATGGCTCGGAGGCCTATATAATCAACACTGGGTCCGTTGTAAGGAGACTCAGCTGAATATGAAGAAGTCACCCACGTACTACACACCTCTGTCCAACTTCCCTCTCGCCTAATTTTTCTTGGCATCTGCTGTTAGTGAATGAGTGAGCCTACCACCAAATTACTAACAGCCGAAAACTCTTCACCTCCCCTTGCCGGAGCCCGCATCCGCGATGGCCTCACAGCCGCCGTCGGGCACCGGACTGATGTCGGCCGACCAAGCCGACCCCGAATCAGGCTCCGGGACACCTCCGGAGCCGAACCCCACCTCAAGAGCTAAGCGACGCCGCGACGCCGAGGCACAGCCGACCCGGCCCAGCCTAACGGGAAGCCAGCTTGATGCCACCACCGACGCCCCTACCTCGGCCGAGGGGCCCGCAGCCTCTACCGCATCTGCTCCGAGCGGATCTGCCACAGGGTCCGTCTTGACAGCCCTTGCAGAAGAAGCTAGACAGTACGAGGCACGGAAAGACGTCTTTCTGACCATTGCACGGTCCGTCGACAGCGTTGTCGCCAGCTTTGACGGTTCTAGAAAGCAGATCGCGAAAGAAGCCACTGCCTATGTCATTCAAACCCTCAAGAGACTGATCAATCACGAGACAAGCCCAATAGCGGCCCGGAGTTGGGCGGCTGTCGTCGCACCGATGGCGGGCAACACCACTGCGGCGACCCGGAGCGGCCAGAGCTGCCAGAGCTCTGCCCGCCCGAAGGCCACACTCCCCGCCGAGGATCAGCCGCAGGCGCAGCCGAAGGAGGACCTCCGCATCTTTGCCCGCGTCCCGGAAGAAAGCTTAGCGGCCGCTCGGAAGATCGCACCGTTCGCCGTACGACAGATCGTCTGTAAGGCCGTTGGCCTGGGGCTAGCGGACCTTCCCCACGTCTACCATATCAGCACAGGTTACTCTCTGAAGCCGCGAAACAAGCAAATACAGGAAAGACTACTTGCAAGTAAGGCAAAGCTGGCGGAATGCCTCGGCGCCCACCAGGTCGAGACGCCTATCAAGTGGTACACTTACGTTGTGCCGCGATGCCCAACAAAACTACACAGCATTGGCGGGGACGTCCTGGACCCAGCCACACTCGTTGAAGATGAGGTCTTCGCACAGACAGGACAGAAGCCTGTCCTTGCTCGACCGTCCCGCCTTGGGCCCAACCCAGTCACGAACGAAATATCTTGGCTCATATCATTCACATCAGAGGTCACGCCCTTCAGGCTCTTCAACCAAAGCGGCAGATCTCTGCCCGTCAAGAAACGAAGGACGCTCATCCGACACGACCCCGGCTGCCAGGGCTACCACTCCAACCGGTTCTGCGGACGACGACCGATCTGCAGCAACTGCGGAAGACCTTCCGATTCACACGAAACGGGACCCTGCATGGCCAGGCCCCAATGTGCCAACTGCTGCGGCCCCTTCCAAGCCAGCCACACAGACTGCCCAGCGAGGCCCTCGGCCGTAAACGGCGTCGTCTCCCTTCCCGGTCGAAAGGAGCGGGCTCGGATCCGGAAGGCCGGCCAGAAAGCATCGGACACTCTGTACAAGGCTACTCGATCCGACAGTAGCCAGGAGGCGGCAGGCGTCCCTACCTCCACCAGCCAGAACCAGCAACCCGGCGCCAAGCGCGCGCGCACGAGAACGCCCTCCGCAAGCTCGATCGTTTGCCTCGGTGACGGAAGCACTGACAGCAGCAGCATGGATGAAGACGAGGCGGACGAAGGCGAAGGCGAAGACTCCCCCGACAACACCTCCATCGACCGTCCCGTGCTACCCATGCCAAGCAGGAGCCAACGGGCAGCACAGAAGCCAAACTACAACGTCGCGAATGCCTACACCCACCTCGAACTCGACTCGGAGACGTAAGCCGAGAGCGGCGACCCCACGGATGCTACGCGTTGCGCAGGGCAACGTCGGAAAGATCTCCCCGGCGCACACGGCTTTCCTGCAGCTCTGCTGGGAGGCTCAGATAGATGTGGTCCTCGTCCAGGAACCCTGGACGGGCTGGAAGGACGGAAACGTGCAACTGAACACGCACCCGGGTTTCGACTCTTTCGTCCCGGTCGACTTCTGGGACAGCGAAGGAACCAGACCAAGAGTATTGACCTACACACGCAAAGGGATAGGGATGACGGTGGAGCAGCAGAGGCCTGTCCACACGAGAGACGTACTGTGGCTGGTGGTCGACAAAACGACGACTATCGTCAACGTGTACAGACAACCCCGCGACCCCCACAGCCGCACAACAGGGATACTGCTAGAACTCAAACCCCCGGAGCGAGCTTTGATCGCGGGTGACTTCAACGCGCATCACTACTCTTGGGAGCCCGGGACGAGGAACGGGAACCGGGGAGATGACATCGCAGGCTGGGCAGACGGCCACAATCTCTCTCTTATCAGCGAAGTTGGGGTGGCAACCCAGGATTGCGGACATGTCCTGGACCTGGCTTTCTCTAATATCCCTTTTGCGCACGCGCAGGTCAGCCCACAGTTACACCCGGGAGCTGACCACGAGGCCATCGTGGCCGTCATACCACTATTCAAACGCCCAGTGTCACAGGGAGAGGGCCACCCGCAGCCACGGCCACTGTCAGTGCCCGACTCGGCGCTGCCTCGGCTGAGAGACCTGATCGAAGGGGGGCTAGCTGCGATGCCCAATCTGGGGGATCAACCTACTCCGGCAGACCTGGACGGGCAGGCAAGTCACATCGTCGAGCTCTTCTCCCGAGCCATTGAGGCGGTCGGCAAGAAGAGAGGAAAACAGGGAAAAGGCGCGGCTTGGTGGACGGAGGAATGCGCAGAGGCCCACAGAACGTACCGTGCTGCCCGCAACCCACAAGCCTGGGAGACGGAGCAGAACGCAAATCCTTCTCCAATGGAAGAGCGGAAGGCATTCCTGAGCATTGTGAGGAAGGCTAAGCGAGCATACTGGGCCGGAAAGATCGATGGAGTCGCTTCAGACCGGGACCTCTATCAGGTCATGGGTTGGCGGAAGGCGAGCCCACTGACCAGAGCACCCCCATTGATTGTGGACAACCAGACGATCGAGGATACTAACGAAAAGGCCCAAGCGCTCCGGAAAGCCCTTCTCGACAGGTTTAGTGCGGAAGATGACGCACCGGGTGACCCGTTTGACGTACCCGTCGTCCCAAGGCGAGCGATTACTTGGCAGGACAATGTTAGCGGAGAAGAAGTGAAGACGGCCACCTTAACAAAGACAACGACCCCTGGTGTGGACGGGATCACCACGCGCCTCCTCCAGGCCTGCTGGGGCGTCATCTCGGAGCCGGTCAGGCAGCTATTCCAGTCCTGTATGCGGGCCGGCCACTTTCCTCTGCCTTTCCGCAGAGCTGAGGTGGTCATGATCCAGAAGGCCGGCAGGGATGCCTCCAAGCCCGGGTCCTGGCGTCCGATCGCGCTCCTCTCGTGCCTGGGCAAGGGACTCGAGAGACTGATAGCCAGAAGGATGGCGTCCCTGGCGATTGTCGAGCGCATCGTCAGTCCGCAACAGATCGGAGCCCTACAGGGCAGGTCAGCCGTCGATCTGACGACCTGCCTCGCCCACGATATCGAAACGGCCCTCCTAAAAGGGCTCACGGCGACACTTCTGACTATGGACGTAAAAGGGGCGTTCGACTCCGTCCTTCGGAACCGGCTCGTCATTAGACTGCGTCAGCAGGGATGGCCACACGGCTTGGTTAGACTCATCTTCAGCTTCTGCTGCATCCGCATCGCCAGAGTCCGACTGGAAGAAAGCACAACGGAATACTTTCCTCTGTCATGCGGGCTGCCGCAGGGGTCGCCTCTGTCTCCCATCGTCTTTCTGCTCTACATCGCGGAAATACTTGAAGACGACCCGGACGCGCGATTCGGGTACGCGGACGACATCGCCACTCTGGCCATAAGCCCCTCCCTGGAGAGCAACGTCGCAATACTCAACCGAAGCGCAGCCGGCATTCTCAGATGGGGTTCGGAGAACAAGGTCTCCTTTGACCCGAGCAAGTGCGAGGTCATCCACTTTACTAGGAAGCACGGCCAGCCAGCGGAGCTGCCAGAGGTCAGGGCGGGGGATTTGGTGGTCAAGGCCTCGACAAAACCTGTACGCTGGCTGGGTGTCTGGTTCGACAAGAGACTGTCCTTCCGGCACCACGTCGACACAAGAGTAGCTGCGGCAAAGAAGGCAGCTCAACACCTGAGGCAGCTTACAAACACAAAGAGAGGACTGCCAGCGGCCGCCGTGCGAAAAGCCGTCGTCTCCTGCGTACTGCCGATCGCGCTCTTTGGCGCCGAAACATGGTACGCAGGTATCACGAAGCCGGCTTCGAGACGCCAAGCGGAGACAGACACGAATCCGCCTCTCCAAGGAAGACCCGTCAACACAGGCCAGAAGGGGCTCGTGCAGAAGATCGACAGCGTCATTACAGCGGCGGCAAGGGCCGTTCTGCCTGTCTGGAGGACAACGCCAACCAGCAGCCTCCTCCGAGACGCCGGCTTACCGTCAGCCAAAGTCGCTCTAGAGGGCGTCCGCTTACGGGCCGCAGTCCGACTGCAGAGGATCGATCGCCGACACCCGCTAGTCGCGCGGCTCTCCCAGCAGGGACAGCAACAGACGAGACTACAACGGACGGCTGAACTTCTGCCAAGATGCGGAAGACCAGCGTTCCTCCAATCACAGTACCTGCCAAGCTCACAGGATCAGATAGTAGTTCAATGCAAAGAAGAGGCTGCGAAAGATTTCGAGCGCTGGCTAAAGACAGTACCGGAAAGCCATATGATCGTCTTCTCGGACGGCTCCAGGGCGACGAACGGAGCCGTGGGGTACGGCTTCGTCATCTACCGAGACTCCAAACGCATAGCGCAAGGGTGCGGCCGACTCGGACTGGCAGAAGTGTTCGACGCCGAGGTCGAAGGAGCGCGAGCCGGCCTCAGAAGGGCTCTGCTCACCAATCGCGGTCATCCAATCCACATATGTATCGACAACACCAGCGTTATACAAGGTATCCGCGGCAAGGCGCCGGACTCGTCACAAGAGGCGTTCCTCGAAATCCAAGAAGCAGCCAGGATTTTTGATGTACGGACGCACTGGTCTCCGGGACACCAGGGCATCGAAGGAAACGAGGCCGCGGACCGGCTGGCCAAAGAAGGAACGACACTGCCGGCGCGGATGGGTCAAATGGCAACACTAGCGGGTATCAAGCGGCTTGCAAGGGAAAAACTACAGGGCCACCACAGGAGATGGTGGTATAAAGAGCGAAGGCCGCGGTACGCGGACTTGGGGCTTGAGGCAGCTCTATCCAGCCCTCCTGAACTGGCCTTGCCGCGGGCTACGCTACATCACCTGCTGGCGGCACGATCGGGTCACGGGGACTTCGAGCAATATCACCGACGTTTCAACCACGACGACGCTCTAATGATGTGCTCTTGTGGAGAGGCAAAAGACGTGGACCACCTGGTCTACTGTCGACTAACGCTGGCGAGGAGGCAACGGTGGCCGACCCTCCACTCTCGCAGTATGCCCGAGCCCATAGGCCCTATGGGATCTCTCGAGGCCTACTTCAAGAGATTAATCACCGACCCACGAGGCTTCGAGGCCTTTCTCCGCGTGACGGACTTCTTCCAGAAGATCTGTCTGCGGTAGCAGCATCCACACCTACGTAGATGTGAGTGCGGACTACAAAGAACCTCCCGATTCCAAGGGACGATTTGGGAAAGAATGAAACTGGGGCACCAGCGGGAACCGGGGACAGACAGAACGCGTAGTGGCCACAAGGCATGATTTGGAGGACGATGTAAAGAGACGACGTACTGTAGAGTAGGTAGCCTTGGCTCACGGCCCTCCACGCCATATACCCTTCGGGAGGTCTGCGGTAAGGGCTCTAGCCCGGCCGCCACGGCGTTAAATACAACAACAACAACAACAACATAAAGGATACCCCAACTGCTTGAACGTCGCCATGGCTGTCAGAACAGTCGGAAGACCTTTAAGCAGCACCACTTTCAGAATGGTATTCAAAGAGTCCGACTTTCTCATGGCTCGTGCAGATTTGCCATCAGTTACTGGCTGTTGAATCAACGCGCCGTAAACCACAGAGTCGAGCACGAGTTGCAAATATTTTGCAAACATCTTCTGCAGATACTCCGCGATGTAGAATGCGATGACTAAGAATGCAGAAATATTAACGTGCAAGACGGCTTCAACAGCATATTGGTAATGAACAACAAGTAAAGGCAGCAGACTTAGGGCGATGCTGAGAGTGAGGACAAGCAAGAAAATGCCCAGGCCGATTGACCAGGAGGACTTTGTTGGCGTTACAGCTGAAGTGGTCATTCCGAATAATTGCGGTCTGGAAATGATAGTGAACACAATAATGTAATGCCACAAAAACATGGAGCTTCACAGCAAATCTTTATACAACGGCTTAACCTGACTCTCGATCGTGCTGCGTACTTGCATTATTCTTGTTGCATCGACCCCGCCCCTTTAAAGCGAATGGCACCAAACCCAGGCAAGTTGTAGTCACACGCATAATGAGGCGCATGTCGTTCTCAGACAGAAGTACATATGTGTGCCCGGGCACGTGCTTGGCCGGGCTACGACCATCCTCTAGGACGTAGGGTCAGGGTCCCGGGTTTATGGGGGGTGGGGGGGGCACAATTTCTTTTGTGGAGAATGCCCATGTCCTTCGTCTAGCTTGCCTTAGTGACTGCCCCTGTCTATTTCCTGTGGGGGTAACCGAAATGTACACCACAGTATCTGAACGAAACAGTGGTCGAGCTGCCGTCGAACGGTTTGGTAAACCGAAGTAGCGGTCTTCAATTTTCGTGGGCATGCGCCTAAAGAACCGTTTACCTGTGGGCTACAAATAAGGCACTTCTCCTGGTGGTTTGTGGCATCCCAAGGTTGAAAGAGATATCATCGATTAAGTCATGAGTGCTGTCAACGACTTAGAATTTCAGTTTCCCAAACGGTCACTTTCTCAGGAAGAGACGCGAGCTTTTCGACTCGCTCACGAGGTCCCGGAGAATTACAGTATCAATTGCGACATCTTCGAGACTCAGATCAGCTGTTACTGGGGCCATCTGCCTTCAGAAAAGGTCCTCTTGAGTTTCGAAAATTTCACGGCCTTAACGAAGACAGACCTGGCCAAAGAAATCAAAGATTACGTAAGTCTGCCATCCATCGGGAGGGAGGATTTTCTAACCGAGTGACGACAGCAAAAAGACGTAATGCCAAAGAACAAGGGACAGTATGATGGAATGGTATTGGATTCTCGGAACGATAAAAACATATTGAGACGAGTTATTTGCTATAATCCTCTCCAATGGCAGAAATTTTTTGTAAATGAAGAAGGAAAAGAAGAGTTCATTACTCTAGAAGCGGGAAAAAAGATTCCGGAGCCACCGGGCGTCGATGGAAAGACGTTCTATCATTGGTGGGACGATGTGCAAAAGTTTGGCTGGCATGTACCAAGTTATGCACGAGATCATGAACCATCAAATGAGACATCTTAAACCTGACTGTATTGAAGAGAGGCCAGGAATCTACTGTAATCAAGTACAAGATAGGGTTTATGTGATCTCTCGTACACGTACGGTTGGAAAAAGCAACAAAGAAGTGGAAAGCTGCGGAACCAGCAGGAAACAATGCTACATCTACTCAAGTGAATTGAACCGGGAATTATCTCAACACTGGCCCTGGTCTTCTGTGTTATCCTTCAATTGCCTATCTTGAGACCCTCGATGACACCCACAGCAAATTCATGGTCCGAAACCTCGGCTGCTGGTGAGCCAGGAATTGCAACCTCAGATGGACTTGCATTCAATCGACATTCGAGTTTTTTGAGGTGGCACATCCACGCCTCGTGCGCATCGGGGAATGGATATGATATGCAGAGCGACTTGGCTAGATAGAATGTCCTCTGCAGGATCCCCTCCAGGGCGGTCAATGCGATGTGATGATATAGGCGTCCGACATTAGGGGTGATTTCTGTAGTAATTGTGTACCAATATCTGCTGATATACCCCGGAGCTATGCGATCAGACTCTAAGTCTGAAGTCATTCTATTAGGGGCGATTAGCTGACCATGACTGCAACTCTGACCTTTAGGAACACTGACACAAAACGACTGATATCAGCCAAAGCTTCTGCAATGCTGTTTCTTGACGAAGAATCCACCGTCTCGTACAACATACACATAACTGTGTAAGCTGAATGGGCCATCTCGAAGACGGAATCACGTGCGCTTGGGCAGTAGATACGCATGAGCCGAAGAGGCTGATGTATACCTGTTGTCCACATTCGATCAAGAAAGGCGAAAGATTCGGCGCGATTAAAGACGAGACCCGAAGACGGATGTTGCCAGGTCAGAACGTAGTGTTTGTAGTACCGGAGAAGGTCATGTTGCATTCCTAACATCTCTTACCACTCCTTGGTAGTGGGTTTCCGCCTGTCGAGCACCACTTGCTGATAGAAGTCGGTACATTTGCTTTCCAAAGCCGTCATTGCGGAATTGGTTTCGTCCAGCTCTTTCTGACATTGTTCTCGAGACAGAGACTTCCAAAGTAATGGCGAGACTGACGACACGCGGTTCCGAATAAGGGCCGTCCGAGGGAGATCGCTTGTTGGCCGCGGATTTTGTATCGTTCCTTGCACGGGCTCTCCCAATGCGGGACTCTCTTCTCTAGATTCAGCTGTCAGCCCAAACTCGACATGAGGAAATACAAGCACATGCTCGAGACACAGTTCGGTCCAGTCGGAGATCCGTTCACTGAAGGAAATTGCCTTCTTGGAAGAAGAGTGACCCGGGTCTCGGGGCGGCAGGATGGTTTCTGTTCCAAAGTCCCCTGTGGTGACACTGTTACACGTAGCCGACTCCAGTGCAGACTTTTGGATCATGGTGTTTCTTTGGGGGAATGGAGAAAAGTGATACGGTTCTACGATACTAAGGATTTATCAGAGAGACTGAGAGTCTGAGATCTCTCATCCTTTTATAACCACGTGGAATTAGGCAGCAACTCCATCTCGGAATGGTCCGCCAGCGTCACAAGGATTCGTGGCGAACTATCAGGTCGTAGCCCTGCGCCTCGAAAATGCACATTTGTGCTTACTTGTTGGCGATTGTGGCTAGGTTTCCGGATGGCCTGGCATTCAAACCACATCGGCACAACGCAACACCACACCCGACACCCAAAGCTTCGGGAAATCCCTGGGAGTCCACCTCTGTTAATGGAACTGAGATCTATTTACTAGCGACGTGAATAAAGCGTTTCCAATTAGTTTGCGCTGCACCAGGCGTGCGCTGGTAAACAATACTGTCGACACCGCTCAGCCTCAAGCAATTTTGTCCCTCACTCTTGTGTAAAGTGTGCCTATGAATTTCCTCACCCCATCCAAGGCCGTCATGGTAGCTTGACGCTCAATTTGACTCTTCTCTCTCTGATTACCCGAGGGCTGTATATCTAACGGATGGTCATGCTCCCGCAGATTGCGTCTCACTTGTTGAAACATCCTCAGACGACAATGGGCAGCTAGCGAAGTGTCAGCATATGAACTATACAACTTGACCTGAACCTGCATACAATATTGTCGGAGTTCTTTCAGTGCTTCGGCTTCACTTTCAGCGGTGTGCGACATGGTGCACCAGACAGTGGGGAATAGAAGGGCAACCTGTGAGATTGCAAATACGTGCGGCAGACTAGATTGTCATGCTGTTCTTAACACTTTTTACATCCACGTCTCACAGGGAGGTTTGGACTTCAACGTATGGACAGATCTACAGGATGCGACGGGTGGGTACTGGACGATTCTCCCGTGTTCCCTCTCCGATTCCCTCTCCGAGTGGATGATTGTGCAGATGACGATGCCTGGCTCACTCTCCCTTGCCTTCCGTCGCCCGTGTCCCATCCTGCGATGCATTCAGAGGTGGTTGGCGGATACTATCCTTGTCTTCGGAGTTGATTTGCCACAGCACAAAATACTCATCCGCACGGCTACGAATTACACAGTATACACAAACAGCAGGGGGGGCGTGCAAGGTTCAAATTAGCAAGGATAAATTAGCGCAGTGCGCTCGAGCATGCCGATGGATCCCCACTAGTCTTGTGTGCTGGCTCGGCGGTATTGCTGGCAATGTAACTCCACGTCCTGAGTCTTTTGCACGTACGGATACGGATGGTTGACATCCATCGCATAAGCGATTGGGCTTGTCGAAGTCATTTATACCTCTCCATCTTCCCTCTGTTCCGGACTCCAATCGAGTTGAGATCGCCGTCCATTTTAGTCTAAATTTTCTGTGAATGCATTTGATGTACCGCGCTACTCGGGGTACAACGCATATGGCTGCCTGATCCTACATCTTCGACTAACAAGTGGCCATCCAGTTTATCTCGTCCCCCGGGAGTACCGTATATGCGTCCGACCATCACATCGAGGGGTGTCAAAGAGAATGAATCATTGCTTCCAGAGTGGCTGGGCACCTGCAGGCGACAGATCGAATGCAGCTGGAGAGCTGCTTGGAAAATGATTGATTACGATCTATACCACCACTGGAGCATGGCACAACGTCAGAGCCGGCCCTAGATGACGGTCTTGGTTGTAGCGTGAAGTTGACTCCCCATCCCTTCGAGATAAAAACCTCACCTGTACTCCGTACTTCGTGGTCTGACAAACTGCCTTTAACCCTAGCGTCATATTACCCCCTTTAACCTCTTTTACAACCATCTTCGTGCCTTACGGGAAGATAGCGACCACCATGGACGACCGTTACCCCTGGTAAACTCGCATCGCCAGCAATAGCTTGGTTCTTCGGCTGATCTTAACAAGAGCACGCCGTAACAACAGCTACAGGGAGGAGAAGTGACGGATGAGCAGTCCCCATTGGATGTATGACAGGTTTGATGTGACAGCCCTCTCATGTGGAACGGTAGCGAACAGGCTATCAGTGCAGCCCAGATGAGACTGTCGAGCCTCACTACCACTCAAACCCAAATGGTGACACAAGCAAATGTTAACATCAGACAATCCCTTCAAAGTACTAGGACCTAGCCAGGCGCTGAATACCGCCAAAAGATTCTCTGTAGAAAACACACGAACACACATTTTTATTGGCGAAGAATGAAAAGATTTCACACTCGCACGCATGTCCGTAGGAAAAAGCACCAACTTGACAGCTCAAAAGGTCGCAAGGCCTGCGAGAGGTATGGGAGCTGTGATGCAATAACGTGCGGTCTGAAACCTCGAGCACTCATACATGGTGTTCGAAACCAAGAGAAGATTGCCCTGAGAACCAAGTTAAGCGTCCCTAAGCCGTGGCAGTTTCGCTCTCTTAGTGACTTGTAAGCCTACCTTGCGGACAGATAAGTCTGGCTTAGAAACACGTATTGCTCGGAGGGCTTCGAGACCCCGAATGGTAAGTAAGGCGGCGGATCGCCGCAAATGCGGACTCTACGAGGCGTCCAAGCCGTTGCCAACTGCCTAATTTGCAAAACCACAGGCTGCCCTCTGAGTCCATGGTAGGTCAGGGTTCATGGACCGGACGTCTCAAGTTCGCACGAATGGACTGCACCATGTTCCATCCACCAAACAAGGCGTCCACGACGATCAAAATGGTATAAAGGCCCTGCTCCAGCATGTCCCACAGTAGCCTTGACCGTCTAGAAAACGAAGGCTTTGCAACCAGCCGCAAAATTCCGGACTGAGAACAGCACTCACACCAAATAGGCAACGAATGCGCCATCTGGCAGCCCGACATCCGTTAACCCCTCTAATTACTGTGCACAGCCCCTAGCCGTTACCCAGCTGGTCCAAGAAAGAGAAGAGAAAGAAATTGGAGGCCAAGTTTTTTGCCGAGACGACGGATTCGGTGCACCATGCGCATCGCCACCGACTACAAGATGGACGATCAACTCGTAGCGAGATTCGAAGAGATGAAAATACGCGCACATCACAAGGCAGGCGGCTACTTGCATCGGATCAACTCCCTGAGGCGTCTTCGAGTGTTGCTACACTCACTCAATGCCCCACAAAGGGGTGATTCATTCCATAACATCGCTCCCAATCATCCTCGCCACTGCTTTGTCGACTGCCCGATATGTCGCTGCCAAAGCTTCCAATATTCGCCCCCCTTATCTAAGAGCGATCTATGAGTACCTTTCTCCACGATTCGCCCCTTGTGTCCTAGCAAAACAATCTCGTCGGCATCCATGATCGAAGAGAGACGGTGCCTAACACACATTATCAGATTGCAATCGGCGCGAAGGGCAGTAAAGGAGGACAAACGCTACGAAAATGCATGTCTTGCCACTCAATGCCTTGACAAGGTTTGACTTCATTAACCATTCGGTTTCGGCGTCTAGTGCACTAGTTCCTTCATCAATCAGTACGATCGAACGCGGGTTGAGAAACAGGCGACCGAAATTTAGTCTTTGCTTCTCGCCCCCAGAGAAGTTTCTGTATTCCTTAGCCATTAGCGGTATCCTTGATAGTGACCCACCTGGATACTCACCGCCCATTGGCTCCGGCGGGTGTGTCGTACTTCTTTGGTCGCTGAGACACAACACCGTCCAGAGAAGCTTCTTGCAAGGCTACTTGGATCTGTTCATCCGTGGCGTCGCGCTTGGCATACTTGAGATTCTCTTTCACTGAGCAGTTAAAGATGAAAGGATCCTGCTCTACGATTCCTACATATTCCCGTAAACTACAATAACGAATCATTAGCTGGATACTTGAGTGATTCTGAAACGCAGGAGAGCTTACGAGTCAATGTCAACCTCTTCGATGTTTTGGTTGTCGATCAATATCTCTCCACTGTCAGGGTTTTCTTGACCCGTCACTAGAGCGAGTAACGTCGATTTGCCAACGCCTGAGGGGCCAACAAAGGCTGTCTTCGTCCCTGCAGGTATACGGTGACTGAAATCCTCAAGAATAGTTTGTTTGCCCCTGCGAAACGTGACGTTTCTGAATTCCAGCTCGCCTCTCTGGACCTCTAGCTTTGGAAGTTTTGGGCCTTCCTTCGTCTTCCGTTCCAGAAGTTTTCTCACCTCATCAGCTTCTTGTAATTTCTTCAAGATGTCTCTTGCAGAGATCCTCAGACGTTCGAGTGGCTGGGAGAGTATGATCCAGTACATCGGGTACGTGAAAAAGTCCCCAGGGGTAGCTCTTCCGTCAAGAACAAGATTGATGACGACAAGCATCCCTGCTCCAAAGCCCATAAAGAGCACTAGATCCATGAGCGAGTAAGCTTTGGTGACCATGGAGTAAAACTCCCATTGCAAGGAGTAAACTGTCGCCACCCTTTTGTTGTTTTCTTCAATTTGGTACTCTAGCTGATTATAGTTTGCAGCAGTTCTCCAGCCACGAATAGTGTCCTGCCGTTGCTGCTTCTGGTGGCTGTCGGCTGCCAGAAGCGATCCACGAGAGTCCAGCACTTGGTGAGTAGATCGGCGAAGGGCGATACCAACGAAGGTCGAGCAAATAGCCAGATCAAGTAATATGACCGGTCCGGTTATTGTGACAAGGAATAGAGCGGCAGAAAAGGCTGCAATCATACTAGGAATCATGGATTGCAAGACTGAGTCGAACATCTGGTCGACGCCTTCAGCCCGGTCGATGACGAGTCCGGTGTTGGTTGGATCCATTGAGTTGTGATAGGATGGACCAGCCCACATGAGTGTATTGTAAACTGTTTTTTGTACTTTTTGTTGCCGGTATGTGATCAACTTCAGCCATAGCCAGTCGTTCAAGAGGGGAAGGCCGACCCGTGATAATGAGAAACGTAAGATCGCTAACTTGACCATTGGTAGGAGGATGTCGCGCCAAGTCTCAGCAAAGTATAGCCCGTCTAGGACACCGCCGAATACTGAAGCATCCAAGATGCCTAACCCTTGCTGAACCAGCTTGAGCCCGAACAAGAGGACAATCATCCACCTCATATCCGGTCGATCAGCCGGCCAGATGAATTGTTTCATGATTCTGAACCGAAGAACCCACGCCCAGAACCCGAGGTCTCGCACCTCGTCTGTCGCTGTTTCTTGGAGGCTCTCGGAAGCATCTGTATGAGCACTTGAGATGGGATTGGAGTCGGAGGAGACGTTGAAGCCTGCTGATTCCTCGTCTTGAGGAATGCTTTCGTACCCATCCTCGGAGCCCAGAAGAAAGCAGGAGATGAGAATGAGTAGTAGAATTATTTTAGCGAACGCAAGAGTGAGCTCAATGATTGACCAGGAGTAGTATTGAGTGTTCGGGCTGAGATGTCGCGCAACCTGGACGACTTCATGAAAGAGACCAAGGCACCAGACACAGGCGTAGGGCTTCCAAGCATATGAAGTGTTCTCGAACAGCCTGTCAGACTGGATAGAAGTCGCAATGGCGTAGAGTGTTGTGTGATAGACTGAAACCCCTAGGGGATACGATCGGAATAGGGGCTCGAGTTGCAGCATGGAATCACTCCAGCTGAGAGCCAATTGAGCCCGAGTAGCCCAAAGGACTGTCCGAGGTGATCTGATGCGGCGCGATTTGGCGATATAAGGTGACAGTACAGAGAGGATGACAGCGGCACTCGTGCAAACGACTTGCAGACTGCTAATCCAGCTGGATTCTAGGACCATGGTTGTTTTTGACGAGTTGAAGGCGGGAAGCCTGAGATGCGATGCATAGGTAGTAACAGTGCGAGAATATAATCTTCAAGCATGGAATCATCAATGATACTTGAGATCGTTCTTATACGATCCAGTTCGCAAAGGTTCATCAAACGTAAAGTGTAAGGCTGCAGTCTAGGCCACCAAGACGAGGACAGCTCATGCATCGCCTAATCGACAGTAACACGCTAGGCAATGTGTTAGAGATGCGAATGATACAGGTTGCCGCGCGCGATGTGCCTTTGCCTTTGCTACAGCCAAGTACTAGGGATTTGTATCTCAAGAACACATCATTAGACTGCAGATTTACAAGGGAGGTCAGAGAGGCGATATCATGAACGCGGCTCAATCAAGAACCTCATCCAGTCGATCCGCATTCCTTACAAGCCTAATCGAGCAATTGGCCTTGCCATCAAGCAAACCTGGTCCGCACCTTGGAGTTGCTGCAGGGCGGTGGGGCTTTGCGATCCATTGGTGGAGATTGCCAGCTTGGTAGCTAGTTAGCGTAAGTAGTGTTCCAGAAGAGCAATCACTTCTCGAGATTAGTGGCAACAGGAGGCCTGGGGGATGAATCTTGACAGCCACAACTCAACGACAGGATTGTGAATGCCCAGTCGAAATCTGCTGTCCACAAATTGGACATGCAGGGCGATGCACACGCCTGCAGTCGCATTTCCCTTTCGATGTAGTGCATGTGGTATGTTTAATCCCTGTATGGGTGATAGCACACTAGCCGACATCCCTGTCGATACTGATAAACAGCGCTTTGCCATAATAGGATTTGTGAGACTTGTCCTGCGATTCTGCCTTCTGCATCACAGTAGGGCTCACCCCACCACCCTCGATTTCGCAGGACAGGTCCGATGATGCTAGTGCAATAGCTGGCCCTGGGCATTACACTCCTCATGTGACGAGCCTTCCCCTGCTTGTCGCCTACGGCACCTGCTCCACACTTCCGAGTGCCTGCCAACCAAAGACGACCAGGGGTCGATTCGCACTAGTTAGAATTCCTTCCGACCTGCATGAGCAGACGTGGCAGAGAATATCTGCGCCCGCCAGGTTTTCCTGCCAATCGCAGACTCGCAGGGTAAGATCAGGCTTGCGCCATGGAACTGGGCCGCGCTGCAAACAAGTATTTCCGGCGCTAGTCTACCGTCCAACAGACGAAAGCACTGCCAGTCGTTCGTTTTCTTGATCCATCGCCAGCGCCGGATCGAATGCTCCCCACTCTCGTTGCCAATCGTTCATCGTTGCTTCTCCAAATCTATCGCCGGGTCTGGGTTCCCTCGGGTCCACGCTCATTCCCGCCAAGTACCAACCATCAGTGTCGATTGTCTGATCTGCTCTCAGTATCGCCGCCGCTGCTGCGTATTTCCGACTTTGCCGACAGTACGTTCATGTTTGGAAAACGTAGTGGGGGAGGACCCCCATGCAAGTTCGCCTGAGGCTCTTAGTACCATCTGCAGCGCCCTGAAGCTATGTCTCCAGGAGGAACGCAAAGGGCCACCTAGAAACTATCTCCAAACGGCGCTCCTCACTCATACGCGTAACGTCACGGATGAAGAAAAAACCTGGGCACTGTTTCTCAAGACCGGAGCTGCACCATTCCTAGCCCTTCTTGTGGCAGATAGGCGTTTACGTGGCAGACACCCACCGCCTGGATGCGATCCGCTGCGCCCATTGTTCAACCTCCCTGTGGCTGAGCAACAGGGGATTGCGGACTCCCTCAAGACGGTTCAAACGTCGCCCAGCATAAGAACGTATATTTATCAAGTGCGCAGTATGTTTTCCGTCTTACTTCACATTTTAACTATCGGTAACTAAGAATGGAAGTCCGTACATACTTTCAAATGCATTATGGTCAAGACCTCTATACTTGCCAATACATCTGCCTAAAACCTTTTACGATTGTACTTCATCGCAAAGCCGGGACTAAGCCTCAAGAAACCATCCAGTCATCAAATACCAGCTCGTCGGCGGAATCTTGCACATCGCATATCAATACAGGTCATCTTCCGAGTTCAAGCTCCCAGACTGCTACAGATTATGTACGGAAGTGAGCTGCGTTGATCGAATCAAATTACCAGGCCATATGACTGACTTGTGTAGATAAACTCATGGGCAAATGCGGCTGAAGCCTGTGTTCTGCGAAAGGATTCTGTAAAGAAAGTAGTTGTTGCATCCAACACACCAGCATGAACCCATCAAAAAATTGAATCATTGCAACTCGACTGATATTCATAAATCTGTGCTGATCATGCCACGTGACTGGAATTACTATGAGCGAATGGCAGCTGCTGACTAAGAGATAAGCGTGCTTCGCTACAGTCATCCTCGCCCATTCCCCGCTCCCAGCCTCCTCTCGAGTCTCCGGGCGTCAGCGATACTACTGCACATACGGCACGGTCGGCTGGAACATGGATCTGGCACAGTTCCTCTATCTTGAGGCAGAGCAGCCAAGCAAAGTTTTGATTCAGTCTGCGGTCGTGCAGGAACCAGAGAACTGGGCAGCAGAAGAGCCCATCGTCCGATGCCCCAAGAGCGAGATACATGAACAGATATTTGAGCACTTCAAAAAAGAACATGTACGTTCACCGACTATATTATGAATATCACTGACACTTCCAGGGCATATCCATCGCCTATAAGATCGGACCCGCATCAATCAAGTCAATTGAGCAAAAAGGCCCCTTCATTCTGAGGACGCTACAACCGACGCAACACGTGCATGTCAGCACACCAGCGGACGCAGTCAATGTGTACATCCCACTACCTTTGAAACCCGCCCCGTCCAGTACAGATCCTGTTGGCCCGATGAGCCACAAGGAGGTTCATCATCTATCCCCACTGATAGTCTACCAGGCACACAGCGACAACAATAAAGAACACATCGTCTGGCAGCCGGGGGTGTTCATATTAATCCCGAGACAAAGCGCAATCTTTGTAGAAGGTATCATTGCTTTTCTTTTACAGCAGTATGTCTGTGTTGAAGGAACGTCTAGCTAAGACAAGTACTCGGCTGCACCAAAACTAGCATTCGACTCGAGAGCACGGCTGTCTAGCGAGACGTGCAGGCCCAAATGTTGAGGGACCGTGGCTGAGCTCCCTTGTATTAGGGAAAGGCTTGCAGCAGGCGACGGGCTTGCCATTGGAAGGGAAAGCTGTGCCGGGGAAGAGTAGGGCCTGGTTGATTGTGGCGTGGCAAAAGAGGTGTAGTCATCAGATAATGCGGATGGTGCAACCTGGTCGAGAGTCTGAAGAGACATAGCGAGTTGAGATGGTGGAGGGCATTGCGAAGACAATTTTGCCCACAAATCCCCCCTCTCCATCATTTGCCGTTCTTTGTCAATATTGACAGCTTCGCGAACAAGCCTGTGGTTCACTAGATAGTTCCAGAGAGCCAAGCCCGTGTCATGATACGGCAGAGCAACATGCAGAGCGTTTTGGCCCTTCAGCTGACACATCACTTTCTGATGGGTTCCGTTGTTTTCTTCAACAGGCAACTTTCGTAGGCTTGGAGTTGTTAGTTGGTTGAGGCGCGCCTGGGCGGGGGGCACTTACGTCGAACGTGCGATATTGATGACCAAAGGCGCACCAAGCGTGAATTTAGAGGCAAGCACCGCGTTCCGCTTTCCTTCATAGACACGGTGTTTGTCGGACTCGGCTATCTTATAGCCATGCGTCCCTCTCACATAAGCCATTGCCATGTGGAGGAAACGTTGCTGGTATTCAGCTTGGCCTTTTTGATTGTCCAAACACTGTGCAGCTTCTTGCAGAGAGGGCTTGGAGAGTTCATCGCCAAAAAACGCCTCAGGCCGCACGGTCCAAAGATGATGGCCTTCTTTGACTATGCTATTGACCATCACGGTCCCAGCACCGTCAAACCTGTCTGGCACAACTATGAGCCGTAGACGCTTCAGCAAGCTCTCTTTGAATTCGCAGTCCAGCTGTTGCCACATAGATTCAAGAACCGGGAGGATCTACAACGGATTAGCTGAGATCGAGTTCCTGTGGGTGGCACGTACCCCTTCCCCCGGCGGCGCTCCATGCCTGGAGGCGTTGCCCCAGTCCAGGAGTGACTGTCCCAATTGTCGACTTTGCTCTGCGCCCATCTCGAATCCGTTTAGTCTGACGGCGGAATAGATCGGGCAGTGGAACGAACTCCAGCTGATGTGGGACGCGTCTTGCGAATCTGGGGCGGCTTATTATGCATGATTCAAATGCCATGTCTGACAAATGTGTTGGGGGCCAACCGGTTGGAGGCCAGTAAGGTGGAGCGCCTAGTCATATGCGGAGTATTCCGTAGATGCAGGATGATGCTGGCAAGTAGCCCTGTCACTCCGCACTACAGCAGGCGCGATACGCAAGCAGGTTTGGGCTCATACAGGACCACACTAGTCTCTGGGTGTACGATACTTTAGGATCAGATCGACACCCGAAGTAGTGTACACGGTACTACGTAGTGCACTTATCTCGCGCGGGTGGGCTAGCAGCACGCTAGCAAGCTCCCCGACCCGCTAAGGGTGGGGATTCAGCAGTCATGGTAGACACGCCCCGAGGTGGCGTACGAACGTCTGAACAACGACTCAGGCCGATGTGCCGCTCGAGAGGCTTCAGAGCAAGTTCTCCGTCAAGTTCTGGCGTGAGTTCGTGGTGCTGCTGCACATGAGCGCTACACTAGGCCGATCTATTGATTGCAGGCATTTATGCGAAGGGCGCTTCCAAAATGGGCCGGAGTCCCTAGACCCCCTACGGCGAGATGGGTAACGTAGATTGCTGCGGCTGTCCAATGTTCTTGTACTTCAGCGTCTGACTTTTCAGGGAACCAATTTTAGGCGAGCAAAAGGCCAAGCGCTGGAGGATCATCATGGCAAATAGAACAGAGGAAGTCAGATAAGATACTGGCGTTCCAGCCCGAAACACTTGAAGTAGAGGTGTCAACCGTTGACTCATGCGTGCTGGTACTTTCGAACGCTCATTTCTGATTTTGTGGTGCCTCATATAGACAAGAACTGCGCGCTACTCAAAGGAGGGAGTGAGATGGTCAACAAAGCGCCGAGCAACGCTGCGACAGTGATCAGCGTGCTCAGCGTGCTCATTGGTGGAGGGGAAGCGCACACATCCTATTCCAATAACACAATATGCAGACGGTGGATTGTCAATACTGCGCCGTCTAGGTGTTCGATGATCCCGTACACACATCTCTTAAAGGACGACTGTCCCCGAGTTGCTCGGTCTCAATTGCTTGTTCCATCTCCGGTCACAGCTTGCCCATAGGCTAACATCTTGATCTTCGAACCATTCTGCGGAAAGTATCATATTCAGGTTCAAAGCTTGAGTGTCCCAAAGTCGCAATGAGATGCATCAGGAGGTTGACCAATATTTTTCGCTTACGTACAAGATTCTCTCGTTCTCGAGACGATGCAATCGGCCACCGAGTCTCGACCCAACAAAGCAAGAGAACCTCTAAAGATCATGCTCGACGATGTGTTCAAGATATCGACGGCCTTATATCCGAACAGACATTGCTGAGACTGTTGAAAACCAAATTTGGCACCGCATTCCGATTGATACGTGTTAGTTTTACTTTTGTGAACAGCTTGTTCGAAGTTTTCCTGCTAACTGATGACAGACGCGCTCGAAGTATTATAGACTGTTTGCGCAACAACCACTGAATAATGATGAGATCATGAGCTGTTGTTATGGGAGAACTTGGGCTGCCAGAAGAAGTGAATAAAGCTCCTATTCTTGAGAGTTTTGTAACTGATGGTCCAGTTAGTAATGTGACACACATCTTGCTGAGTGACTTCTGCCGGTGAAATTTCCCTGGGCCATGCACTTCATTGCTTCTCATTTCCGCCCGGCATTGCCAATATGCCGCGATTACGGCGTCCGCCTCCAGAATACGGCAGAGCGGATCGAAGGATTGGCAGACTGGATTCTTTAGCGCTGCTATGCTCCATGCCCTCCATCAAGGGGCTGTAGTCGCTGACATAAAGTCTGCTTCGTCTCATATGCGTTGTCACTAATCTCAAAAGAATAAGTGAATTGCTATTCCATGGGCCATTCTTTTGCTACCTTTGCGTGTTTGCATTACAGCGGAGTGTATTCCTGGCACATATACTAGGCTTTCGGTACGACGAGGGATAGGGTGATTGAAAATAATTCCAAGCAAAGAGTCCTTGACGTGTTGGAACATGGGCTAGGAGTGGCTGGTTTCAACACTGTCTCAAATACACCAAGCAACAGAAGGAGGATGGCCAATTCTGGCCACCCTAGAAGCAATTTTGGTTTGGTTCCTTGATACTGCTTGCCTGCGGAATGGAAAACGAACCAGCTACCTGGAGTATTGATAGTTCTAAGTCACCACATGATACCTTCCTTGCTGTCCCGCCACTCGACCGATTGGTGAATTCCACTCTCCTACATGGACAAATAGTCACCTTTTCAACGAAAGGACGTCCTCTTTAGGCAGTTCGTCACTGCCAAATATTCAGAACACGGATACGAGTATCCACAACATTGCAGCAGAATCCTTGAGGTACACATCCTCGTGTAAGTATTTAGTCGCATACGCTGGCCAGATTAGCCCCAGGCGCCATGCGAACTGCGACATGCTGGATCGCACGCAGACACAAGGGTATCGGCTCCAGAACAGCTGCAAGACATCCCTGCCAGTAATCGGCCACATAGTGGTAGTCGAGGCCGCGAAAGGCATGGCTGCTGATTAGGCAGACGCGACAAAGATGACGGGTCCGTACGTGTCGTTGCGATGAACATTGCTGAGTAACTACCGGTGTTTGATCACACGGCTACCAGCTTGAGAGTGCGGCCCGTTCTATATCTGAAGCCAGTGATCTCCTCCTGTTGTGCCCGGGACTTTAATACCCACATTCCCGCATTATTTTTGAGCTTAATCAACTCTGAAGACCCTACGAACAATGACCAGCCCTCTAGAACAGCTCCTTGAGGCCGCGGCCATGGATTCCGACGGCATCGTGCAGCCCACGTACAAATTTTCGGCTGACCTCTGTTACCGCACAAAAGGAGAAGCCAATAGAAAAGACGGTCTAAAGACAATCTTGACACGGCTCTACTATTCTGTCACGAAGGAAGAGTACCAAGGGGCTGTCAGGTGGACTGAGGCTCTGACGCACTGGATTACCCTCGAGCACGGCGTGCCTCGTAAAGTGCGTGCGGCGTTGACTCAAATATATTACGACCTGGCATTGACGCCCGGAATGGAGAGTACGTCAGCGATGGCATTCAGCGACATTGCTCCCAAACTTGTTTAGTAGGTCATACTTTAGCCTTTGAGACGTCTGAAGGCTCTTTTGGCATGGCTGACTCGGTCGTTGCAGTGACATGCATGGCGAACGCTGCCTCGAGCAAGGCAAGGACATCAATCTGGATGTCTTATACCAAATGTAGGAGAGAACACGATTTGAGTGCCAATACCATCAGTTCCGGCCGGGGCGAGAGTTACGGTAGTGGGCACCGAGTTGGCTCCGGCTGCAGTGAGAGTGGTATAGGGGCTGGTGAAGGCACCTCCCGCACGCGCTGTCGGCACCAGAACGATCTGGGTGCCGGTGGCTGTTACGACATCAGCAACTCCCCCTGCAGTATCAGTGATCTATTGCAAGCTGAAGAGGTGTTTGCCCGAGCATCTGGGATAAGGCATCCAAAAGTAGAATTGCCGCAAGCTCTGCAAGCTGACCAAGGGGATGTGGTGAATGGTGATGAGAAGGAGGCCCTGTACAGAGAGATACAAAAATAAAAAACCCTTTTGGGAAGCTTCATTGGTAAATAGATTAGCTAAAAGGGGAGATATAATTCAGGGATCGAGCCTCGTTCTGCTGCTGCTATGGACCGTCTTTCCATCTAGTCGCTTTGTTCTGTCAGCTGGTGTGAGTCTGTCAATCCTGAGTGTGCCCGTTCTGTGTTGGCATATCGCTCTTAACTCTAAAATAGACCTGATAGTAGCGAGTGCATTTGGCGGTTTGGTCTTCCTCATCGCGACTTCCCTGGATTCTATGCGTGACTGAACGGGAAAGGTGCCGTTCAGCAGATTGTTAATTGGGCGATGCGACTGTCGTACAAGTCTAGTTACGTACAAGTGTGACGGAACGACAGTGCTTGGGTTTACTACCGTTGAGCCAGCGGGCCAAAGGCACAATGTTCGGTCGAAAGACCGAACCCCAAGCTCCTCCATGACCGACCCTTGACAACAAGTCTAGTTACGTACAAGTCTAGTTACGTATAAGTCTAATCACATCAAATGGCGAACGTCTTTCCTGCCAACATATGATGACAGGATAATTTTCTCTCTAGTCTGAAAAGTTGAAGATGTAAATCAAGAGTATATTTTGAAAAATCACTGGCTCTATACAGTAGGATAGGAATCCTCATATTCGAAACGATTTTCACTTAGCGCAAGCAGCTGATGCTTGGCCAATGAGCCTTGAAACATATAGCACATCCAAGGGAAAATATACAGAATTGAATGTGGTAGGCAAACTCGCGGTCGTTATTTCGATTACTTGTACCGATCAGTGAACTTGACTCCGTTAAGTCGATGTCACTGGACTCCCCTCATCGGCCTATGGCAGGAGTTTGACGACGATACAACGATCATCAATAGCGTCATGCTGAGTACCAGCCGTATCTACGGTGTCAAAATGCTCGCCACTTTGATTTCTTGAGCATATGCTGAGTGTTGATCCTGAAGCTGGGCTGGAATTATTGGCATGTGGCGATAGGGATTGATTCGAACCGCAACTTTGCCGGCTTGTTTCTGGATGGGAAGGAGAGGCGTCGTTAGTCCAATGTGGGAAGTAGACGCCCGTGTGACGTTCAGATTCAGTTACATAGACTGTATCGTGTTGGTCTGACGTGCGAAAGGGGTCCTTGGTGGAATAAAGATTTGGCTGGACAGTCTCAATACTCAGTCCAAAGGGTGGTCTTGTAAGTGTTTGGGAAAACACAGGAGCCAAAGTTGAATCATCTGGCTGAAAAATGACCAGCGAATCGTCCTCCACGATACCGATATCAATTGAATAGATCATGGGCGAGCCGTGGCCAGCCACGGGAGTTTGAGTAGCTGTGCCGACCGCCCGGCCTGACGGACCCATCCGCACAGCCACCTCGCCGGGAGAACGAGAGAAGGAGGCAGTGGCTATCACCCGGTGTTCTTCTGGAGATGGAATCCAAACCAGCTGAGCAAAGGGTTGCCATGGAGATGTGAACTTCACTCGTCTGCTCATTGTCAGGTTTATTATCAACATCGAAGCATACGGGGGCATCCTTACAATTTGAAATGATCGGTTTTTAGTCTCCAGACGTAGTTGCATACGGGATGACCAGAATAACGGATGATCTCTGCTCGAATGCTAATCATTTCAGGATACATCAAATGAATAGCAACCGAGCCTGTTCCGCCTATCGTGCCGTTGTGGTTGACGTACAAGACTTGTTGTTGTTCACCTTCTGTCGTCAGAAGAGAACCATTGGGTCGTCGCACCGCCACTCGAGCAGTCCGGTAGAGGAAAATCGCAGGTAGGGACATAATACGGTTTGCAGAAGAACAGATAGGGAGAGGCTACTACCAATATGGGATGCAGGAAGAACGTTCTGGATACCCTTCGGCTTAATGCCAACTGGTGAGGGCTAATTTATACAGTATAAGTCCATGTTCAAGAATGAGTGAGCCGGTATGGCACTGACGCGCAGTATACAGCTACATGTTCTTTGCATCCGAGAGCTAAGAGAGCAAGGTACATTACCAAGACGGTAACTGTCCTTGGCCCACGATCCTGACCGTATATGTTCTGATCCTATGGTGATGAGTAGATATGTATTTATCGAAGCTTATATAATGACCATTTGAGAGTTACTTTATCCGAAAATGGAAAAATCTCCGTTAGCATCTGATCGCATTTGGTGTGGCCATAGCTCACACAGGAGCTAGGTGCCCTTCTCAATCTCCACATTCCACAGACCCCCCTAAATGGCCAGGGACTTGCTCCGAGCAGAACATAAAATGTGTTCCGCATAAGCAGCCACTACCCGAGACAACCAGTTGGCGTTACCCGCATGTGGGCGCTGTTGTCACGGAACATGTTTTTTTGTTCTGGGTGGCAAGGAAGTTGCGAATCATCTGTCTATGAGTATGATGCGGGAAGCTATCCACCAAATCGAGCCTTCTTCGTCGTATGTCGCGCTGCGGGCAGTGAACGACTCGCCAGATTTTGTCATTCCTTTGCCTTTCATAGAACACCATATCTTCTTGGCAGGGTTTGCATCCGTTCACCCACGCGGAATCACTGCCGACAAGCGACAGGCGTGAACAATGTAGCACGTTTGCAGCCGCTATCATAGCCAGCGGTCTGTCCTGAGCCAAGAGTTTGCGTATTCAGTCGATTTCCTCATCGTACGGCAGCAGCCATGAATCAGATTTCTCGGCTAGCGTTAGGGGATGACAACAGCAGGCGCACACAGAGAAGAGCCACTCTTCGGAACAGCCCCCAGTGAACAGGTGCAATTGGGGAACACTTCAGCAATCGCCTTGGTCTATCAGAACGAGCCTCCATTTTTAATTTATTTCTAAGCCAGGGCATGTGCTACACCCAAAATAGGCCAATCGATCGTCTGGCGGCTCCCCCAGGTCGAGTGGCAACTGGGAGCCGTCTGTATAAGAAACCTTTGGTAGCTTAAAAGGTTTCCGTCAGCTGGCCGCCCCCGCCAAACGATCAGGCGCAGCAAGGCTAATCGAGTAATCGGCGGAATTACGTATATCCGACACGCCAGTCGAAATCATCAACCGCGGGGCTGTTTGGGCATCATCAAGGATATGTGATATTCCATGACCGTGGTACAGCCTGACGGCCGTCATTTTCCCGATCGACACAGCCCACTGCCTTGACCTCTTCGCACAACACCTCTTTCATGGCTTTGAATACCTCTTTATCCGCAGTAGATGTGCGACGAGCATTCACCGAAGCTGCCTTTCTCTATGCTAATGACGCATCGGTGGGGCAGCGCGTTAAGGAGTTCCAACAGAGGGGGTTTCCAATCGAGTCTGCCGACGGCTTGGATTTCTGCAAACAGAATGTGTTTGAGGATCAGGTATGAACGTCCAGGTTTTCCCAGAATAGGTGTTGTTGACAGTTCGCTAGCGAGTTCGGCTCGTTTTGGAGGCTTTATTCCCATGGTGTGCAGTTGGGATCTATGAAGTTTACCGTAGTAGCCCCGAGTGCATCTACGGTTATATGACTGGGCTGAACTCCGAACTGAAAGCCGCAGTAGTACGACTGCAGAGCCCGGGCTCAAGCGTAGTTGTACTCGACGGCTCGCATCGACTCCCTATCAGAGGTTTCGTCGCTTCAAACGGCCTCTTGGAAATCCCATACGCCCCCCTTAGAAACTGTAAAGAAATCGAGATCGACATGGCAGAGGGCGGCCTGTATGTCTTCCATCCACTTGTCATTCCTCAATCTAATCATCATAGGATAATACACGATGCACGTTTACAGATCCGATCGATGAAAGGCTATTCGGTTCAGCTTTGTTTCGCAACGGAAGATGAGATACAGGGCTGGCCTAGAAAGAAGTTCCCTGACAGCCAGGCGCTGAAGCAGCAAGCTATTGCTATGGAAACACCAACAATGGGTGTCAATTTTGTATTCGGAGATCAATGATATTCAGCATGTTGGTATAATACGTGTCTCCTGAGAACACAGTCTCAATACCCAAGTGGCCCATATCCGTCGCCAGTTCTCTCGGTGGAGGTGACCATGTTCGAACCCACAGAGTTGGTCACTCCGTGCTCAGCTCCTGACATCGCCTGTCCATTAAGCTCGTGCTCTACATCGTGCAACCCAAACATTTGCGTCGACATATACATGAGCGGAGCTTTCGATACGAGTGTTGTGCCTGCGTACATGAGCGGCGCCTTGGACATAGATATCATGTCCGCAAAAGGATCGAGGCCGTGTGCACCATACTCTGCCACAGCGACATGAGATGGATCAGAAGTTGGAAGGGCGTGGTAGAACTGCGACTGTGGCAAAGAGGGCTCTCCCAAGTTTAATGATAGATCGAGGCTGGAGCCCATAGGCAGGAGGTTCAACGGTTTAGAGAAGGTCTCGGTATTACTTGAAACCGGCTGGTCATCAACATTGTCCGTGGTGGCCATGGAAGGTCCAAGAATGTCTTTGACCTCGTGCGCAGGCTTGCTGAAAGCTGATGTTGTTGGAAGTTCAGTTCCAATGCCACCATTCTCCGTCTTTCGTCTTTTGTGACGCTGATGTGTGTCTTCTTCTATTGGGTCTTTTGTATGGGCGGCACGAGAACTCTCTGTCCTGGCTTCTCTCAATTGTATGTCCACCTGTCGCCGAAGTGCCTTCCGTCGCTGCAAGATTTGTATGGTCGATTTACCCTTCTTGCAGTTGTGGTGAAGATAGGTACTCGCGCGTTCCATAATGCGTCCGCACGACGGGCAAAGTTCGTAGCATGGAGTATCTGCAAATTGGGATATTAGAGATAATTGACGAAATAAGGGACGGGCATTGTACGAATCGCGAAGTGTCTCTGGAGCTCTTTCAAGTTTCGGAATTCCTTTAATTTGCGGCATTCATGCTGCGGGCAACGTAGATCGACGTCTTCTGCACTGCTCCTCTCACTTTCAGAGTCAAAGTCAAAGGAGGCACCAGTATCGCCTAAGCGATTGCCAGGTTTGTCATCGCCGGAAACATGACTGTTGGGGGGGGAATGGACGTGTGCCAGGCATCTCAGCAACTCGCGCACATGATACTGAGCCTGGGACTAAGCACAATTTTTTTTTTAGAGGCGTGTGCCAACGTCAGAGAGAGGGCACTCACCTGATAGAATCCAATATGCTCGTGCAACGCCTCGGAGGTAGTGAATTGATCCGAGCAAGTTTGACATTCCATGGTTAACGGTAAGTACTGCAATGATGACAGCTTCGGGCTTCTGGGAGCCATTCAACGAAGTCATCACGTGTCGGGCATCCATGCCTGCCTGGTTCGGGTAGATTTCGGGTCGGAAAGCATTGGCACAGCGACAGCCGTGGCACATAAAGTAGTACCCAAGCCCCGACGCCTCACGCAGGCGCGAACTTTTAAGTCTCCTAGCAACCTTTCATCGAATACTTCCCTGTTCGTTTCCTCTGCACTATCATGATCTTCAATCGGTGACTAACAGTGTCCTTAGGGGACTTTTTACGCCTTTTCTTCACACGATTTCTCTATCAAGATGGCTGAAAAATGCAAGCGATGCGACGGCAAAGGTGTCAACGGAGGATTCAAATGCACTTGGTGCGACGGCACTGGGGATGAGCCAGCTCAAACCAAAGCTCAGGTTTTCAGTAATGCACAGATACTTGCTGGCTAGAGGCATTCTGTACAGTCACTTGTACAACTAATGAGACTCTGGTAACTAATTGTTCGGCATAAAATAAAATGTCTACCTATCTTACAAGAGCAGCCCATTTGGTCGTGATGCTAACACCTACGTTCCTTACTAAGTCGCAGTGCGAAAGCAGGAAAACGAATTCGACGTCACGCCTACCTGCCTGTCTTGAGGCACTTGGCTAGTTCCATGTGATGACTGACCTCGGCTCTTCGTGTCCGGAACAAGATATTTTGTTCGACCTGTGCGGAACAAAATTCCTTGTTCTAGCGTGCTCACCTGCCCCACCCATTTGTTCGGGTGGCATCGGCCTGAGTCCGCAGCCTAACCAGCTCACCACACAACTGAATATGCCCACACACCAACGTTTTGCGCCGGAATCATCATCTTACTCAAAGACTAGAACAGAGAAAGCTTCCTGAAAACCAACGCAAATCATTGGGGTCCATGTGGGATACGATCATCAACACAAATCAAAGAGCCGCAACATATTACCGTGGCGTACCATCCGAACTGCGGATCGAAATCCTGGTTGAGATCAGGCTTAGGGCCATGTCCAGTCACATTCACATGAAGGTGAATTCGGAACAAGGAAATTTGTGCTGAACATGATACTGGGGTTACGCTCCAGGGATCCTCGTTCCTTGCTCTCCACTCTACTCGGAACATATCATCTTGTTCCACCTGATGGGGTGTTGAGGGTTTTTATTGAATTAAGCCATATATTGGCTTAAGCGGAAAAGCCCGACACAGTTAACCGAGTGAGAGGGGAAATCGGCCGCCTTACGAGACACAAGCCACGGAAACGTTTCATTGGTTCATGCGCGTTTTCCATTTCAACCACCCAACCAAGAACTCCAAGGGCCACGACTTGCATCCGACATCACGCATGAACCTAGCGTTTGCATGGCAATACTAGGGCAATGTCAAGGGTCGTCGTGACTTATGGGGGAAGGGAAACTGTAGTGGTCAACAGCTTTTCGACCGTCCCGAGATGGTCTCCATGCGCTCCCTCTTGTGCCATGGAGATAGCCAAAATCTATATAATGAGCACATCTCTAGAACTTTAATACTCGGTCTAATCATGCCCGGCCCGTGTCAGTGCTGGTGCGAATGTGAGAAATCTGTCGACGTTCCCTGCTCGAACTTCTGCAAGCGGTGCTGCCGATACTGTCAGACATAACACACGAAGCTCTTTCTGCACCATGCATCATCAAAGTCCTCCACATCTCTCTGCCATGGACATTTTCTTCCCCGGCTTCACTGGCCTCACCACAATACTCCAACAGCTTCTCAATGGAAGATTGGATGGTTACGCCAGTTTGTTGTGTATCTGCGGGATGTTGATGATTTGTGGCAAGTTCTTGGGCAAGACGGTAGGAGGATTCGTCGACACTTACTTCAGTTAGTGAACCCTCCTAAGCCTATAATACATGTCTAACCCCCTCTAGCTACAAAGACCAATGTTCGCGATCCCGACGAGGCATACGACATGCTGGATGCATGGATTTCCAGCCAAGCCTTTGCCAAAGATGCCAGCTCTTCGCTTGTTAGTGTTCAAAGCAGGCAAGGAAGAACTTTAGCCCACTTCAGCCCTGAAAATACAGCTAAGAAGCATCTTCGGTTTACGCCTTGGGGGGAACCGCTGTGTTTCTGGTATCGAGGGCACCGCCTGACGTTACGATGCACGCAAGACAAAGCAGCATTCTTCTCGCGCAACACGATGACAATTTCTTGCGTGGGGCGCTCTTCACGGATTCTGCGGGACCTTATGGAAGAATGTCGCATAGAGTATCTGAAGCATTCTGAAAACAAAACTTCAATTTTCGAAAACCACAACAACGGCTGGAAACGAACCATTACCCGGGACCTTAGGCCGATCGAGACAGTTATTATGAACGAACAAATCAAGCAGACTCTTCTGAAGGATCTACGCTCATTCCTAGACCCCAAAGCTCAGTCCTGGTACGCGAGACGTGGACTGCCGTATCGGAGGGGCTACCTGCTCTTCGGCCGTCCTGGAACCGGAAAAACCAGTCTGAGCATGTCCGTCGCCGGATTTTTTGGACTGGATATCTACGTCCTCAGCCTTGCTATCATGAACGATGAACAGCTCGGTGTCTTGTTCAAGGAGTTGCCTCAACGCTGTGTTGTCCTACTCGAAGATGTTGACGCCGTAGGTACAGCCCAGTCTCGTGTGTCTGAAGTTGATGACTTCGAGTCCCAATCAGAAGATTCACGGAGGTCGCGGAAGCCGCACGGGGCTGTTTCGTTGTCTGGGCTCCTCAATGTTCTTGACGGCGTCGCATCACAAGAGGGACGCGTCCTCATCATGACGACAAACCACATAGAACATCTCGATGAAGCTTTGATTCGATCCGGGCGAGTTGACAAGAAGATCGAATTTCAGCTTGCAGATGCTGGCGTGGTTAGGGAAATATTCAATACGGTGTTTCATCATTCAGAGGAAGAGACGCCGAACTTGAAGGATCGAGAAGCCAGCAACGAAGAAGCCCGGCGACTAGCAGTTCAATTTACAGCCAAAGTACCGGAGCTAGAGTTCAACCCCGCTGACATTTTCTCTTTCCTCCTCGCCAACAGAGACTCACCATCAGACGCTTTGGCCGAGGTGGAGGGATGGGTGTTGCGTACTAGAAAGGAAAGAGCGATGAGCCGGGGAAACTCATGGGTTCAGAGTGACTAATTTGTGGTTCTGTGCTTTTCTTTTCTCTTGGTTTCGCTTTCTTTGATATCAGCCCAACTCCTTGTCAATCCTTACATATGTCGCTATGATTTCCTCCCTCGGCAGCAAACCCGGTCGTACGAATGTCATTCTGACGTTCAAGGCTGTAAAAGTGAAATAGCCTATGTTAAATAGATTCAGCCGCCCGCTTGAGAATTACATTCAGCATCCATCCATGGAGGTGGCTCCCTACTGCTGATCGGGATTCGCCTGTGATCAGGCAATCACCGTCATCCGAGTCCACCAAATTTTCAATCCATTCATGTTCCCGGATATCCCTCTCAGCCACAGGAAATCCGTCTTCTTCTCTTAGCCAAGTAAAGATGCTTCTTGTCATCATCTCCGAGCAGTCGTCGTCAAAGTCGAGATTATCGTACATGACGGTTACTAGGCTGTCGCCCGGCTGTCCGTACTTGGGCCGCAACGACAAGGGAACCATGGGCTTTTGAAACCCCGTCCACTTGCCCTCACGGCTTTGCCAACTGAGTCCTTCGTATGCAAGAGCGTGAGGGAACTGACATCGCGTATGTTGGCGTACTTCGAGGTTAGTATCCCCGATTGCGGTGAGGCCAAAAGGGGCGAAGGGGAAAAGAGGCGCAACATCGTAGGATTGGCCATGGGAGAGGTATAGAAGCCGACATTCGTCAGCGCGAGATATCTCTTCCACGTCAGTTGGCAGAATCGGAACTGGTTCTTGTATGAACGACAAATGAGTTCCTGTCCATGCTGCTACGTGCAGATCGACTTTCCACCAGCCCTGGCGGGCCTCTTGTAAAGTCCGACTGTGTCCTCCGGTAAGGAAAGCGCCTAACCAGAGAAATCCGAGGTCGGGATCCCGTTTCATCAAGACGCGGACAAGAGTTCGCGGTTCTCGCACAGCTTCCGAGTCCAAATATGCGAACGTGCCCTGAAGCCACGCACCGGATATATTGCATAGCACGCCAGGCTCGAAAAATACGCTACTGAGGAGTGCCTTGATACCGATGACATTGCAGCTCAAAGTGAGAAGTTTGTCGAGTTGGGGAAGATTCCCACTAAACAGGGGAGGCGAAACGGCAGGCTTCTCCATAGATTCTCGTTGATGGCAAACTCGGGGAATAGGTAATTGAACTCGTCTGTTGTCGAACTTTGCCAAAGAAAGGAACAAAGCTGCAGCCAAAGCTTCATAACTCTGATGCGCAACCCCGTGATGATCGCAGTAATCGCGCAGATAGCGTAGGGCGGCCATATACGACGCCGCGCCGCTCTGGGCCTGATGTTGTCGCACACAAGGCCTCGTGCCACGTTGCAAATTGACACGGCGGGACGTCGATAATTTCGTGGACCATGGTGAGAAAAGCAGCTGGCCTTTAGCATTCCGAATCCAAGCGCTCCAGCCACCGCTCGGGGCGAGGACCGCTGCCCACCAGCGGGCAGCATCGTCATCAACGTCGCCAACATCTACCATCGCCAGAGGCAGTAATGTGTCATTCGAACATGGAAGATAATTGTCAGCCCAGGCCGTCGTACAGCTGTCGTACTCAGGACCAGACGCTCCAGGAATGATCTCGGCCCAACGCGCGGAGAGAATGTAGGCCCAGGCGAGTATGAGCACAGTAATATGATTGCCCTCTTCGCCATGCCACTGCTCAAAGATGGATAGTGGGTGGGAATTGGATATTTCAACAACCGTAGGGCGATCTGACGCGACTTGAAAGAGAACTTCATCGTGAAAAATTGGTGTATCACAGGACCCAGAAGTGGTTTTCCATACGGCTCTTCCTCTGACAGTAGCTGTATTTGAGAAAAAGCCATCAATTTCGATGTCTTCGGGAAAATGCGGATGGGCTGGGAATGCCGTCTCTAGTTGCTCGAGACAGTTTCGGGGCAGATTGAAATCTGTGATCGCTAGATCGTGTATATTGGACCAAGTCCGGTATGCTTTCTCGTAGGTGGTTTTGAAAGCCTCCCTGTCTGGTCGAACTGCGTCCTCCATGACATCAAGAGTGATTGTTTCGTTCGAGTCGGACTGGTAAATGGACGCGACCGAGAGGAATTAGAACTTGGAGACAAAGACCTGGGCGTTGCAGGAAGCGCGACTCTGTATCGCGTCAGCTGGTCTTAATGATTACTCAGCACCATGCAGAGTAATCCGGATTGGAGCAGCTTTCGCGCCAAGACGCGTTGCTCGACTGCAGCTGTGGGAAACCCAAGACGCCAGTCCACTTTTATTTCCGCAAGCGTGGCCGCAAGGCCACACCACGCCATCTTCAAGGGAGCCTCTCTTCTTTGCGAATGTACAGAGGCGACCGATTTCTTCACTGGAATATGCCCAACTCATTGAACAGGAACATTAGGCGAAAACGGTAGCCTATAAAATAGCTCAAATTAGCATAGACCATGTCGGCTCTGCCTGGCACGTCCCTCTCTACTACGGACGTTGAATACATCATCATCATCATCGTCAACTTCAGCGCAGCTGTCAATCCAAGCGGCTGGGGGGACGCCTCCCGGTCCTCTATGATTGGTCATGGATGATCCATGAATCGCTGCCTTGCTCGCATTGCCGCCCACCACCACCACCACCAGCGTTATCGTTGGTGCCATCTTAATGTTCGGGCGGCTATAATCCTTGCGCTCTAGACCAGGTTCAGCGCTTAATTCTTTGAATAGCAGTCGAAATGGCCAACTTATTTAATGTGTCGCAAGCAGCAGTCGTGGCGACCCGCGGACGATTGCTCACCACGAACTAAGGCCAATAAATTGAATTCAACAACATCTTTTTGACAGGTAAGACTTCGAAACTTGGTCCTTTGAAGACTTGCTTAATGGCCCCATAGCACGATGAAATCATCAAGCGGAAAAGGCTCATGCTCAGTGTGCGGCCATCTCAATAATGTACATGTACGGCGAACCTGCATTGCTAAAGGCTGCAAACAGCAAATCAAAATTTGCGGTGCCTCTTATCATTATTGCCTGACTCTAGATGGCTACGATCGTCACCAGAATGGAGACGTTGTCTGCAGAGAATGTCCGCACCACGGGCGGGTAAGCAAGACTCAAGACTTCTCTCAGAGTCCTGTTGTTGACAGGGATGGGGATGGCAACATTGTGATCGTGAAGGAAGGCATCATGTAGGAACTGTAGATCAACCTTTCCGGTTTTCCACTATCAAATAGTGATGGTGCACACTTCGTTCTGTCGGACGGATGCAAGAACCGTCAGGTGGGTGTGAATCGATACACGCGCTGAATAAATATCCATATTTGAAATTACAAGTTCATTTATCTCGTAAAATTGATAAGAAGAGAGGGGTTGGAGGACTTTGCTCTATGCCAATAGTAGGTAGTACATGCAATAACCTGCTTCTAAATTTTCTATAACCCGACAATCAACGAACAGCCCACGAACTTGTAGTTGTTGTCAGTAGTGCTGTTGATCAAACAATGTCCCAATATTGGTCTTGATTTACCAGTTCATACCGGGGCACCCCTTGACGTACACAAGTCCTGCCGTGTTGGGTCACCAATGGCGTACCTATTTCCGACCGCGAGTGTCCCGAAGCCGGCGATAATGGGACGCTGCTCAACGGGCTCATTCCATCATCAAATCTTCTGGTAGGGCCACTCTCAGATTGCAAATGAGACTCAAAATCCCATTGAAGCGATGGGAGGTACAACTTGAGCGGCGGTAGACGACGAAACCAGCTTTGTTCCGTTTGAGATAAGCTCCGGGCCCCTATCTCAGAGCGTGAATGGATTGTCAATGAGCCTGGTGTTGACACGGGGTTTTCGCTTAATCTATCATTCTTCAGGAAGGGAAGGTTGGTTGGCCTCAAGGGCAGGCTTGGGCGAATTACGTCTTGCGTTGCCGAAACAGGTGAGAGAGGCCGCGCTGAGCGGATCTCCCGTCCCAAATTTGTCGCAAGGATCGTTGACTCTCGGACTTTGCTCTGGGAACCCTGCGGTTCAAAGCGGCCTGAGAGTGCACTGAAGTCAATGGATTCGATGGCCGAACGAGAGGATATCGACAGGGGGGGAGTGACATATGTACTTGACGTGGGTAAACGTGGTCGGATAGTGGTCATGTTGTAACGTGTATCGCTGGTACTTTCTCTGCCTGACCAACTATGCAGTGGCGTGTCGATTCCTGACCGAGACTGCGACGAAATTCGCGAAAGGTAACTGATCTCGAGGCCAGATTCGACGTACTGTGCTCTCGCTAAGCTGGCTTCTAACCACTCGTTCATAGGATCCTGAACCACGGCAGTGAGGCTCATGATCGAATCAGGGCGGGTGTGTTCTACTTGATGCCGTGCCGCAAGATTTTGTACTCTGGCATCTTGAGAGTTCCTATGGCTGACGGTTAGGGGCGCTGCTGTATCAGAGATAAGCAGTGTGCCAGTATCCGTCGGAGGCCTTTGAGGGCTATCTAAATGCGCACATTGTTCCATTTGGGCTTCGCGGTCGCTTGTCCAGGACTGGACCAGGCGCCCATCAAGTGTGACTGTCTCGTCTGATAGCCGGTACGGACCGCAAGCTCCGAGGAAAGAGTATATAAGGTCTTTCTGGACAAATATAACGGAAGCTCTGGGCGGCTGGGCTTCGGCAAGTTGGGGAAGGAACATAACGTCCCGTATGGCGCGTAGCACGCCAACGTATGGAACCCCCCATCGTTGGCTCAGGGGAATTTCGACGCCAGTCTCGACGTCACGTGTGACTGGGGTGCACGGCCTCCGTTGAGGCAGATTACATTTCGAAGTATTGAAACCCAGCATAGAGGCCCTGCTGTAGAATACGGAAATGACTTCTGGATCAGTTCCTGGTAAAGCCCTGTTCTCTGTGCTGTCTTTCCTCGGCTTGAATTGGTCGGTAAGACGTGGAAAATTACGCATAGCGGCGAGAATGACCTGCTTGTAGGCCACATCGAAAACGGGCTCGCCCACGCACTGAGCCAACACACCTTCTCTTACTTCCACCAGATTCTGCCGCGGCGGCGACCAGTGCTGCCTAAGGGCAGGTCGCTGAGTAGACCAGGGAAATGGCTTAAGCCATCCAGACAACTGAAGACCCGATGATTGTCTTCTATCATATCGAGGTTGACCCTTTTCTGAGCGCCAAGTCGCGCTGTCCATTCTCGAGCCTGTTCAAAACTGCTTGTCTTCCAAAGTTGAGTGACCTGACGGAAGACTTCACCGTCCGAGTACCGTGTTTGGTGTGACAGCCTGTCAAGCGTCTGGCATATTGCACGGTTTTGTATGAAGGCGGAGAGCTTTGTACCGGGCCTCGATAGAAGCCTCACAGTCCACATTGCATTCTCTCCAAAAGCGATTTTGGCGGCCTCCACGCGATGTTGGCCATCGAGAAATGATATCGGATGCTCAAGTAGTGGTCGTCGGCCATTATACAACGTTTGATGCAGTGTTTCAATTGAGGTGCCGAGCTTCTGTACGATTGTGCCGATCTCGGTGTATTCGACATAGCCGTCGATCGCATTATTGCACGAATCATGGTCAAGGTTCTTTTGGAGAACAGCAACCAGATTCGAAAGGATGGTAGGGTCGAGCTCTCGTGCCAACTCTCGACAAGATGTCAGAAAGCGCACGGGGACGTAGACGATCCCGATACAGTGATCGCCACGAGCAAGACAGGGGGCTAACCATGAACAGCCTGTGTGGGATTGTACGCAGCTAGCCATGTGTGATGTAAAAAGTTCGTTTAAAGTTGGAGAAATTGCGACAATCCCAGACGGGACTGGACATTGTCAGTTATAGTGCCCCACCTCTTAGGCGCACAGCTCCAGGGAATAGCCACCCAAAAAGATTTGCTAGGGGACTGATGGGCGCAGGGTACTGGTTCCCGGGAACAACACCCTCGGAATGATTTAGGGTATCTGATTCCTGGGAACAGTACCCTCGAAATTTTTTTCCAGGTGTCTAGATCCTGGGAACAAGTCTGACGCAGGGGACTGATTCCGGGGAACAAGCCTGACGCAAGCCACTGATTCTTAGACGGAATGCCGATTCCTGGGAATGGTGCCTGGCGCGAGGAACTGGTTTTCGGGAACAGTACCCTCGGGGAACCTTTTGACGGGACTGATTCCTGGGCACGGATTGGCGCAGGCCAACCTGCTTTCATGCTATTTTAGTGGAGGCGCGGGAGCTAACCTTTATAGAGTTAAGATGAGGGAGCTTTATCTATTTTTAGCTACTCTTATTAGCAAACCGCCCATGTAGTCCACTCACGAGATATATCAAAGTCTCAATGTATTCGTTTTGTAGTGTGGCACATGAGCTCAGCTATCGCAGTATGCCGCGCCAAAGTAATTCGGTTCGAGCGAAATGGAGAAGCCAGTGTCGTGAAAGGCTTTGCCAACACATTAGTAAGTCTCTAGTTGCGACGTCACGAGTCGCTAGCTGACTATCAAGATGATACCCTTGGACTATCACTACTTCCTGATCAAGTCCGCTTGCTGCCGAAGGATGATGACCAGTATACGTGGGATATCTCGGAAGACAAGAAACACCTTTTCAGTAAACATCTTAGCAAACATTCAACCGGGCCGCTCATGGAGCTCTGCCGTGAGGTTGGCATCTCATTTCGGGCGATTGCACATTCACATCGCGCAGCTGGACACCAGACGCCATTGCCATGCCAAATACAGCAGGAGAACGAAGAGCTGTGTGAAGAACTTTGTATGAGCAGAAAACGTGCCGATCTTGCGGAAAAGAGACTTGAGCGTCTGGTCCAAGAGTTTAAGGTCTTGAAATGGCGGGAGGCTGTAAAAGGGGTCATAATATCAAGACATCGAGCACATATGATTGATTATGTACGAAATTCTAATCAGTTAATATCAATGATCTCACCTTGAGCTGAGAACACGAGCTGCGGCATTGCTGGAAGATTGAGAGGAAGGGGTCTTCCATTTCCTTGTAGACATCAGCAGGTACTTTTGGCGGAAAGAGTTGTTGAAAAGCCGTTTGTGCGGCCTATACTGCCATTAAACTATCAATTTTTTCTGCACCTACAATTCCAATTTAGACTAAACAAGACGGATGCTGTGTAGAGATCGAGTCAAACGAGAAGTCACCTTTCTATTCCATGACTACCTTAAAACGGCACTAAACATTGATATGACACAAACCAAGCAAATTTGAACCCAATCGAAGTTCCTGTCCCACCTGGGGATGCATATGAGTCTTGCCCTATCGATCACTGAGGTCGTTGATTCGATCACTCATCTTCCATCTTGCGAACTCCTGCGAGAATTTTCAGCCCTGTGTGGTCTACTCCTTCCGTCTCTTCGAGACCCTGGAGCATGGCGGTGACCCCGAACTTTTGACGAGCCGCCGGAATCTCCGCCTTCTCGTTGAGCCTCTGCCGTATGCCTGTGATAGCGATCCTTTCTCCAGGCCGAGCGCCCAATTTCCTCGCCTCTTGAATGATTCTCGGTCCGTCTTTGATCAGAAGCCCTGGCGAACCTGGCCGAGCCGCGCCGGTTGGAATCCTCACTACGCCTCCTCGGCGTTCGACGCTCGAGCCTGCTCGAACGATCCTTCTCCATGTGTACGTCGTGTCTCGAATTTTCCCTCTGCAGTGCTGATCTTGGAGTAGAAAGAGGGCTTCTGTCCTCATATGTGACCACGGAATCCGAATCATCATCGGAAGGATAATCAGTCATGTACTCCGATGTGGACGCGTAGTCGGAGCAAGTAGCAGAATTTGGCTCAGACCGCAGCTCCTCGGACTCATCATCCTCATCATAGTTCCTACGGCGCCTATCGGGTCGATATGGAATTGATGGACGCTGGTCGAGGTTCGATTTGCGACGTGCAGGCAAGGACGGCTTGCGAGGTTTGGCGGGAGAGTAGTATCGGTAATCTTTCTGCCCCTCATGGTCACGTTGACGCAGCCGTCCGCTACCTCTCGCTGTGCGTGGTGATGCAGGGGGCGAGACGCTCAATCCTCTCCCAAGAACGGGCATCTTTGAGCTGTGAGCCTCGTCCCATAGCCATAGAGGTGCTCTATCTCGCAGGCGGCCGCCAACATACTGCAACTTCTCACGGGTGCGCTTCGATCTGGGCTCGCGAGGATCCGACTGGCCAGCTCTAGCCCATACACCTCTGAACACACCCCAAGTGCCGCCCTTGTATCTGTACCGGCAATCTGTGAAGGTGAACCACGTCTCTTGCGACAACCTGGTCCTTGCGTCCCCAAGATTCGCATTCGGTCCAACGCTTGTGAAGTCCTCTTTGAAATACGCCCATCTGATACTATTTTTTTGTACCTCGCCGGCATAGTTCAGAGTGTAGCCAGCACCAATCGGCAGCACCATCCCGGGGTATGTCTCGATCTGCTGACAGGTGCCCATCTTCAGTTTCGGAAGCACCGACTGGTCCAAGGGAACTTTACAGTATTTGAAGGCGTAATAATGTTTGGATTGGCCCTCTCTAGGAGGATTTGCGGCGAAGGAAACTATGGTTAACCCCTTTACTATTGGTTTACCTTCTACTCTTACTTACGATTACTCGCCGTGCTTCTCTGGATCCGGGGCCTCAAAGCTCCGGTGACCATCTTGGAAGCCATATCGGCCCTTGCCGTGCTCAATACCCTCTTGTACGTTATTAAGCAAGCGCAGAACTTGGAAATGTTTGCAGTCTTCTTCACACTATGGGATACAATCTGATGAACAGGGGTTGACTGGATTTTGCATACTCATTGGCGCTGTTCACAAGGTTCGGGCCACCACAAGCTGCACGTTTATTTACACCAATGAGAGCAATTGTGAGCATCTGTGACTCACAGAGATAAGTACCACGCATGCCGTTAAGGCATTGAGATCAGACCAGTGGCTGATGTTGCCTCTGCTGACACCCAACTCTGGTTTGGCCTTACTCGCTTGGCCGAATAGAATCGGGTCAGGCAGCTTATCGAAATCTTGCCAGCCACATAGCTATGTACCTTCAAGAACTTAGCATGATCGGCATAGTGGCCTCAGGGTGAATGAGAGAGTTACAAAAAACACTCACGGTTCATTGTATTGGGTGATGTCCATGTGCGAGAAGCAAATTAACTCTCGGATAAGCCTCGATTTTCCTAGAGAAGAATTCGATTTACCCGCAAAAATGCAGCATCAATATCCCGCAGCCTCGTGGGTTCTTCTTGGAATGAGGTGTCGTTAAGATAAGGGTCGGACAGCTTCATGATCGATCTAGGCGCAGGCAGAAAAGGAATCGGCACGCAGAGCGACTCAGCGTGATAGAAAAGTTGCTCAGAGCGATCGGACGCGCCAGAACTGCGAGGTGATGGCACTGGCGGCCGATCGTCGGCGTCTTGTCGCTAGCTTTAGAGTGTCAATGATCATCACCCGTGCAATACTGGTATGTAGTTATCGTATTCATGTCGCTCAAGTTAAACACCCTTCAGTCACAGACTTCAAAGTTCGACCACTGCCCCTGACCCAGAGCCTGAAGCATTAGCGCCGCATTTGCCCTCTCGTCGTAATCTTCAGCGTCGATTGCGTTGCCTTCTTCAACTGGTTCAGGCCCACTCGCTACGCGCCATCCTCCGCTCCCGCCCCGCGGGATTCTTGATTCTGAGACCGTGGCTGTCTCCAGACCGCCAGCCCAGCCCTGATTCTGCTGTGACGAACCTCCTAAGAAATCGCTTGCCCATTCTTCGGGGTTGTCTTCTACTAAATGTGAGGCCAGTGATGATCCAACATAGAGGGAGTTGAGTGGATCGACCGAGTAGTCTTCCACGAAACGCGTCATCTCATGGCCTGCTTGCCAGCTGTTGTAATGTCTGATCGCCGACGAAAGTGGTACCTCGGACTCTCCATAATGTGGATTCACCTTGGAGAGTAGGAGCGACTCGGGAGGGGGCGCTCGAGATCTTATGAATAAAGATGGGGTAACCGCTCTTGTAGGCCTTGGCTGGCAGATGATAGTCGACAGATTCCCAGCGTCGTCATTTAGCGAGGCGTACCTGAGTGTCTCTTGGTCCTCCTCCCTAGAGTATGTAGAGGAAGCCAGCTGCTGGGAGAATCCCTGCTCAGGTTGAAGCAGATTTTCCAACGCGCTGCAGCAGTAGCCAGCGGAAGACCGCGTGTCTGGGGACAGGACCACCATGCATTCCACAAGAATCGATCCAAGCGCAGTCGGCTGCCTATCAACCTTCCTTTGCATTGCCTTGACGATCTTCTCACACCAAGCCACTCTGTTCTTCTTGTATTCGTCCTTGTAATGTGGTAGACCGTACACCAGTCGGCATCCCACTACACCAAGAGACCAGATGTCAACAGCCACAGTATAGCTGGCTTGAGATCGCATGTCTGAGTAGACCTCCGGGGCGAGATAGAGGTATGTGCCACAGAAAGTCATCAACTCAGAACTATGCCGCGATAGTCCGAAGTCGCCTAACTTAACAGAAATACTGTATTCAGATCGACTCTCAACAAGGATGTTGGCCGGCTTGATGTCTCGATGCGCAATCGGCGTCTCAAAATCATGCAAGTATGCCAAAGCCGATGAACATTGATGAACAATCATTAAGGTCTCATCATATGATATATCGTCATGATCTTCCAGAGATCCATAGGGCATGTACTCAATGTGTAGCTCATAGTGGGGTGTTGAGAATGACTCGATGAGTTTCACGATTCGTTCCTGTTCAGCTATCAGATGGATGTGACAGACAGATGATTGGCGTACGAACATGTGAGACCAGGCTCATGATGTAAGCCTCTCGCTTCCAGGTACCAGGATTAAACTGCCCGTTCTGAATTGCCTTGGGTTAGGCGATTTCACGACGCGCTCCTCCCCCGTGCTAACATTCCAGAGATGGGTCACGACGCCGAAAGCTCCCTCGCCAAGTGTCTTTCGTAGGCTAATGTCTCCAGTACCGGGTGTCTGGGCTCCTCTGGTCGGCGGATATGAGAGACCCAAATCCTCGAGGAGGTCCTCTGTAGCCGCGGTTCCCTGACGAAACCTTCTGACACCATCGATGTACTCTGGAGACTGTATGTCATGAGGCTGAGTGACGATCTGGAAAGATACGCCTTCGGCACCGTGATGATGATGCTTTCCATTTTCTGGGGAATATCGTGACCGCCAACGATCCATTGGAAATCCCTCCGGACGCCCTCCCCTTCCCCGTGTATGTGATCTGAGTGCCTCTTAAAGAGTTCAAGTCCTTGATGATAGGGCGGTTGAATTCGTCAAATGTCAGGCTAAAGTGGATATTCGAAACACCTGGGAAGGGTAGCTGGATGTCGCAGTTCTTGTTTGAACCAAAAATAAGACCTTTATCTGTCCGTGGAATGTCACTGAATCCGATCAAAAGGCGTGGAAGATAATCGAGCGCCGAAAGCCCAGGATCCTGGAGTGGTTCGGTCGATTCTCTCTCGTGACGGTCGCGACGTCTGCGCCGAGTGCGGGAAGGCTGCGCAAGCTGGGGAGGCACGTAATATGGGCTCGACTCGATCGCTTCCGATGCTTTCTTGCCATGGCCGTCATGGGGAAACAAGCAGGCGATAACGTTTGCGTTTTCCATTATGAAGTTTTCAAGGTGAAGGGGAGCGTGACGAAGGGCATTAGACCAACGTCGAGAAGTGGCATCAACTTATAAATACCAGTGCGGTTGATGAGATGTTAATCGATGGAACCATAACCACACTAATGACCAATGAAGCCACTGTCCACCAAGCGATAGCGGCTAGAGCGTTTGACATGATTGGCCTGCGCGGTCCCAAGCAGCCTTCACGCAGGATACGACCCAATCCACTGTGTTCATATAAGACCTCTATGTACCGATGTGTTGACTGCCTTTACCCCACTTCCGGGCGCTATCTTGCTGCCTGAGGTTCAAACTAGCCAAGTGCCGCGTCACAAATCATCCATCACCGAAATCTTTTCATCAACAACTTCAAGGTTATGAGAGTACAGCTAATTCACGATTGACAATACAATGGCATTGCCAGAGGCAGATATGACGAGAGTATCTGCGGACGAAGTCGCTGTTATGAAAGATGCAGAACTAGCCCAGTTCATGCAGCAACATCGTCTCCCCGATGGTAACTACGATCTCCCTGTCGACGGGTGGGATGAGCTGTCCAGAGAGGACCGCAGCCTTTTCGCTGAGAGGTTGGAGTGAGTTCTTGCCAACCCGCCCTTCGCGTGCCCTCTGCGGTTTTGGCTGACAACATCACAGGGCGCAGAAACGCAGTTTAGCCCAGAGTCCTACGGCATGCTCTCGCCCACTTGATCTTGATGACCTCGATTCACGCCTACATCGAGTATCACCCAATCAAAGCTTCTCACTACGACCACAATCTGAAGAATTCGCTCGGTCGAGGTCTCCTACCCCACCATATGACCCGATGAAAGACGAAATCGAGACTTACTACGAGCTTGTTGAAACCGGCGGCCGCCCTTTATACCCGACCGACCTTGTTCAAGATATATACAGAGAGCCACACAATTACTCTGAATTACTGCGGCCTTGGCAAGAGTCTCTGACACAATTGCGCGCCGAGGGCATATTCCAGAGACAGTTGCAGAGATGGCAAAATTTCCGGAGGTGGCAAAACGACCATCGAAACTGCGAAGATGAGGACGATAGTTTCCCGGCCTATGTCGAGCGACAGAAGCTTTGGATAGAAGCAAATTATATAAAGAAACAGGGCGCCAAACGCTTAGCTGAAATCGAAGCAAATCCGTCTTGCCTAAAGTCTGGATGGGATTTAGAAAGATCGCTACGTGAGCGGCAGCGACAGCTCTGCAGGGAACACGATTGTCGAGGATTCCGCGACTACGTTGATGCGGTGAAGCGGCGCCTTGCTTGTCACGGCTTTACCCAGCACTTTCACCTTGACGAAGACCCTACCAAACAGGACATGCTGACGACATGGATCGAGTACCTCAACTACGAGTATTGGTGGCTTGACAAGTACACCAGCGATATCAAACGCTTGGAGCCAGAACACGATAAGTTGTGGCAAGAGCTTGTTGAGAAGAAAGTCCTCAAACCTCACGAGACGAGAGAGTTCGTGCGGACAGACGCATCAGGGATGGAGCGCGAGAAAGAAAAGGACCAAGCCAGGAAGGCTTACGAAAGGGCAGAGTCTGAAGCGAAGCAAATATACGTGCTGACCCAGGAGGACCCGAAGCGTTTGCGTATCCCCAAAAAGAAGCGGATATCGATGATGAAATATGGCACGGAGAAGTTGCTTGCTGCAAGGCGACGATTGGAGCAGGCCCGAAGCGAATCGTTTCTCATCGTACAATTCGTTCGGGCCACATTCGGCTACGCGGGCGCTAAGAGAGATGCCGCTCGGCATCGCAATCTCGTGCAATGGGTTTTGGAACAAGTTCCTTTGATCGAGGCTGAGATAAACCCTTCCACAACGAATCACTCTGAGAGTGACGAAGGAAGGACGAAGAGAAAACTCGCAAGCGACGAAGAGCCCCCGGAAAGACGCGCCCGGAAGAGAGTGATGTTCAATCTTCGCGAGAGGAGGTCAGCCAACGCAAGACATTCAGCAACAGCCACAGAGACGCAGCCTGAACCCAGTACGGCGACGGATCAAGACACGGCCCAAAATACACAGCCCGACATTCTCACTGCTAGCAGTTTGCATAAGGAGGATAACGTCCAGGCAATGCCGCAGAGGCTCCGCCGCAGCGCGCGTATTGCGGCGCGTCGAGGCGCTTTCCGGGAAAGCTCTCAAACTTGTGAACGAAATGAGCTAGGTTGAGGCGGGATGGTTCCAGCAGTGCATTGTCGCTTGTCGCTTGTCGGTGGCTGTGGGGAGGAAAACACGTGGCCCTTTCTGAAGTGAAACTAGAGGGTTCTATGGGATTCTGCGGGTCCCAATGCGTACTGAGGGGAGCCTGGTCACCAAGGCCATTCGACGCGCCGTCGCGAGCTATACCTTTCCACGCTCCGTCGAAATAAGCTTAAACTGATTGTCAGACCTGGATGAACGGGACGGTCCAGTGAAGCACTATGGAGGTGCGACGTCGGCGCACAGGCCAAAAGCTCACCTCGAAGGACAGAACCGTCCGATTCCTGATGTTTCTAAATACACGACATCCGCTCCGTATTATCCAATCGCCTTCGACTCACCAATCAACAACCTGCCAGACATCACAGAGCCTGATCTCAGTCTTGGGAGCGGGATGACAAGGCAATCCATCTACCATCGACCACGCTTCTGCCCAATTGTGAGTGGCAGGCGCTCGTCATCTTTTTCCACTTTGCACCGCCAACATCGCTCGACGCGCCAACAACGACATGGCTATGCCCTGCACCAAAAAGCCGCCGTTACACCGCTGCAGGCATACATATTATGGGATGCCTCGATTGGTTCTCGCCATTTTTCCAAGAGGCATGGTCAGCATAGTCAGTATATTCTTCGCCAATCAATTAGTAGCACAGCACCCGAGCACCGTGGTCCTGTCTTGCTGACTAGTGCCAACCAGCCTGATTTTGGGTCCCATAAAAAGAAGAAGCCACCCGCAACGAGTGTTTACCCAACTTCCCTTAAGCTGTCCTAACGTCTCATCACATTACAAGCACTCTCCTCTTTTCAACATTGATCTGCTTCACTGGCTATGTCTGAACCCCAAGCCTACACGGTCAGTTGGATATGCGCCATTATGACAGAGTCTGTTGCGGCCCGGGCTTTCCTCAACGAGGAACATGCAGGCCCGCGACAAGTCGCCCAGCACGATAACAACAGCTACGTTCTGGGCAGGATCGGCAGCCACAATGTCGTCATTGCCGTCTTGCCCGATGGTGAATATGGCACGACTTCAGCGGCAACGGTAGCCAAAGACATGCTCCATAGCTTCCCGAACGTACGCATCGGGTTGATGGTCGGTATTGGAGGCGGCGCGCCTAGTCCAAAGCATGACATTCGACTCGGTGGTATTGTCGTCAGCAAACCAGGTGGCGGACATGGCGGGGTATTCCAGTACGACTTCGGCAAAACCATCCAGAATGGCTCGTTCCAGGAGAACGGGTTTTTAAACCAGCCACCAGTGCTGCTGCGAGCGGCTCTTGCCACACCCGTCTGATAGCCCAACAGGAGCGGATTGTGCGACTCATCGAGTCATTCTCTGCACCCCACCCCGAGATACACCTCGAGTATGTGCCTCTGGGGTCTCTAGATGAGCACAAGGACATAACATACGAAGAAACCCTAATGATCGTTCATCAATGCTCATCGGCTCTGGCATACCTGCATGGCTTGGAGACGCCCATCGCGCACCGAGACATCAAGCCGGCTAACATCCTTGTCGAGAGTCGATCTAACGACAGTATCTCGGTCAAGTTGGCCGACTTCGGGCTGTCACGGCATAGTTCTGAGTTGATGACTTTCTGTGGCACATACCTCTATCTCGCCCCGGAAGTCTACTCAGACATGCGATCACACGCTGGTTATACTGAGGCTGTTGATATCTGGTCTCTTGGTGTGGTGGCATGCCGACTATTGTACGGTCTGCCACGATACAAGGACGAGTACAAGCAGAACGGGCCGGCTTGGTGTGAGAAGGTCGTTACGGTGATGCAAAGGAATGTTGGTAGACAACCGACTGCGCTGGGATGGATTCTTGTGGAAAGTATGGTGGTTTTATCCTCGGAGTCGAGATGTTCAGCTAGCGATTGCTGCGACGCGTTAGGAAATCTGCTTGGATCTGAGCTGGAACCGTTTGACGGGCTGGCCTCATCTTCATACTCTGGGGAAGGAGACCAAGAGACGTTCATGTATGCTCTGCAGAGCGACGATGCCGAGGACCTGTCGACTATCATCCACCGGCCAAGGTCTACGGGAGAGGTCATCCCATCCTTATTCGTAAGATCTGGGGCGCCACAACCCGAGTCGCTTGCACTGTCCGAGGTGAACCCACAATATGGAGTCTCCAAAGGAATATCCTCGTCGGCGATGAGACAGTACTACAAGTGGCAAGCGGGCCATGAAATGACCCGTTTTGTGGAAGACTATTCGGCAGACCCGTTGCACCCCCTCTACGTTGGATCGTCGTTAGCCTCACAACTAGGTCGAGACAACTCGGAAGAATGGGAAAGCCAGTTCCTAGCGGACTCGTCACAGGAGAATCAGGACAGGCCTGAGGGTCTGGAGAGTTGCACAATACTGGAATCGAAGACCCCACGAAGCGAGAACGCAAAATGGCAAGCAGCCAGCGGACCTGGTCCAGTTGATGAAGGCAATGCAATCGACGCTGGTGAATACGACGAAAGGGAGCATGCTGCGTTGTTGCTTCAGGCTTTGGGCAAGGGGCAGTGGTAGAACAGTGGCTTGTTCAACTCAACCAGCACGAGTAACGGAATGGAAATGGTTGGGTTTACCGTCATTGACGCAGCGGACCAAAAGGCACAATACTCGGTCAGGAGACTGAACCCTTAGCTACTACATGGCCGATCTATGAAACACAGCTCGAGATTTGACTGCATCTTTGGTCTAGCTAAGCCTGAGACAGACAATTGCCCTCGTCCAAGTTCGCCGTCGAAAATGAAATTCGCTGCGCCTAGGTTCGTTATCGTCCATGTAAGACACGTTCGAACACGAGTGCATAGAAGATCGATTTGAATTGACAGGGTGACCGGGAGTCGACTTCTTAGAGAGACGGCTATCCGGCGAGTCCTGTCGAGTCTCTGTACGTCGAAACTGCTTTGGAACGAGTTCTCGGGCCATGCTACGAGATAGAACCAGGCCTGGAGTTTGCAGGCCAACACAGGCTCACGGAGAGGAGAGACAAGCCTGGAACCACACGTCCTAAGAGAGGGGTTAGAACACGAAGACTGCGAGATGGCTGAGGCGGCGAGGTTACTTCAGGGCATGGGGCGCAAGTTAGGCATGCGGGCTTAACAAGAGAGACTGTGATGTGTTTTGTCCAGACTTCAATGTCACTTATCATGGTCTTGTGATTTTCCCCATCATACAGCAGCCATGTTGCGATGCGTGCCTGGCACCCATGCCGCAAGTACGGTAAAGCACAATCGCCATTCCCCGGGAGAAATGCTAACGAGGGCTTCGATAGTGAATGCTCTTCGAGCAGCGGGCGCTTCGCTCTTGGCCTCGCTATCTTACCGTAAGTCAATCGAGCTCGGCTAACAGCGTCTCTATGCTTGTCGAGACATACCGGTTGCTGGAATTAGCAGACCTCTCCGTAAATCGGGCCATAATCAAGAATCACGCCACCAGATACCAATGTCATCGCGCCGCACTACGTCGCAAACCAACAGGAAGGTGACTCACTTCATTGAGGATTTGGGGTCGCTAGGATGTGGATGTAGCCGGGGAAGGGCTCCGGCGCGGAACTCTCAACTTCCTTCCTGAGCCTGGGAAGCAGTGACAGTTGTGGCGACAGCCCTGGACTTTCAGAACCCAGGCTGGTGGTGCTGTGCTCGTTGACCCCCGGCACCCCATTGGCGGGGTGTTAGGACAAGCGCTTCTCGAACCATAGACGGACAGGGATCAGTGGGGCAGGAGCTGTGACCAAGAGTAGAAACGAGGCAGGGATGAGAAATGGCGAGAAGCTCTCGCTCAATCACCATGGAGAGCGTATCGCTGTGCGTGAACTCCGGACCAACAAGTCCTGGACTCAGCGGGGTTAAGCACACACCACATATCGCCGCCAATCAAATTGTTCGCTAAATGACACCGTTAGCAACAACTTCCAGACTGATAACACAGGGTTACATTGAAATACTACCGTATTCAGAATCAGGCCATTTTCTCCTCACCTCGGACAGCTGCTCTTGAGTGCAACTCGGTAGTTGGGTGCGGTGAACCGTCCACGACCACCCACACCTTTGAACACCTCTTACTATGTACTCCCGAACATACGGCCTCGGCCGTGTTGTTGTGGAGGCGCAACTGTCCTTTGGATGTCAGTTTGTGGAAACGAAGACATACGACACAACACCAACAGACGAGCATGCTAGGCGTCCGCTATGTTGCTTGGGCTTCCGTAGTAAACCACGATCGCTCAGAGCTGCCTGAAGAAGCACGGCTCCGCGCCAACTCGGACTCGGCTCTATCGAAAGAACGATTGAACGACACGGCAGGCGGCATTATCTTCACATACTAGACTACGGCGATTTAGATGTTGGTATATCATCCCGAGATCAGCAGCGACAGGTGCATTCCTGAACAATCGTCGGAGTCGTCGACAGCAAACGAAGCATACTCCTTGGGCTCTCTATATTGAGCTGGACTACACTGATATGTTACCATGCTTCTGCATAAGCCAGCAAAACTCTCATTGCGTAGGTGAGTAAACGTCATGATAGGGCAACTGTAGAAGCTGACTGCACCTCAGAGATTTCGCCACATTCAGTCCTTGTGCAACCGGAAGATCGGTGCACAGGTTGATATCATCCGAATCCAATCGAACAGTCCTGCCAGCACGCGGAAGTTCACAATCTCATCGAAACCGGCGACTGGCCCATCGATAGTGGACGAAAGCGAGACAAATCAACCCTTCGCTTCATTCTGCGCCTACGGATCTAAACGAGCCCACCGCTATCGAGAAGCATAAACTTGCGACGAAGACGGGAATTTTGAAGTATTGTGTGGACTTGAACGGTGTCGCAGTCTACCACTACGGCTGGCCGGTGGCCCGAGCAAGCCAGTAACTACTCAGCACATACGGAATACATATATACATACAGAGACCGAGCTTCTGAGGGACCACTGCTGCTTCGAACGTGATTGCGATGCAGAAAAACTCCGCGGAAACAGGCACATCGTATATCTCGTAGCATGAACCAGTCTCCTGCATAACTACATGGGCCGGAGAAGTGCTCCGGGATCAAACTCTCCATCATGTTCCAGGTCAATGACCCCAGAGTCTGTTGCTGATTAGAAATCAAATCCAACGGCGCAATAACGACCAACGTGAGCGATAAACCCCCACGTACCTTTCTTTGCAGGCCGACTTTGATAGGGCCCACGAAGACACTATCCATGTGCACAGCGTCTGATACCTGAGAAGTACAGAGGCGGTGCTTCTCACGTAGTGACTCCACACACAGGGTGCTCAAGTTGGTCCTCGACACCTTTGCCTGCTATCCGTGCATGGAGTCAGGGTCAGGGGTTCCAAACGTATAAAGTACACGGAGTAACGGCCGCTTAATCACCGGCGGCCGGAGATCAGTTTCGCCGATAGTGATGCTGGCACGCCCAATCACCACGAGTAACTCTAACTCAACAAACGGTCTTTTCCTCGCGCTGGGCAACGGTCTGCTGCACATTTTGTGCAACCCATGGTGCCCATCACGCGTATCGACCCACAAACATATCATGGTTTGCCCTGCAACGGACGGCAATTTGGTGGGTGATTAGCACAAGAGGAGAGACATAGCCCTCCTGCTGCATTGTATCAATATGGACGTGCTCCTCTCAAAAAAACTATGATCAGCGATAATAATGGACAATCAGGTCTTGCCAGCTTTATTTTACATCAATGCTTTCAATTTTGATTGTCATTCAAAGTGACTGATTTTGTTGAAGAGAACTGCCTCAAATCAATGTCTACATTCCAAAATGCTTTGCCCTGGTCAAATACGGGAATTTCTTACAGCTGCTCGCCCACAGCGGGCCGACGCGCTACCACTCGCCGTTTAACACTGGGCTTCGCATCATTTTCCGACTGCCTTTTGGATCCAAAGATTGTACCGGCAAGGTGTCTTGTCTGTAAATTCCGAACGCTGTTTTGGAGCAGCCTGAGTTCTTCTCCGGTGGCTTCGATCGTTGCAGGGCGGTTTCCGTCAAGTCGCCATCTAGCGATATCCGAGTTCATCTTTTGGACCCTTCTCGATTTTCGTGACAAGTCCTGGCAGATCTTGCAAGGGCCTTTATGATAGGTAGTCGCATATATGAGCCTAAGCCCGCAGGTTTCGCCGATTCGCTTCTCCTTCAGACACTGATTCCGCATGTTCCCCCACTTGAAGAGGCCGCAGGCCCAAAGAGACTGCTCAAAAAAGCACATGAGATAAAGGAGATTGAAAAAAGCTGGACGCGAGCTTTGCTTTTACGTACTTTGCCGCTGGTCCGAGCTATGATGATGGCCAAGGGAGGGAACAGCGTCTTTAAACACATGCAAGACCTACCGAAGCACATCGACATGTCCTACTCCCCACTTTGACTTCGCCTCGCAACTTGACTATTGCCGTACCGATCTGAAGTTGTTGGAGGATGACCTAGAGTGGTATTTTCGAGTTCCCTGTCGTCAAACTGTGCCCTTTCACTTCTCCCAGTCGCATAAGAGATTTACATCGAGCACCACCCAGATCAGGTATTCATTCAAAGCTGCGCCGCCGTCGGTCTCCGCTCTGTCACTTTTACATGAGCTGGGACCACTTTCGAGCGATTGGTTTTTTCCCCCCAGTGGCCTTCGCCTATGCGCTGGTTGGGGTACTTAGAACAACTGCTCTTTGCCCATCCTCAGCGGCAAGCTCAGGTCTGAAATGCAGCGTACCGAGATAGGAAGCTACGAAGTGGACGAGCCAATGCCCTGATGGCAATATCCTGCAGCCCTATAAAGGCAAGGCATTCTGAGCCTTGACATGAGCGCCCTCCACCCGGTTATTAGGATGGCACAACGTCTGGCATGAAGAACCCCGCCTTGCCATGTCGTATTTTCCCCACTCACGTTGCTTGAAACAGGGTGTTCTCTACCCTCGTTGACCAAAGACTGACAAATCCAAGTCTTGAAAAGCCGCGCCTCGGGTGAAAGGGCAAGACAAAGCCCGAAGGCCGTCAGATTAAGTCTCCACCCACCTTGAGATCCCAAGTGAACAGGGTCGCTGTTAAGACGACAACTGTCCCGACAATCTGGTTATTGGCTACTATTATCACAGCTCCAACACCAGCGCCACGAAGGCATGTCGGGTTCGCAAACATGAACGGTACCCCGGTTCCAACACGAAAGCTCCAGAGCTTTTCGCAAAGAAACAACATCCCAGCTCCAACACTAGCGTCGCGAATATCCCATTCACCAACACTGGAAGCACTCTCACCAGAAATGACGACTACTAATTTTGGTTGGTGTTGCGCGCAAATCAGATCACTCACCCCAAACCGTTGCAACGCAAGCTTTCATGAGCCAATTGGAAGGCAAGCCCAGCTCCCCGAGCGTTTAGTCCGTTGAGCCTCCAGAGGAGCCAAACCTGAGGCCTTGGCGCCGACGCAAAGCACTGCTTCACGAACCGATTGCAAGCCAACCTCGGTCCTTCAACACACATGCAGCTTGACGAACGGCAAGGACGTCGGAACCTAACGTGCGCCGGCAAATGTGTCTGCTCGAAAACAGCGGTAGCTTTCTCCAAGAGCTCGCGACGTACGCAGCATTCGCAGAGCGCTCCTCATTTTCTTCCAGCCTGATCTCACATCTCACCACCCCCCCCTCCTTTTCTCTTCTTGTAACCAGCAAACCGCAAGGAAGTCAGTGTGTCATCACCGCGCGATCGCCATGCAGTCTACCTCCGAACTTGAAGACTGCCTGGAGCGTTTCATTCATGCGCTCAATGGTATTCGCCAGAGAGCAACAGAACGAGAAACCGCTACCAAGAGTATTCTTGACACCGAGAAATCTGCTTTACAAACGAAGATTACGGCAAATCGAGTCCGTTTGAAGCAGCTGGAAAAACTCATGCATACATGGCAACAAGAGTAGGAAGTCGCATCAAAACGACTGGCAGACATCGAGATGACACACGATGCCGTAGTTCAGGCAGGGCGCAGAGTGTCGGCTTTACCTGATAATCAGAAAATGGTAGGCAGTACTATCACGCCGTTGTAGAAATCAGCGCTAACTTGGAAGCTTGATTTTGTGCATGCCTGGATGTCAAGCTCGTTGAAGCGCGGACCACCAGTGCCGCCTACCACGGCACGTTCTCATTCAGCCCTGCACGAAGAAAGGACGGATCTAGTAGACGACGCGATGTATGTCGTCGAAGAGCGCAGGCCTTACGATTCTGTGCAGAGCAGATCCTTTACCGCTTCGTCAAGAAAGAGATCAGCTGAGCATGTGCCCAAGAAGTCGGCAAAACGACCTTACGGCGCAAGCCTCGCTCTGAAGCCCCCAAAAAATAAAGTCGATGCCGATACGGCTGACAACGACGGAATCGCGGGATGCGAACGTACAGTCAGCGAGTTTAATGGAGAAGGCGCCACCTCCAGCTGCGGCGAGCAAGAGACCCATGCTCCACTGGAAGAAGTCACGGCGGCAGGGTCCTACCTAAGTGGCCGCGATCATTACGAGGCGTCGGCTACTGTGGGGGTTCTCGCTGGGGCTTCTGACGGTGAGACGCCTGGCTGCGACGAAGGCGGTGCCGAAGCAGAGAACGAAAGCTTCAAGAAGGCCCTCAAGAATGGAAATTCGACAGCTGCCAGCCGCCACGACGCTATCCAACAGCACACTGGTGTGTAGTCCCAAAGCGACTTGTCGGATAGTCAATAACGTGGTCCCACCATCAGAAGACGGCGACATGACCGAAGAGACCGCTATGGCTTGTTCGACGGGCTCTAGCTCGCTCTTAGACACGAGTAAGGAGGCTGTCACTGCGCGGAAGTCTACCTCGATCCTCGATAGCACTGCCAATCTTCAGGTGGTTAACGTCGCCTATGTTTTGCACACAGGCTCACGACAAAATGCGAGCTCACCCGAGTTCGAGGATAAGTTCATGCTAGCACCCTCCGCTGGCTTCTCATCGCTGGCGGCGTTCGGCCAACGTGGTTGTGAAGACCCTGCTCTAGGTCTCGGGCAGAAATTGGCTGATCGTAGTGCCATCATCCATCGTCATAATAGCGTGTCTGAAGTAAGTCTTGTTGGCCATGACGACAATACTGGCGATGCGCAGCAGCCTCTCGACCGTGGTCTCACACGAACCCAATCAGCGCCTCTACCGCCTACAACGGACGCGAGCCACCATCCCGACGCTCTCCGATGCCCGCCACCGTCTTCGACAATGATGTCGCCTCTAGGTGTCAGAAGCGGCACCGGCGACTGCAGCAATCGAAACAACACAAATATCACTGCCCCTGAGCAGCCGCCGGGCCATCGTCCTGTCTTGAAGCCCAGGCAAAGCCTTGTCATGACAATACAAAATGCTTTGGGCGGCACTGGCTCAGCTGCAGACGCCGCACGCCAAAACGCATCGGGCCCTTCCCAGTCGCCAGCACCGCTCATCGCTCAGCATACGCCCAGCCTCATCCTGCCCGCTACCATGCCGTATCCTGCGGCGTGTTCCTCACCTTCGGGGCCATTGCTGTATTCGTCGGCCCCCACCTCAACTCTAATCGAAAGTGATGCTCCTAAATCTATGATTGCATCGCAGCTGAGTCCATCCGGGGCGGTTACTACCGTTGGTCCTCAATCACAGTCCTTTGTTTGCCCGGAGGCTCCCGGATGTGAGAATTGCAAGGTTAGTAAAATGCTCTGCGATAAAAGTCGCCCAACCTGTAAGTCCAAGGTTTTTTCTTGTTCATTTCTTGGGAGGGGGGTTGTCTTCGACAATTTACTCCTCTACGGCATTTTCTGGCTATGGCGATCTGGCTGACCCTCCCGGATAGGCTTCAATTGCTCACGCATGGGCGTCAACTGTTTTGGCCATTCCGACTCGTCAAGTCCTTCTGAACCTCCTCCATTCGAGCAATCGGCGACATCCGATAACAGCCGTCCGGACCAGAAAGAGTTCCTTCGCTACCTGGTTGATCTTTATGGTCATGCCAAGGGCTCCGGCATGTGGGACCTCATCACAAGTCATGTCAACCAGCACTACCGTTGCAAGATGAGCGCGGCGGCCTTGCAAATGATAAGATCGAGGGACTACAATCACAAACAGTGAGATAGCCGCTGGCGTTTCCAAGATGAGGAGGCTGACCAGAATAAGAGAATCATCACCCGGGCGGACGAGCGCGAATGTGCCGCTTTCCCGCCGTCCCGCACAAAAGAAGAGAGGCCGACGTCCGAAAGAAGTCCAAGCGATGCCGTCCAGTACAATGTAGCCGAACACTGAGTTATGTTTGGTCAAAGCTTGAGTTTTCTCTCTGGTGTCAGTGGTAAAGCTTATCTGCCCGACGGTCAGCGATTGCGACAAGGATCATACAACAATGCGGCCTGGATTTGGAGGGCTGCGAATTATCAATGAGTGTTCTCATAGTGAGATTGCGAGCCATTCTGGGCCGGGTAGCCGCTAGATTCAATGTCGCCTACAATGCCTTTGTCTAGTAGGAATGGCAATGTGTTCAAACAGTGGTCTATTCGAGCATGACTACATACATACATTCTGAGGATCTCCGCCTACTCGGGAACGCTGAGCAGCATGTAATCGGCGCTCATTGATCTCCCGGGAACAAGAGGCTCCATATTCCTCCCTTCTGAAATCCGAAGCCAGCCTATATATAAACTGAGGTGGACAAACGCTTTGATGAAGTCAGTGGTTACCAATAATGTCAGGTCATGAGCCTACATCAAAATTAATCAGACTTGTCAACTGTCGTCTTGTCGTGGGGGTTGGTGAGAGAGCCATAGCTCCCGAAGGTCCGCTCGTAGTGGCTCGATAGATTAGGTCTACATGGAAGAGGTGGCAGGAGAACAGGTGGGAATGACGCGTTACGCCAGCACTGAACGAAATAGGGTCGTCAAGGTTCGCAAGACCCTCGATACCGGCACGCAGTACCGTGCGTGTTCCTATGAAAGCCAAGTATACTACGTCCAAGTTATAGGGCAGGTATTCCTGGAGAAGCCGCTTGCTTTGGCGGGGCCGGGGCCTACCAAGCAGCGGTGGCTGCGTCGATTCAAGGAGCTGGCGGCCGCCTTCGGACGGCTTCAATACCTCCTGTGGAGCTTCTGTACAATCCGAAGCATGTTCCAACGGATGGTGCATCGGAAGGTGATGCTACAGCCGAAGGAGACAATTCGCAGTGTACTCTCAGCAGCGGGCTCTCACCAGGGAAAACAGTAGGAAACACAACACCACCTGCATGTACCCAATAGTGTGGAATATTGACGTGGTCTGGGATGTGGGGATGCTTGATTTGGCGAGCATTCGTGCAAGTGACAAATGAGTTATCCTGCAGTCTCCTTCGAATAAAGCCGCCACCGACAAGCCCTGATTATTTTCTTGTCATTTCCTCTCAGAGATAAGGAAAATTACGTCAAGCACCAGTGGGAGTGGCACTTGGACCAGACTTTCACTCAACTTCGACAATTCGCTACGCCGGCATCGGTCTTCACCAAGCTACTTCTCCATGCGGTGTGACCGATGTTTGGTGCCGTTACCACACAATGCACGCTTCTCATGGAACTGTTGCATAGGGGAAGATGACAACTCGGGCTGTGTACCCGGTACTTGGCGCTGACTGGGTGCTTGGATTGACTGCTCATCCCTTATGCGCAGCGGCCGGAGCAGGTCTAAAATACAGCGTACCGAGATGGAAAGCCACGAAGTGGGCGAGTCAATGAACTGGCGGCACAACGCCGCAGCCCTGTGACGACGGCAAAATGTATTGACCTCAATCGGGTATGTGCCCTCCACCCGATTATCAGAATGCCACCATGTCTCGCCTGAATCGCACCGCCTCTTCGCGTCGTATCTAGACCACGCCCCGTTGCTGCGGACAGGGGCCAAATGTGATTTCTATCTCCATTGGCAGACGACTGCCAGATCCAGGTCTTGAAAGACGGGGCCTCAGTTGGAGACGAGCAAGGAGCGGAGATTCGGGAGAGAAGAAGCCCGAAGGCCTACAGTGAGTCTCCACTCACACGCACCTCCCTGAGTGGATGCGATTGCCCTTAAAATTAGAGTCGTCCCGACAGTCTGGTCATTGGCCACAGCAAGCTTCGACCCAACAGTAGCTTTGCGAGAAGCGAATCAGGTTCGCAAAACCGAACGTTACCCCGGTTCCAACACAAAAGTTCAAGAGATTTTGCAAAGAAACATCAATCCGCCCCAGCACCAGCGTCGCGAAATGTAGATCTGGTTCGGATCCACGAACGCTACCCCGGTTCCAACAGAGTTTGAGAGACTTTCGCAAAGAAACATCATCCCGGCTCCAACTAGCGTCATGAAGTTCCCATGAGCACTCGCGCAACCTCACCTCGCGAGGAGTAAGAACAGCCAACTTTTGGTAGGTGTTGTGCGCAAGTCAGACCATCCGCACTAAATTAATCGCAAAACCGGCGCCGTTGCAACGTCGAGGCTTCATGGGCCAATTGGAAGTTAAACCCAGCTCCCCGGGCGTTTAATCGTCGAGCCTTCAGAGGAGCACAGTTTCAACCGATCTTACGGGCTCCATCATGGTGACAAACTGCCCAGCGCGAGAAGTGGACTGCCTTTCACGCGTTCAATCCATTTGCTATTTCCGCAGAATCTCTGTTCGGCTTGTTTCGTCCAATCCATCCGCGAAGTACAGCAGCACTCACCTAACATCACGACGACGATGTCCCTCCCTGAAGTACAGGACGCAGTAGAGCGGTTCGGTTGCGAGCTGAATGGTATCCGTCGCAAAGCGGAAGAAAGGCAAGCTGCCGCTCGGAGCGACCTAGATGCAGAGACGCCGGTACTCCAAACACAAGTCAGAGCGATTAACGAACGAATCAGAGAGCTACAGGAGAAGATAAGGACGTGTCGACGAGAAAGAAATGCTGTTTTTGAACGACAAACAGAGATCGAGGAGGCCTTCGATGCGTCTGTTCAGCACATGCGCAAGGTTTCAGCCTTACCAAATACTTAGACTCTAGTAAGAAACATCTACGCGACTTTGTAGGCTCACGCTGACTTCGCAGCTTGACTTCATGAACGGCGGAAATCCGGTTTCCTCGAATCGCGTGTCGCCCATGTCACCTTCTTCGGCAGGATTCTTCTTAGACCCCCGCGTGGAAGCAGGTCACGCTGATGAGCTGGCTCTGGTTGCCCAAGAACAGAGTCCGTATCATCTAGCGTCACCTGCGTCCATCTCCGTTTCGCCAGCGAAGAGACGAGCCGAAGACGCGCCCGAGGCGTTAGGCAAACGCCTTCGCAGTGTACCCTCAGCTGTTAAATCGGTTGAGAAGACGATCCGCTTCGATGAGCTTTACGACGATGGAAATGCGAGATACAAGCACAGGATCGTCCAGTACAACGAAGAATGGTTTATCCTCAGGTGCGACGAACACAATATGCACTTTCCGTACAGAGCGGCCTCTGCGGCAGGTTCCCATCTGAAAGCCTACGCTCACAATGGGCCCTCAGCTGCTCTTCCGGCCGTCATCGAGGCTTTCGGTATTCGAGTCAGTGACATGGTTGAGGAAATCGTAGTCGCTTGTCCGAATGACTCCAGGTCTCTCGTATGCGTTCGTCAATCTTCCGTCACGGCATCAGACATCACCTTGCTGAACGATGCCGCAAACCCTCATAGCGAGGCACGCGGTGTTGCCGGTGCTCTCGGAATCGGCACTTGTGGACAGCAAGGACTGTGTGAAGAAGAAAGACGTGAAGGGTTCACGGCAGTGGCGAGCGGTGCTAATCCGTCGGCGATGGAGCGTAAACAGCGCAATAGTTCTGCCGAACAATGCGGATGGAAAGAGGCGAGGAATGCAATCAACAGAAATCACGAAAGCCAGCCAAGCAGAACGTTGGAGCAGACGTGCTCCACGATAGCAGTCTGTAGTCAGACAGATGGATCGTTGGGGGATGATCAACAAAGCGATATGACCAGCTCGGGGCAGTGGTGGCAGGTAGTTGCTTGAGACTGCCTGCGATGTCTCATCACGCAGGCATGAGGCGAGGGTAACAGCATGATACGTATATTTTTGACTATCAGCGACGTTCAAGGATCCGTTCAAATTGCTGCATCATTGCTCCTTGGTGCCACGATGTGTGATGAGGTATGCTTCTGGCACAAATTTGTTCTTCCAATGTGCACGGTGGCATCTTGTTACCGGATGATTCGGCCTCCCCCTGGACCCTGATGAGAGTCGCCCGCGACGTATGGAGGGTGGGGCGGCACTGGTTAGATAATTTGCAACACAATCAAGCCCTCAGAAAAACGATGCGGATGTGACAGAGAACCTATTTGCCTTGGCGGGCTGGGGCAAGTACAGCGTTCATGCTTGTCAATACCATACACGCAAGACCGAGAGTTCTCCGGTGTCCGATGTGGGGCATTTTGCCGGTCTTGACGATCCGCCCAACTTCTCTCAGCCGTATCGGGGATTTGGCCCCAATTGTTCCAATGCCGAAATTGAAACCCTTGGCCACTGTCACCGGGGAAGCGAGCCGGGAGTAGGCACTCAGTCGTGCTTCGGATCAATTCCCCCGGGCTGCGCTAGAGATGGTAAGAATCCAGACTGGCGGCCTCGCGTTCGGCCAGTGTGATCACCAGTCTTGGATTGCCATCGGGTAAGGATCATCTGCCCAATGTAACATGCTCCTAGGATTGGAAGCTCCAACAACAGCTCGCTGCGTGTATCTATGTGCAGACCAACACTCATCAAGCGCAAGAAGACAATGCCAATCTGATGAGCGACAGGTACTTTGGATAGACGAGACCGGTACTTTGCACGCGGTAAATACACACAGACCAGGCGCGCATATGTTGGTCCGTATTGCCTTTGCCCGCTGCGCAGATGGACCAGGGATTTTAAGTGCATGCATCATAGCACAAGTGTAGTGCGGTGGGCTACGGTCACTTGACGAACGATGCGAGTGGATGTTGATCACGCCGGCAATGCCGGCAATGGTACCCGTGTAACCCAATCACTATTGGTAGCTTGCCGCTGTCTGAACTTCAACACGACCAACGCCGTGTTCTTTCCATTTATCATTGGTCTGCGATAAGCCCTGCGCTAAACACAACGCCTACTAGTCCAGCCGAGTTACAAGATGTACCTTTGCTGAGATCGCTTATTTCTCCAAGCGAGCTATCTTGATAAGGATAAGCGCGTCTCGCCAAGATGAAAGCTCTTGTAACCTTCGCACAATCGGACCGTCCGCAAACTCACGCCATCTGTGAAGTTGCCCATCATCTCGCTCCCACCATCTTCCACCACTCTGTTGGATTCATCACTTTGCCCGTCCTTTCTGTCCAACGTACGGCTCGCTTTCCTCTCTTCCCAACTTTTGTCTCGAGCAACCCGAATTTGTGCTTGACGTAGCCCAAGAACGCAAAATGTCGAATCCTCCACACCCCCCGAACGAGAACACCATCTGTTCCAGCGGCACCGGCTCAGCCGCGGTGTTGTGATTGAGAAACTTCTCGGGCTCTTGTAGCATCATACTCTGGCGTAATCTTGCGGCACAGCACAGATGGCCATGGATGCCAGATGTTTAGGATGGTGTCGTTGCCACCATGGTAGTGGCCGTTATTGGCAAGTCTATGAATCCTTATGCCAGTCGGGAAGAGGATGGTAATACGTCTGCAGACACAGTTTCATTTAATAGGACAAAAGCTGCCCATGCATCTCTGTCATACTGTTTCAATCTTCATTCGAGAAAGAAAGCAGCCATGGATTACCGAAATGTCACTATCCCGCAAAAAGATATGGGCGAGGTTTTGGCCAGCTTTGACAAGAGCATCCAAGACCATGTCCAGCAACTCACTATCCTGTATCCGCTGAGCGTACACACCCTTGAGCTTCCCGCCTCAGATGATGGTGCTTTGGGCTTCACTTTCCTAGGTGTCGTTGAGAGCGCTGCCGAGCATCTGCGTGACAAGATCGCCGCATGGACATCCTGGCTCCGTGAGTAAATCCTTCTTAGTATGCCTGATAGGGATTCACATCCTCATTGTATTCCAGATAGTTCTGCTGCCGCCAGCGAATCGAAACAGAAAGACATGCAACCATACACTCTGCTCGACCTACAATCTCGAACAAAACCTGACGAGGAGGAGGCACCCATCCTATCTTCGAACGCCATGCACAATCTTCTGCCAAGCGAAGACAGTGAAGCGACTTTGGTCTTTCCCCTTGAACCTCACAACCAAAGGCATCCCAATCTATCCAACTGGTGTTTCCCAACTATGCACAACCAGAGTCCGCCTAGCCCGGGTCAGCTAGATATCTCACCATCATATGGCTCATTCGATCTCAACACGATGTCACACGCTGCTCCTGTCCACGGTCTTCAGTCTAGCAGCGAAACAATAGCAGACGTTGCGGCTAGTTCGAGCGATGATCGAGGCGTCCACCTTGGCACTGAAGCCACCTTCGAGCCTTGTATCGAATACAGCCCTGGTGATGTTGGGTTATTTGTCGAGTCTAGCAACCAGGCAAGTCCCATATCAAATCTCCAATCATTGGCCGACTCCGCAATCGAAGGGAGAGCAAACAGCCATCCTGGGCACGGTCTCTTAGCGGCCATCGATCCCAGCCGTGGCCACGACAGTGAACTCAGAGCCAAAAGCGACACCGAGTCTCACGCCTTTGATATCAAGATTCAGCCTGGCATCAGTGTCGAATTTGATACCGACGCTGAGTCTTCTAACGATATGTTGGCTGCCCCTGGGACAGAGACTAGTCACAAAGAGGATACCGAGACGCGCCATGATGGGAAACATCGCCGTCATTTAGATTCAGTTGACAAATTGATCGACATAGCGGTTGAGCACATCGACGCTAGGAACCTGTTTTGTCAGAACCCAGCACAGTTCAGACAGAAGCTCGGTCAATTCCGCCCGAGAACGTTCGTTGACGACACCGCCCTACTGCAGCTTCTTCGTATGATCTCTGAGGATACCAAACTCCGAGTCGTCGACCCTCTGCACCTGAGACTCGGCGAGCCTTTTCCTTCTTCTTTGCTCCAAGAAATCTCTGTGGACCTCGATGGACTCGTGGTGCCCATCAACGTCAATGCATCAGACCAAATGTCAGATGCGAACATGGATCACTGGGTTCTCGCAGTCGCTAATTGGAGCACACGGACATTCGATGCTTTTGGGATGCAAAGGGACTCATTCCACTATTGGTGCTCAAGGATAGAGTCACTTGCGTCGGAAATTTCTGGGGAGCCTGTCAAGTTTCGCAAGAAGTCCCATGAGGTATGACAGAACACCCTCCCCTTACTATATCGTCGCTAAGCTGTGTTTAGCTTGGGCCTTACGTCGATGACTCCTGTTGTGCTTTCCTCTGTTCTTATGCATTGGACCGCTATGTCAGTGCAAATCTTCGACACAATGGACCATGGCCCACGGGGCCTGAATTGAGAGAGATCTACCTCCGCAGGCTTCTAAATCACTGGGGACTGCCTTCCGGCTTCCTTCCATATCGTGCGCAGCAGATGGACTTTGACCTCGTTGATAGCCCACAATCAACGGTTGCGTCATCATTCTCGAGGAGCTCTGACGAGGTACGCTGCACTGAAGGGCATCATCACTGTCTGTCCAGTGACCTGCGGAGGTACTCCAGGAATAGCGGTCGTGATTTGGGCCAGCTGACTGAGGCGTTAAACGCTACCGGGTCGGCTCTCAAAATCGAACAGAGGGCCCGTCTGATCCAAATGATCATGGAGTGCGGTCCCCTCCCCGAAAACGATCAGGGTGTTTCTCAGCTGAACAGTGGCTCATGCTCATTGAAAGAACTATTTCAAGAGGTTCGCGAGATGGAAGCCTTGTTGCAGTCGCATGGCTTCCAGCAGAGGAGGCTCCTTGTCGAAACGGCAAAAGAATTCCAGGCTCAGTTGAAGGTCCAAGAGCAGAGACGAAACCGCGCCAGGAAACGAGCGAAGAAGGACGCGGAGAAACGAGCGAAGGAGGCGAAAGCACAAGCGAGAAGGACGGAGACGCAACAGCAGCCAGAGCCCGACACGAAGCTAGCAAGAGCATCGAAGCGCCACGGTCAGAATGGTCAGTGCAAGCCAAGTAGTGGTGAGCGGTTGGAGAGTGTGGTGATACGCAACGCGACTGGGTTGAGAGTGCGAAAACCACGCCGGACTGTCTATTGGAAATTTGTGGAAGAAGGTCGTGTTCTGCAGCAGATTGAGGAGGATCTTGGTTGCAACGCTCTGCGATTCTTGCCAGGCTCAACCATTCGCCCCTACGATATGGCCTTAGAATTCTCCAATGGGCGCAAGTGCTTTCCTGTCTTGAGAAAGTCTCTCGAGCCTATACTGTAAGTTGATATTCTACAATTGCAAGGAAGTCTGCTCACTACGATATAGATACAATACCCTCAAACAAAACGAGATTGAATTCTTCACAGAATGGTTCAAGGTCCTCCGTCCAGAGTTACGACCGTACGAGTAGGGGTCTCTTCGTGCACTCACCTCGCGATGAGGGAGTCCAGGGACCCGTGTGATTGACTGGCAATGTTCTGCTTCAAGGTTTCTAACCTCCTAGGTACGGTTTCAGTACGTAGTGCCCTGCAAAATAGTTACGCTCATTCCCTGATCCTTCTGCGTTTTCTTCCTTGTTGATGCTGATAAAAGACTGGTATGGCCGGAGGAGTGAAGGGCGAAGACACAGTATCCAGGCTCTGTCTCTCTCTCCAAAGTCAAAAGATTTTCGGCCCCCTTCATGTCTCCCCCTTTCTGTACTAACAAAAGAAGGGGGGGGGGGGTGAATTAGGGACACTGGTCTATCCGTAAATGCCCCCCTCCCTCCTTCCCTCCCCTTTCACTTCCCTACATTCTTCCACTCTTACATTAACTCTCCCATCCCGTTCTAATTCCCTGTCTTCCTACGCATACTCTCTGTTCTTCTCTTCGACTCTTCTCAACGTTCTCCCCTCTGCAACTGCCATCTCCCCCCCCCTTTTCTGCCTCCTCCTTCCTCGCCGCTCCTTCTCTCCTTTGCCTTTCTTCTCTTGGCTTGTCTCTCTGTGGCCGGCAGGGGGGTGAATTTGGGACAGTGGTCTGTCCGCGAATGCCCCCCTTCTCTCCTTCTCTCCCCTCTTCCCTCTTCCCTCTTCTCGTATTTTCTGGACTGCTTTGATCGACAAGGGGGTCAATTAGGGACAGTGGTCTGTCCGCGAATGCCCCCCTTTTCCCCTTCTCTCCTTCTCTCCCCTCTTCCCTCTTCCCTCTTCTCGTCTTTTCTGGACTTCTTTGATCGACAAGGGGGTCAATTAGGGACAGTGGTCTGTCCGTGAATGCCCCCCCTCTCCCCTTCTCTCTCCCCTTCTCTCTCCCCTCTTCCCTGTTCCCTCTCCTCGTCTTTCCTCGTCTCTCTCCTCTCTTCCCTCTTCTTGTCTTTCCTCATTTCTCCTCGTCTTTTCTGGACTTCTTTGATCGACAGGGGGGTCAATTAGGGACAATGGTCTGTCCGTAAATGCCCCCCCTCCCCCCTTTCCCTACGTCTCTCTGTCCTCTTTGTCTAGTCACCGCCTCCCTTTGTTCTTTCTGGAGCAGCCGCCTCCTTAAACCCATCGTCTGCTGGTTTCAAGGCTTTGTCTCCTCGTGTCTTTTCACATAGTTCATTCGTGCGATGTAAGGGCGATCACGCCTGCGTCAAATATATTCACAGCAAAAATCCACTCTTCAATCAATTAATCTCGTATTTCATGACGCTGTGATACGGAAATGGAGCTAGCTGATATCTGCCTCCGTGTATATCCAGTCCTCAGAGGCATACTCGATCATCTAACGGCGACTGATGCCTCTGCATTCCTCTTTGCAACTCGCTTGATATCTAAGGTATCTCCGAAAACGAAGTGTAGATATCTTCACCTTCTCAGAGATATACCGGAGCATATGACCTGGATCGATGCGAAGATCAGAAACGGACACAAGGCTTTCATTATTGGAAACGATCTCCGCAAACTCCGACGTAGAATAGAGCAGCCAGCGTCATACAACGGGGAGAAAACCAAAATCTACATCTGGCTTGCAATTATTCCTATACACGCTGTGACGTCGACAATCAAAGCAACCAACGTCGAAGAAACGTATCTCATGGACTGGAATGGCAGGTCCCATAGACGGGATGATTTATACGACCTTTTCGGAAGGCACGATCAAGACCTATTTCCTTACTCATCTGGTCTGTCGGAACCGCCGTACCTGTCGACGATGTTTGCCCCCTGTACTCCCATCATGCGCCCGATCTCCAAAAATGCAGATCATGGAGATTGGTACCTCAGCCCAATCCCGAACGAGAGCAATATCGGGGTCATCTTCATAGCTTCAGCTTCTGCGTGGAACGAAGGACTCCATGTGCATATGTCTGCATCGTTGAGCGAGGCGGCTTCGCCACAGTCGAACGTACTTACCACCGACCAACCCAGCGTCGCATACTTCGACATCAACGACGATAGGGAAGGGGTGACGCATACATACTCAGGAAGAGTCATGCAACGTTGCCTCGATGAAGGATTTGTTCCAATCATAATCACACCTGGATCTCCATTTGAAAGCCATTATGGAGACGAGAACAAAAAGCATTGGGTTGTACCAGCCTGGAGCCTTCCTAAAGATGGCAAGGAATTGTTGACCGCGAACATATAAGGATATCTTGATTGCACCAAACCTACTATTCACCATATCCAATATGCTTTCCATACTCATTACCTTTCTGATCATATGTTTCCCCATGATCTTGCGCGTGCTGCAGAATCTCTGGCCTTCTCTATTCGCGTACTTCGCTCTCACGGTTTGCATCGTCGCGATGTTTCTTCTTCTCTCAATCTTCTTCTGCATGCCTTGGACGCATCACTTCCGACTGAGATAGTTGTAAGAGGACTACTAGCTCAAGACAACAGATTACTAACAAAAGTTTCCCTAGATGCGCTTTTCCGACATCAACGTCCAACCTGGCGGTCATTGGACATGATACAGTAAGCGTCTATTTGCCTGTCCAAAAGACCGTAGGACACCCAAAGACTGCATTTCTCAGCTTCTCAAATCAGCCAACTCCGATGCCGATGTCTGTCAGTCTTGCCGAGATTATAGGAGGATGTTGGGTCCTTGTCGAAACCACATCACCCTGCGTGCGAAAACCTCCCGCCCCTGCGAATATCAACGCTGACTCTTGAAGCGTCAGTGGTAATTGGCCCCGGAGTAGCAGAGAACCCTCAACGAGAGCACGGCAGCCGTCAAAAAGAGGCGTGCATCGGCAAACAAACCTCGACCACGTCAACTTACGTCCCCTCTGCTTAAACCCGACGTTTTGCGGATCCCAACTTGAGTCGGTATGCCCATGGATGCTGCTGGCTCAGCACAGGTCTTTATTCAGTTATCATGATTCTGCTAGGGAGCAAAGGACGTACGAATATGGTTAAGAGTATTCGGAATTGCGAATGTTGATTTCAATTCTTCTCTACTTCTGATTTTTAGAGCGTATATTCATCTATTTATGTGCACGCTCCCTCGCTTTTAGATTGTTAATGACACATATGCTACATCCCAAGATACCAACATGATTCGCCTTGTGGGAGTTGTTCAAGTCCCTCTTGATTGCCTTCAAACCTTGGAGTTGGGGCAACGCATATATGACCCTGACCGCTGTGATTATCTAGCTTCCGTCTTCGACGGCCACTGTATCGATCCTGAAAGGGCAAACAACCAAATTGATGGTATTATCCTCGAACAGACCCTGCAGGAAATACTTTTGACCTTGCGTATTTCGGTCAAAAGACTCGAAATCACTCTCACTCATGGTCCATATCCTGAAGTCTTTGGCCACAACGTTTATTATCTTCAAGGTCGCCATCGCCTCGAGGCAGCCAAAAGGTCGCGTGATGTCTTTACATGGGTCGTGCGATTGCACGTCACTGACAGCTGGCAAAACTTCCTCCACGATGAAACACGGTTCATCAAGAGTCAAACCGACTGGTACAGTCATGAGAGGGAATGGTCAGATGGAGACATCTATATCAAGCTGAGAGACTCTCAGGTACGCCGCGATGAGAGCACAGAAAGACAGTTCACCGTACGACTGGGACCCATGAAACGTAAGTCCATGGCGGTCATAGAGGCACGCCCGGAGATCCAAAATATGCTGGACAGATTCACAGGCTTCCCTGGACTACTACAAGGACTCAAACTGGGCATGTGGTATAAGTATTGCCAGTGGCTTCATCTAGATCCCGAAGTCACAGCATACATGCAACGAATCGCACGTGTGTGTGCTGAAATGACAGACGGTGTAACTGAATTTGAGCGATGCATGGACGTCAATACGATTAGAACACTTGAGGGACGCTTGCCTTCGAGCGCTGCGGACCGACAAGTCATCCAGCGGGGGTTCAGTTCTGGTAAGCTTTTTCCGAAGGTGACTGACAAGTCCTGGCGAGAGAGGATTGAGTATAATGTGCTCCAAATACCTATCCTCATACCTAGCCTCAAGTCTTTCCATGAAAACATGAAAGTCTTGAGCACGGCAGCTCAAATCGTGAAGAATCATCTGTTGCCGGACCACACACGCGAGAAAGGGACATTGCAACAGCAGCTCCAGGAGTTTTGGAACCCATCTGCTCGCCTTGTCGTAGAAATCTCAGAAGGACAATTTCGGTATGGAGTGGGATCCTCATCTTTCGAAGTGGCCTACGTTCATTTGATGCTGGCGGCCATTCGTCAGTTCCCATCTCTGCAACATGCCGACAGTCCTCGGGTCGGCAGGGGCAAAGCGTGTGTGTCCCACGTCGACGCAGCCTGCCAATCGCTTTTTTATCGACGAGCTCATTTACTAGGCTTCCGTAATCGTGTCATTACGCAAGGTTGTCGGATGCGAACACAGCCTTTCAACTTTCCTAAAGGGCATCTACTACCAGACGAAGAAATCCACTTTCTGTCAAAGGTAGACCGTCGTTGGGGCCGGCCGCACATTGACACCTTTCAGCAAATACAGCAAATTCTTTTCCTGCCTCGTCTGATTGAAAGCGAGGATCGCAACGAGATATCAATCATGCGCATTCAGAAAGATTTTGTCAATGCTTTTTTCGGGTCTTTTTCGATACAGTTAGATGATTCAACACCGATCATAGACATCAACACGGAAAAAGCAGCTGGGTGCCCAAAATCGGTCTCAGCAATCAGTCTCTTTGACTATCGGTCTCAAGTAAGTGGGGATTATAGACCCTGCGATAAAGAGGACGTGTCAATGTCAGGGACCGATTATGAGGAAGATCCCGGAGAGGACGTCGTTATGCAGGACTCACTTTCTGAGAAATCGTCGTCTTCTGATTTCTCAGAAAGGACGATGAAATTGAGAAATGAGAGCTGTCGAGACATTACGGCGCTGAAGTTCAACAACGCTCCTCTACCGAGGATGCGGGCTGTAAATCGTCAAGCAAAATCTGAACTAACGCCAGATATCCTGCCGTTAAATGTTGCGTCAGATACACGAACCCATCTAAATACCGGACTTGGAGGAATTCAAGGCACTGGAGAAGCGTTAGCCGCGCGAAAAGCCGATCGCTTAGATACTTGCATCTATGATCATCCCATCGCGAACTTCCCTCCCCAAGGTCCCCAACTTCAGCGAATCTCAAGCACAAGCATCCTGTTCTCCATGCTTACAGGACAGTCATTTTCAAGTCCGCCCTTGATCCCAAATGAACAAGGGCAACGGTCCTTACAGCCATCGTCTCGTATCACGCCCGGAGAGACCCAATCGTTCGGCTATGTTCACAGTCGGGCATCCCAGCCGAACACTCCGCAAAGTCATCAACAAACTGATTCCCGAGTCATCGGATTGTCCGGCTTGGGCAACTTCGATCTCAAAAGGATCTCGTCATCTCAAGGCCATCAGTCTATGATGGCGACGAGCTTTTCTCCATGTGAAGAGATCAAGTTGAAACGGATATCTAGCCTCCAAAGCAGTAATCAATCTCACTCTTCTATCACAGGGAGCTCAAGCATCAAGCAACCCCAGAGGATATCAAGCTCTCATGACGTACGCTCCATGCTGCCATCGTACCTACCGTGGCAGGTCTCTAATTGCCGAGTCAAATCCGAGGAGGGAGAGATGGCGATTGATTCTATGCCAATGCACTCGCCGCAAATTATCGGGGCGCAGTTGCCCTCGAGCTTGAACAGAGTCCAGTCAAGGGATACCATGTTGAGCGATCAATACCATGAGTACAACTTCAATGCTGCCATTGACTCTTCTGATCCATTTTCACTCGACGGATCGAGTATCACGACGAGATCTACATTGCTGAGCTTCCCCGGAGATAGGGCTGGTCTGAATCACGGCTTAGACGGTATACAGGGGTTCGATGATAGCGAGGATAGCATGATTCTCTGAATACTATGACCGAGCGTTTCAATCTGCATTCTTTATGACGACTCCGGGATGTGACTGAATATGATCTACACGGATGTTTCCTGCTGTGTGTCTGGTACAACTTTTTTACAATGAATGTATTCTTTGTGACCAGCTAAAATAAGCTTGACTAGCCTGAGTTTCCGGGCACGACAACTTCAGCATCGCAATGTTCTTGCATCTTTTCCATTTCACTGACAGAATTTATTCTCCTACATGCTCTTGTTATGTTACGCCGCATCATAAGGTATCATAAATACACCAGAGGGCGAGAAAATCATACATTAAAGTGCATATGTGACCTATCGTACAAAGCGAGCCCACGAGATGGGCGTTTGGTGGTAAGCGGTCTCGTGCGGCACAACGCCGGGTAGCGTCACGATAGCATCTCTCGGACTTTCACAACTGAAATCATATAGTGGGCTGTGTGGAAAATGTGAAATATTGGCATGTATCATAGAATCTCCTTTCCAAGCGAAGTGATCATAAACCCTCTCTAGTAAAATAACGCTGCTATGAGAACATTGGATGCTGTGGTACAGGCCATGTTTTTACCAATTTCAAGGTCTCAATAGACTAAAACAAAACCCGAAGCAAGCGCAAGTCTTTCACCTCCATTGATGTTCACTTAGTACAAACTTGATGACGAGTATCTTCGACTGCTGCGCTTCTTTCTCCTCAGCTCTTGACGAGCCTCTTCTCTTTGATGTTGAGTGTAGTACTGCTCCCCTTTGTCAAGCCTTACGAAAGTTAGTCACGGAAGCTTCACCGTCACCGCTGTACTCACGCAAGCTTCGTGAGCACATAAGCACTGCAGGCTATGAGAGTTGTTTTGAGGAGACCCATGATGAAATGAAGAGGCTGACTTGACGGTGCAGTCGTGGTACGGCTCAGCGATTGACGCGAGTGTTAAACTTAAGTGGCTACTTGAAGCAGAGGACCACACTATATAGAAAGCTTACCTCTCGGGATCAAACACGATAAGGGCTTAAAATAGATTGCATGCACTTCCGGCAACGCCCGTATTGTATTCTGCGTATGTTATTGGGATTTCTCCTTCGATTTCGGTTAACCTTCTCTGCTGTTCTTGAAAGTCTGAAACTGTTATTGTGATATAGCCACAGAGATCAGCTAATGTGCGATCATGTAAGGAAAGAAGCTTTTTCTGTTTGATGTTTTCCGTTTGCGTCTCCTCCAGCTGAGACTGCAAAGATAGCACCTGAGCTTGCAGTTGCGAGATGAGCAAAGACTGTCGCTGAGCGCTCTCTCCGCTGCAACGGCTGCATCGACTTGACTGCGAGTGCCTCTCATGCGGAGAGGGTACATGTGAGGGTTCCTGGTCTGAAGCTGTGTCATCGAACAAGCCTTTCGATGGTCTGATCGGCCTGGCCGGCTTAGACGGCATAAGTGGCCTAGGCCTCATGGGCAAGGAAGGTAATTCAGGCAGCGGCTTTTCTCTTGACATCTCTGCTTGACATTCGTGGGGAGAGTGTGGGGGATGGGGGTAGTAGTAATATTAATACTCGGGCCACGCTACAGACATGCACATGAACATATTCAGAATACAGAAAAATGTTTCCATCAAGCTTTAGCAAAGAAATGACAAAGAACGCCATCCAAAGTAAAGCACCTGTGCTACCTAAGCTAGTAGAGATCATACATGTTACAGTACTCGTGGGTTTCATAGTCATCGCCGCCTTGGCCATCTCCATCAGCAGCATTCTCACTCGAGTCATCCTCAGTAGTGTCGTCGGAGTACTCGTCTCCACTGCCATAGTCGCAGCGGCTGCAGTTCATCGCCTGGTCCGTCAAATACTGGTTTATCTCGGCCAGCTCCTCCTTGATTTGGTCGACTTTGTCTTCCAGCTTTGCGAGACGCGCATCTTGTCTGTTCTGGCTTTCGTGAATCCACTCCATGACCGCCTCGATACGGTCGAGACTCGTTATGATGTTTCTTTCTAGTCAGCATAGAGTACAAACAGATAGTTGCTTCACCCACCGTTTCTCTGTCGGGTCGACGGAGGCTGATGCATACCCAGAAGGGTTGGCCGCGTAGCCGTTCCATGTGTTAGCCTTGTTCGAGGATTGCTGAATAGCCGTGGAAGGGTAATCCATTGTGTTGTTTGAAGGAAACGATGCGAGGCTAGTGTAACCGAGGTAGTCCTGGCTTGGGCTCTGCTTGCTGGCTTCCAGAGGAGGTGAAGCATTAGTGTATGCCAGAAGTTGAAGGATCTCATCATTGGACATGTCGCCGAAGTTCATGGGGTCAGACATGGTGAAAAGAATGTGCAAGGCAATATGATCGGTGTGGTGGAATAGGGGATTGAGGCGGTCACGTTTGACATACTCTCAGACTCCAGTCTCTTTTCTCCCGCCATGAGAATATATATCTGCAAAGAATCCCTCGAAACAACGACAGCACTGCCTGAATTAAGCGCCCATCTAAGCGATGTTAAGCGCTGTCTGTTTTTAGTACGCGCGTTGACGCGATTCGAGATTCTTTCTTCGAACTTCGCATTGCAGTTTTGTGGAAACACAATTTCATTTCGCTGGTGATCATATTTAACACACGCTGTTTCCGTCACGCTTTTGGAGTTTGGGCAAAGTCAGGCAACCCAGAAGCAACATGAAGTCCTTCACCTTCATTTTCTTCGTTGCTCTTATTCCCAGTGTTCTATCAATCAACGGGTTTCCCGCCATCTGCACTTGGGATCCTCCTATATCTGTTGAGGCCGGAGCTTCGCTTTCGGCAAGGTTGGTGTCCGTGCATCTATGAGATCCCCAAGCTAAGAAAATGGCAGAATCGATAATCCCTGGGGCGGCCGCTGCACGGCAACCCTGCGACTCACTGACTCCGAGTTTCTGCCTATCAATTGGTCCTTCGAAGCCATTCAATGTACCGATTTTGAGCTCGCCCAGCTGTCTGTGCCGGTAGATTTGCCAAATGGGGACGCATATATTATCTGGTGGGTGTGCGGCTCGTGTGTTCGAGACAGTTGCTGACTCTCCACAGGCAGTGTGCGGGACAGGCGGCATTGACTTGCAGCCACGTTGAGATCAAGAACGGGCGGGGTAACATTGGTGCGGTGAGTCTGGATCAGAGTGGCACTGTTGGCTGTGTTTCTAGCACACGCCAGACACTGACCACACTCATCACACGGACAAACCCTGCCGGAGTGCAAGTCGAGACATCGTTGTCCACCTTAACAACCGTGACCACCAGTTTTCGGACTGCTACCGCTGACCCCGCCGTGGCTGGTGCGCCGACATTGACGGCGGCCGTCCTTACCGATACTGTGCTGGCGGCCACTGGTGCGGCCACTACTCCAACTTTGGATGCACCACCGACCCCGCCCGGCACCACAGGCAGCCAGAACGCAGATACCGGCCTACCAACGACAACCGGGAACACGCCGACCGCGGCCGGGAACGGGATTACGTCTATCACGCCACTCGCCGGTGCAACCACGGCGACCATCATGCCGCCCAATCCGCCGACCAATTCCAACGAGCGGCCTGACACGACCTTGGCTGGTACAATGCAGACGGCACGCGCCCTGACGTCTCCTCTACTGACGAGTACGGCAACATTGACCATTACCAATTGTATGGTCCCTTGTGCGAATACTGTCGTCCCTGTCTGATCCCATCGGAGGTCTCGGAAACAATTGCAGGTTGTGGTTTTACTTACTTAGACTTTTGACATTGACTCGTGTTCCGGGAATGAGTTGCCTGTTCACTGGAGGCCGAAGACGTTTTCCTGTTTTGGATAACATGTAAATTGATTTTATGCTGTCTACTCCACGCTCTAGTCTTAGTGCGACATTTGAAATAAAATAGGCCACGTCAGCCTTTCGTTCAGAGATAGCATCCCACTTACGTTCAACATGAATAAGCTTCCACAAGAGCTTGTTCTCCACATCTCCTCTCACCTATCCATCCCGGATCTGTGCAGGTTTCGCCTCGTTAATCGTAGTCTCGCTGACACAACGTATCCTGGCATTAGTAAACATGTTTCACTGCTCAACATTTCTTCGTCTGCGGAGGATTTCATCCTGCACTTTACAGATCGTAGGAAGTCATCGTGCACAAAGTCTTTGACCGTCTATCACGGGGAGTGGCCGGTATGTTCGCGAAAGGAATGGCAAGTTCACCCTCTCTCCCTTTACGAAATTCATCCGCGGGCTTTCTTGGACGCTGCCATAGACGATGTTTATGAGCGCTATCTCCATTTCACATCTCTGCAATGGGACAGGCCCAACCTCAAAGATCCCAGTGCGTTTTACGAGCTCCTTTCAACGCTGCCACAAGTCAAATCCCTTACCTTGTCTCCTTTGCGCCTGTCATCTCGCCGTTGTTGGTCCATCAACAAGAGGATTGGTCGCCTGAGAAGCAACATGTGGATTTCGCCTTCTTTTAACGACTCGATGGCGCCTCTGATAGGGGCATTCCTTTCCGTAAGCGAGAGATTCCCTCGCATCAAAGAGCTTATCGTCAAAGGCAGGTTGAACCCACAAGACGTCTCTCTTACAGCAGACACCTGCGTCATCAGGCTTGAAATTGTCTCTCTAGTGTCCGTGGGTGCTCGATCCGAGGCTTTCCTTGCCCTCATCCACCGATTTCCCAAACTTGAACACCTGAGTGTCAGACTTGAGACGGCGAACAGTATTCATGTGCCAACATCAGTGCATGGCATTCAAATCCAAAGCCTACGCAGTCTGTTCCTCGGAAATCTGTGGATATCTGAAACGTGGTTGACACGGATCATTGACCAAAACAGTTGCATGGGTACAGTCGGGCTTACAGATATCACATTGACAGAAGGAACTTGGCAATCTTTCTTTACTCGCCTCAGAAACAACAGCCGCTTGTTGAACTTCACCTGTAACGGTGTTCTAGATGGAACAAGCCTAGACTGCCCTGCCCTCGTGATGGAAGACGATAAGAGGTATTTATTGTACCGATTTTTAAACTATGAACAGTCGAGATGGCCGTTTAAGGTATTCAAGTTTCGGGAATCGATTTACGTTTAAGTGTAATTAGAAATGATTGAGCCGAGCCAAGTAGATTATTTCATGAGAAACATATAAATTTGCTATGAAGTCTGTCTATTCCGCGTTCTTCTTGGTTTCCATTCCCGTCTACATGTTTTACACTTGATTGAGGCCTGTGTTGAAGAAAAAACTCCACAACCAAAGACATGAGTTCTCATCACTCGCATTTTGAACACGACCCTGGCCAAGGCCAAACTCCTGCTCAGATCGACCCATCCTTGGGTTTCATGAACCTGCCGCCTGCGGAGTATCCGCACCTTGATTTGAATCCGGAGTATACAATCCCAGGCCCATATCCATATCCACAATCACCGCTCCACAGCCGTTTCAGCACCGAGCCGGAGGCAATTCCGAGAGTATCCGCACCCAGTCCGAGTGAGCAGGACCCAGTAGCTGTCTCCTTTGGATGGCATTATGCTACAGATGAACGAGCTTTGCAACGTTCTTGCTATATCATGAAGGAGATTGCGAAGGGAAGATTAGCAGATCCGTCCATGGATCCAATCTTATTCCAGGATATTATGAGTATCCATGATCAGACACACCCAGAGAAGATGTCTGTGGTGCGTGAACTGTTCTCTCGCGATACCGAGGACTTCAGAATCCCGTTTCGTTACCTTCACGATCTCTTCTGCGCCTGGCGTTCCGTTTGTCACATCAAAGTCCAGAGTTCTCAAGGTGTTAACTTCGTCATTGAAGACTACGATGCGGAAAAGATCCTCATGTGTGAAGCCATAGTGCGGTCTGTACTTCGAGGCATACTGAAACATATTGAGTCGATCAAGGAGGACCAGGTGTTGAATTTGAGCGGAGAACTGTCGTAGGTTCTATTGACCTAGGCTCATTGATACGAGTAGAACTCTTTGGAATCACGAAGCTGTATAGGAATTGCAGGGGACTAGAACACACAAACACGTAAACTGAATTCGTGCATTTTTTTCCAGTTATCATAAATTATTTTTGCTATGCCTAAGAGTTGGTGATCATCTCAAATATATACTGGCTCCTACTTTCAAACCTATACTCATATTGTCTGTGCCAATTCGTCTCAATAACGAGCTCGCAGTTCGTAGCTCGTGATCAGATCAAAACGACAAAGATGTCTATGCACCGCAATATTCTTATATTCCTTGCCATCACTAGTGCTATTATAGCAATAGTTCATTGCGTCATGATTGGGGTTGCTCTAGGCCTACCTGCGGTTCAAGATGCTGGTGTTGTCACTATAAAGGTATGCCCAGGATCCTCGATGATTGAAATGCCGTGACTTAGTATGTTAGCTCAATAACACAAATCTCCTGGGGAACGGAGTCCATCGATATCCCAAAGCTCTCACGATTGGGCTTACGAAAGCCTGTCTCAACTACGACAGCAAAAGCCATTGTGTCGGCGTCGACCAGCTCAACACGATCAAACATCTAGTACCGTTGATGGACGGCCTGAACGATGTTCTCGGATACCTCCCATTGCTTCATGGTCTTTTTGTATCTCTAGGAGTAGTGTCCTTCATCTTTGCGACTCCCCCGGTTCTGTTCTTATTCTTTGCCTTCACTGGTCGACGACGAATTTTAAGGCGCCTGCAATGCCTTTTTATCTTGGCGCTGTGTACACTGCTAGTTCCGGTCGTCTTGAGCCCAACCCTGACCATACTATCGGTGAAAGAGACAGTCGGTATTTTTGAGACTGTGGTGGAGGGTGATTTAAGTCAGCTTGGGATTGTTGGGATCGCATGCAACGTAATCAACTTTACGATGGCCCTTGCTGCACTGTTCGTCCATCTTGTGTCTTTTACGGCCTGACGGTGGCATTCTTCCCCGTAATCATTAGCTGTCCGCACCCTTTCTATTATAGGCTCGTCTCCTTTTCCCTACATTGCAGTCAACTATAAATGACAGCCATTTCCTCTGTTTAATCACCCTGATCCACGCTGGTTAATCACAATCTCAATACACAATGAATCCTGACTCCTCCTGCAACTCTCGACTTGCTCGAGGCAAAGTCCCCCCAACTCTCCTTCCAAACCACAACATTGACTTTTCCAAACCATTCACCCCACGAAATCGACGTTTCGGGCTGCTCAGCTCAGACCACGAAAAGCCGCTGCCAACGCCTCCTCCTCGCCCACCTCATCTGCCGGCTCCACTGCAACCGTCTCTACTATCAGCTCCACCAACTCCACCCAGCATGTTTGATCCACGATGGGAGCTCCAGTTCCCATCAACCTTGATTTACTATAACCATGACAACGGGAACCCGTGGATGAAGGGCATTGAACGGCACCAAACTGCTGCTGCTTATTGGCAGCAGGCTTATCACACTACGTGTGCCGACCTGTCTGAGGCTGTATACCTGCTCCAATGCCGCATTTCCGACTTAGAAGAGCGCTTCGCAGACAAGAAGCAGGTATGTCCGGCTCAGCCACATGCACTAAGTTCTGATGTATTAACGATAAAGACCAAGGAAGAATGGCGGCCTATTAGTCCTTCTACTCCGACCGCAATCAAGTTGCCAAATGATGTCCAGGGCAATTTCGTCTGAAGTGCTGGAGAAAGTTTGCGTTTGTCAGTCGTTACTAGATGCGTAGTTCTGATAGTTTCTGAATGCTTGAATGAGATTTCCACATGCCACACAGCTTGTTCCTCACCAAAAATTGACGTGACATTCCAGAATTAAGGCTTATAGCAGATTCGGAACGTAACGAAAGCACCGAATTTCCAGACACAGCTGGGAGAACGACAATTTGTTTAAGCTAAATCAGCATTAGACTTCCATTCTCTAGACTTGGCTAAAGTACAAGCAATTCTAGAATCCAATGTGTCTGGAATCTAGGTGCTTGGCAGAAAATACAAGCAATTCTAGAATCCAATGTGTCTGGAATCGAGGTGCTTGGCAGAAGTACAAGCAATTCTAGAACTGATTCTGTCTAGAAATCCCGACAAGGACCTCGATTCTGAAAAGTTCAATTAGATTTGCTCATACTACCGCTCAGCACCTTGATTCTGGAATTCGAGGACAAGCGCTCTGAGTGGATCCCAGAATACAAACACTCAGAATCACAAAAGCAGATTCGTGTCTCTATCCTTGATTCAGTTCCAATACTCACTCACGTCATATGTGTCGGTCTAGAACACTATCTTCTCGTTACGCAGGATTACTTGAATCAAAAATTCTAAATGGATAAACAGTCAGAACAACAGTATCGAGTTTTCAAAAAACACGTCCACTTCACCATGATCAACTCCGAAAAGTTTATCACCTACTTGCGGGAGTTATCGTAGTTAATATGCAATACGTTTTTGAGGTCAGGTGGGTGTGGTGTAGGGAGTTTTGGAATGAGTCTTGATATTGGGGCAAAAATCCACTTTCCCGACCAATGAAAGGCTTCATAGTCTTGCCCGTGGCCACCCTCCCCACATCCTTGCGGGCCGCGCTTTTTTTTGGAACATTTGCGCGTAGTCGTACTCGTCCACGTACTGTCAATTGCCCACGGTCGCAATTGCTTGATTACCGCGATTTTGCAACCCAAAGTCGTCTACTATTAGTAATCAAATCTACTTATAGGTAAGTGCGACCATAGCCAATTGCCACTGTGGGTAATTGACCTTACGTACCTTAGGCAATTGTTTGTATGGTGCGGGCCTTGGGTAAGTACGGAATCACTGGCAGGCAAGTGCGCGAACTGGCCCGTGGGCAGGCGCAGTGGAATTGTCGGATTTAAATTCTGCTTGCGGGTTTTAATTGGCCAGAGTAGTGGATTACTGCCCCAATAACCAAACAGTATTGGAATTCTGGCCCTCTTATGAACCAATTACCGTCGTGAGTTTGGCTGGGGGGCGAGACATATGGAGGCACGTAAAAGTTCCAAAGCTCTAGACCAAGCTTATGCAGAGTGGCAGATAATTGGTAAGTCTACGAGAGGCTAATTAGTCAAGCTTTAAAGAATGCTAGGTAAAAGAGTCTCCGAAACTAGTGCCTTAGGTTAGCATGTGTTCTCGCAGGGCTATCTGAGACTTGAACACCTTGACATCCAGCGACCTGCTCTGCTTCGTTTCCTTTCAACGCAACTCTGTATACGGAATAAGACGTTCTATCTCTGCTAGATTTCGATGCATCTGGTAGCAGGTGAAGTTATTTTAGAAGAACCACACTGACAATTTGGCCAGAGGGCAGCCCCTCAAGTATTCGCTCTTTGGTGCAGATCTGGCCTGGAATTTTTGACTTGGCAATTCGTCAGTGGTTACCAAACAGGTGACTATCTACAAATTCTGCATGTGCTATCAATTAACTACTAAATGATATCAGTATAAACAGCTTCATGTTTTCTCTAAGTCGCCACTAGTGTGGATATTCCGAACAGAAGAAAGAACGGAAATGGGATCGGATCAAGCACTTATTTATTATTGCCCTAAACGTGGTTTGGTGTACTGGCGCCATTCCACTGTTGATAGGATGAGATTCCCTCATTCTCAGACTCCGTAAAATAAAATCCGCTAGGCGTAAATCCGCATCACCTTGTTTCCGAATCACTGCTTTGTATAAAGTGAAACTCGAATACAAAAAGAGCAGGGTCCTGAAAACTCGATCAATATCCACATGAGTGTTCTCTACGTATAGCACTATTATATGCTGGTAGTTCATCAAGGCAGTCAATTTCCCATCCGTATTCTTCAACAATCACCCTATGGAACTTCTGATGGCTTGGCTGCAACTTCGAACGAATGCTCCTGGCCTTCAAGGGGCCTTTGTCATTGAAGATCGATCAGTCTACGATGCAAACTGCGCGTCAAAGATGCTCACTTTCTTGACATGTCCGAAGTCAAGTATAGAAGACGTCTGTGTGAAGAGGCTGGACCCCGAGAGCTTCATCGTCGAATGCCCAGTCTTCGCAGCGATTCGAACAAGAGTCAAAGCCGGACCGGTTCCACCCGGATTCACAAGGCTGTTCCTGGAAAGAATCACTTCCACGCCTATTGTTGTGGAGAAACTATACGCCCAAATACTCTGTCCACTCAGCCATGTCGTGGCCCTCATGGTGGATGACTTAGGCGGTTTGTCAAAATCGGCCGGTGTTCTAGCATCATTGATGTGCAACTGGAGAACACTCAGCATATCTCCGAAGCCTTTGCTTTTTGTGGTTACCAAGGACAAGGGAATCACGGAAGATATATTCGTCAGAGAAGTTACTTTGCATTGCTTGGAGCTTCTGCGGGTTCTTCACGCCGACACGCCACCGACGTACACGCATGTCAAAAGCGAATGGACCACAAATTTCGAAAGCATAGCCATTGTTGCGACAGAAGAAGAGAATCTATATTACCATCTCGTCATCTTTTCAGAAGACATCTTACGGCAAAGAAGACAGAAGCGATTTGCCTTCGCTTCTGATACACTTCACAGACTCGTCATTCAAGGCATCTGTCAAATAGGGAGTAGGGAGGAATTCAACATCTTGAGGTCGCTACGATCACAGTCACAGCGATTTCTCCCATCCCTCTTTGTGCCATACGCCCTAAAGCTATCAAGTATGAAGGAAGAGTTTCCCGAGTTCAATTGGCGAAGTCTCATAGCTTCTTCTCTGGCGGTTGATAGTCATCGGCCCTCTCATCATGGTATGCATCAGTCTCAAACTTTTGAGCATGAAGCTAAACCTAAACAGTGTTTCAATCCGACCTAATTTTTGAAGAGGAGTATGAATGCATGCTTGGCTACCTTGCACTAAAGGCTCGACAGCCTGGTTTAGTGGCTTCAGTCAAGCAAGACTTTTGTAGTATGATTGCAGGCGCTGCGGCCAATCCGGAAGCTCTTCTAGAAGTCCACTTGCAACTTCTCAAAACCCACGGCGAAAAGCTGTTTCCTTCTCAGGCTTGTGCTATATGCTTTTTTCGAGCCGCAACACATACTGCGACCTGTTCACACAAACTGTGTGATTCATGCATCGATCTTCTTGAGATGCCGAGCAACGTTATGCAACACCCCACTTGTCGTCTCTGTCAAAAGGGCGAAATTCTGATCAAGCCACGCGATGTGGCTGTGCGAGCATTGATACTGCACGGAAGGACTTCCCGAGGTACCGTCAGCTTTCTTCATCGTTTGCGGCGCGCTTTGCTGGGCCCGCTTGAAGAGTACTTTGATATTGTGATAGCGTTAGATAGAGGTATGTCTCACGCTAAATCTCAACTTACGATTCCCAACTTACCTATTTAGCTGTACCTGTCGTTTTAGATCATTTTTGCCGTCGCTGGCCTTTATCTCAATGCGTTCCGAGCTATAAAAGTAAGAAATGGATACTGAATAAGTTGAGTAGGCGAGTTCCAAGTTTACTGGGAAATCAATGTCATTTGATCCTCTTGCGTGGAAAGACTATCATGAGCAGCTATGGTGAGCCACGGAGGAAACAGGATCGCCAGCCGGAAGTGATAGAAGCGGAGCTTGCTAAGTTGTGGCCATCCAAGCCAGTTCTCAGAGTAGAGCATGACAAAGACTCATCTTGGCTGGAAGGAAATGTGCAAGCAAACATGGCTTTTGCTGCGCTGTTCCATGTGGTAGTATCTGATAGCCCTGAGTCGACGTGCGCTCACTTGACGGTGTTCTGTTCGATACCGCCAGGAGCTCATCTTCAACGCATTGCTATGCATGCGCGGACGAAAAAGATGAGTTTCTACTACGGAGACCAAGGAGGATGGTCTCAAGAAGATCTATGCGATATCTCTACATGGAATTGCGTTCGATCAGGTGGAGCCTTTACTAAACGAATCAACGTCAATCAGCCTGATCCGAGATCGATCAAGGCGAAGATTGATGGTCCATTCGAGATGATGGATCGTTCAGACATTCAAGTCATATCTCGCCTCACGCAAACACCTTGCGTCGAGACGAAAGAATACGACTCGCCCTTTCAGCATTTGTCCGAAGATATCGATTGTTCTGAGGCTAGACGGTCCTTGGATCGTTCTAATACAAGTGAGGAGGAGTTCCAATTGCGACCGCTCATTCACAAGACCGAATTTGAGGAGATACTGGCGACGAGGGACGTTCCTTCAGTTGGATCTCACATTGTGGTGGGCAATTGTACAGCTGGCATTCATCGAAGAAGTGAGGCTGCTGAAATTGTGGACAAACAGCAGAATTCTTTGAATTTCTCAAGCTCTACAGAAACAGTCTTGTATAAGGGGAACCAACTCCTAGGCGAAGCAATTGATGAAATGTTAAACAAACTGGGGGAGATACGGATAAGACAATGACGGACCAGAGGGTTCCTAGCTAAGCCATGTTCAAAGCTTGCAACAGATCTTTTTGCCCTAAAAGTGTGGACGAGAATTCTGAGATCGTGTCACCATCTTTCTGCGTCGATCATCTTCTGAGCATGTTCTCTTTCTCTTTCTGGTTCCTTGATCACCGTGATGTGGCGGTCTTCTAATAGCCTGTTGCTCGTCAGAGGTTTTCGAGCCTTGCCAATCAATGACAGCCTTATGCCCGATATCTCCAAAACCATCCCTCCCACCCTGTTCCTTCCCATGCAGAACATCTGGCGTGATACAATGATTACTCTCAGCCGTAGCTGGATGTAAAGGTGGAAGCTGCGAACCCTTCGCCTTCCTTGTCAGTGACGATACTAGCTCGTCGATCGGATGATCTTCCGTTCGGCCGCTATCAATAGATTGCCGCAGCGGCGTATTTAACAAAGAGGAGGACGACACTTGACTTTCACTAGAGCCCCCGGACGGGAAGGAGGTAGGGGCTCCTTTACGATCGGCTACAGTATCGAAATGATCGGGCCCATGGAGGTTTTCCTGGCGAATTCCCATAGACCGTAGTAACTGATGAACAGGCGTCCAATTGGTGTGAGAGACATAGCTGTAAATGTTGCGATCGATTTCTACCACAACAGCTACCTTCGGTCCACACATGCGGTGAAGGGTGTTGCCTTTCTTGAAGAGGCCTGTGGTGCGAATCTTGCAAGCTCGGGTGGATGACGACATTTCAGACGATTTCTTGGATTGTTTCAGGTGGGCTTGTCTCTGTCGATGACGATGTATTTCAGAGGTTTAACTAATTCGTTGAAAAGAGATGAGATGCGACCTTTTATAGCTCATCTGCCCTAATCAAAACCTGTATAACTGAACACGCTGAACTGTCTGAATTGCTCTGATTTGTGAATAAATATAGATATTAACGCGCTGTGTCTATTTTGGAAGCCACGCTTGACATGCCGTGAGCTATTTTTACACACTCGAAGGGCTCATAAAAGAATGAGAAACCCCCCCAGAATCAGCAGCGAATGCCTTTCAAGTTACTTTCACATTCTATCGTTCGAAATGGCTAAGCTTGACGGTGGCCAGTGGTATAGCGTTGCCTTGACCTCTTTTCTCGCCGCGGTCATTTTACGTCGATACGTATCTCGTTTGTTCCGTTTATTTCGAAAGGCAACCAAGCACTACCACGAACTTGTCTTCCTGACCACAGGACTCTTATTGTTTCTGGCAGGAAATATCTGTCTCGTGCTGATCAACGTTTCAGATAACGATGACCGTCAGAAAAGAGCTGCGACTGCCGGTGCGTTTGGCCTTTGCCTAATACTGATCCCGGGTCGCACAAACGTGCTAGCTCAGGCGGCTGGCATATCTATCAACTCTTACTACCTTACCCATCATTGGGTTGCCTTCATCGCGGGAGGCCAAGGTGCGTTGCACACAGGGCTCGTATGGTCAAACCAATGGCGGCTGCTACAGATATCCGGACTACTTGTAAGAGAAACCTGAGAATCCTGGTGACCTATCTGCGCGGGAGGCGGCTGAGCAAAATCAAGGTGATCGTCTTTCTCGTACTCAACACCACCTCATATGCCCTATTTTATCTTTTTTCGTTACGACAGCGTTTCTACTCACTATATATCACTTTTCACTCCGGAACAGCTCTTGGGGTTTTTGTTTCTCTATTAATCCACATCTTATCTTCGTCCGTCAACCATTACAAGATAATCTGGATCTCAGGCTACACTCTCGTCTGGGCCGTCATGTTTTTCTTCCGCATCAAGCCGGCCTTTTCCAGGCAAAACGGTCGCGTTGAATCGATGACCGAGTTTCAGAGCGCCGCTGTCATACGTGTCAAGTTATCTGAGGAGATTCCCATGTACCCGGGTGCCTACTACTACCTTTGTTTAAATAATGGGCGATTTTATAGGTTGTTCGGGTTGCCAGTCGTATTGTATTCGTGGAGTTCTGTTTGTGGTTCCTATCCCGTCCAGCTTCAACTTCCGGAAAACGACAGATTCGTCAATGGAGACACTCAGAAGAATGCTTCCTCATCAAAGCAGCCGCGCCTACAGCAAGACAAGGCGCCTACGAAGGGTGGAAACAATGACCCACCTCGGCTTACACAGCCACTCAAGGGTATATGCGCAGTATTCGGAACAAGTCACGGCGGTGATCTAGTGACGGTCTCTCAGAAGGTTTTCTTGGACGGGCCGTATGGAAAGGATATCCACCTCGAGAAGTTCAAGACAGTCACGCTGATAGCGGAGGGCTGCGGTATCTTTGGGGCTTTTCCTCATGCTATGTTTCTCGCTCAGCACGCATTCCACAACCGAGACGAGAGAAGGAAGATGAAAGACCAGAAAGATTTCAGCCGATCGGTCGATAGACTTTACGGTGATATGACCAGAAAAGTCAACCTATTTTGGATCCTAGAGTTGCAGGCGCAAGACCGGTTAGCCACGAGAGAGCTTTCCCAGCTAATGTCCCTCGACGAAGGCCATGTTAGTTTCCAACTATTCCGGAAGAATCAGGCTGATACGGTTTGCAGGCTCTTTTGCATGTCTACATCATGTATCCAAAGCCAATCACAGGCTCTGAGGACACTTTGAGAATACCTGAACACGTTAAGTGGATGCGATCACACGGGACCAAGGAGCACCAATACAAACTCTTGCGCGAAGTCCTCGCCCTGGACTCTTACGGGGCTGATTCCTCAGCGATTCTTGGTATGTCATACGGAACCCTCAGGGAGCCTCGCTATACTAGTACTCATGGCAGTAGTCAGTGGGAACACAGAGTTCACCGATGCTATCCATAAATTCGTGCTTCAATCGGGAATAGAGACGCGAGTTTTCACGTCGGAGTATCCTGAAAGCGAAGACCAGACAAATGCTTACAGGCGTGCCTCCAAAAATGGAAATTTGAATCCAGATGTGGAAAAGGGGAATGTCATTCGTTCAGGGGTACATCAGCCCACACTAGTGAAGCGTAGGATTCGCGTGGAGAATATCCGTCGGGTACCTTGACGATCTTATTTGTTACCGGTCATTGGGTTTCTCTCTTCTTAGTTCTTAGTTCTTGGTTCTCGTTGTTGTGTTTTTGATTTTTGTTTCCAGTATCTTGTTCATCTTTGTCCGAATTCTGATAGCTGATCACGCATAGTCAAATGATCAAGGCCGATGTTAACCATGATGAATCGTCGACTGCTAAACTCTCTGGGTTGATCTGAACCCTTAAAAGGGGCCAGCCGACAGTGCAGACCCCATAACCGGATGAGCCTTCTCAAGATCCATAGATCTTGGCACGATGTCGGAAACTCACGGCCCATTAACCGGACGCAATATCTCTGTGTGCGGAAAGTTCGAAAACCGCACGCAGGATGACATCGTGGAGGAGATCAGTCGGTTAGGGGGAATCGGCTTCAAAAATAAACTGCCAGATGATGCATTTTGTGTCATCTGCACCTCAGAAGCTACGGAAAAGAACAAAACTGTGCAAGGAGCAATTGCTAAAGATGTGCCACTCGTTTCTGTGCAGTGGCTTGATGACGGTGGCTCGCCAGCAAATATACAGCAATTTCTTATCGGACCCAATAAAGACAATGCGGAAGATGAGAGTGTTGTCAGCCCTGAGATCCAAAGCACTCCACCCCAGCAAATTATTGATCCTCCAAAACCGGAGACTCCAGAAACCAGGAGCGGAAAGGACCGTTACGAAGGAAACACGGAATCAGTAGAGAGTACCCCGACAAGAAAGCCCAGTAACACTATCATGGAGAGACTTGGCAGTGCATATCAGGCCATTACTGGCACGCCTCGGAAGAAGTCCTTTGCCCCTCCGCCTGCCGGAGAAGCCACAGGATCACCCGAAGATCATGCCTTAGAAAGCAATGAGATGCGGGAGAAGGCTCAGGGCCCTGGCCCAACCGATTCCAGCACATACCCTAGTTCAACAGGTGAAGAAGGAGATCTCTCTTCCCCGTCAGAAGCGTCGTCTTTTAAGAGCTACCTCATCCAAGACGAAGGGAATCGACCCGGCAGCGCCACCGAAAGTATGGTTCCGGTATCACCCAAGAACCCTCCTGATCACTGGGAAGGCGATACCCAAGTGGACCTGCCCTTATCGTCCGCTAGCCATGATATCCAGATTGAAAGCGGGAGAGAGGTCGGTTCCCGAGGCGATCCGAGACAAGAATCAGCTGCTAGCCCTATTGCCCCTCAGGATAGAAGCGGACGAGAGGGCAGCACCCAGAGCAACCCCATCCAAGTATCATCTGCTAGCCCTGATACCCAGGTTGCAAGTAGACCAGAGGTCAGTTCGCAAAGGAATATAAACCCAGTATCTGTTCACCCTCAGGACGGAAGCGGACGAGAGGGCAGCACTGAAAGCAACCCAATCCAAGTATCATCTGCTAGCCCCGAAGCCCAGGTTGAGAGCGGACGAGAGGGCAGCAGTTGAAAGCAACCCGATCAAAGTATCTTCTACGAGTCCCGGAGCTTCCCAAGACTACTCATCAATCACCCGTCTTGAAGCAAGAGAGCCGTGGCGATACGGATCAGCAGCCGGACACAAGTGATAAAGATCAGAAGGGTAAGACACAGAGAGATTTTGAACAGAATGACCTTCCACAAGGCAGAGAGCAGTCAACACAATCGAGCTTAAATGGGGGGCAGCGACAAAGAAAACCAAGGGGAGTCTTCAAATGATTCGGGTCTTTACTTGTCAACACCTGTTCAGAAGACACAACCAACTCTCAAACAAGGAGACTCTGTTCCCGAGAAACAGAAGAACCAAGCAAACAACGTCTT